ATGGACATATTATACTTATTATAATTGTTTTTGTCTTGTATTTATTGATACAATTTGAATTGTGAACAATAAAGAATAAAAATATATAAAATATGTGAATATTTTTAGTTTCTGGAATTTCGATGAGTGAATCGTTAGTCCAAGAGCCGGATGCACATTTCGACCGACAAAAATTGCACTTTTCTGTGCGGTAATTTTCACTTAATTTCACAAATTGATAACGAGATGAGAATTATGCCATACAATACCAATTGAATTGTAGATCTCAAAAACCTTCCTGTGCCACCCCTTAGGCCCTCCGCACACGGGTCGATCGGCGACATGGGCGACGCGATTGCAATGACGTCACAATTTCTTCATTCGTACGATTCAAGAGAAGGGAGTGTGTGTCATCCGCATATGGGTCGACGTTTTGTGTAGTCGACTCGCGTCTGATCAACTTAGTTACTCTATTTTTTGCAACTTCAAAAAGAAATGTTTCGCTAAAAATGAGCAGTTCCAATGGCGAGGAGGACATATTCATGTTTTTGTGGCACCGGCAGATCAGGAGAAGAAGAAGACGACGAAGTTTATGGGTGCATCCGTACATTGCACGAAATTTTCACACTCGACTTTTTGTTGCTGCACGTGAAATGCAAGAGAGTGACACAAAATTCCTGGCATTTTATAGAATGTCGAAGGAATCATATATATATTGATCTAGTGGAAACTCTTGCTCCAGCCATAAATTATGTGGATACAAATATGAGGGAATGTGTCAGCGCAGAAGAACGCATACTAATAACATTGAGATATAAGATTCTTATATTTCAAAAAATCAAACAGTTCCTAAATTTGAGAGTATAAATTGGAAACATAAGATTATATGTTCAAGTTACTGAAAGTAAAGAACTCAAGGTAGGTAACACAAATAATCACAATGATTGAAAAATTATTGAACAACTTTTTCCATTGAGACGCACGATTCACTCGATCAAACTGCTTCCTTGCTAATCGCATGCGACTGAAAACGAGGAGATCTTAAATCGTACGTTTCTAGACGACCACTAAACGACCCGTGTGCGGGATCCAAATGCTTTGCTTAGGAAGTCGAGTAGAGGGGAGACAGTCGTACGATTCGAATCGCGTCGCCCATGTCGCCGATCGACCCGTGTGCGGAGGGCCTTAATCTGATTAAATCGACGGCACACCGGTTTCTTTGCTGACATTATTCCGGACATATTTCCGTCATGTGAGTTGAAAGTGGAAACGAAAAGCAAATTTTGTTTCTACTCTAAACACTTTTAAGTAAAGGAAGCATTGATTCCAAATTCTCAAATTTTACTTGAAATCAGGAAATTAAACCGATAGAACGTAACTTAGCTATTTCGGTGTATATTTCATACATGTATTTTGAACTATTCCATGTATGAAAACTCGTGAGGAGGCTCGGTGAGCCTCCGTTGCCTCCTCTGAGGAGCCGCCACTGGTAGTAGTTATTGTCTTGTCAAACCATTTCCCTTTTCAATGTTTATAAATCAAGTCATTCAGAAAGTTTATAACCGAGGTGTTATCATAATGATATCATTTCATGCAACAATCAAGTAATGAGCACGAGGTAACCTACGATACGAGCCGAAGGCGAGTGTCGTAAACCATGTGTGAGTGGAGTGTATTAGTAGCCATTACAGGATCCATGCATACACTATTTTTTTTATGACCAATAAGTAATGAAATTAGTCTCTGTTGTGATTGAATGTCATATAAAATGTCAAACGTAGACCCACTTGATTATTACAAATACGTGTTTCTACAGGGTGTTAACAAACAAGTGTCACAACGAGAAACTGTACATTCCTCATGGAAAAAGAAACATTTTTTTCCCTTTCGAAATTTTTCTCCGGGCTTCCGTTTTCAAGATATAGGACGTCAAAAAAATCTGTTTTCAGCTACTATCTTAGAAACCGTTTGAGCTACGGAGTTAAGCCTTCGTACACACTTCATCATCAATAATGACTACTTTTAGGGCTCTTGATCAATTTCCTTGGACATGTCAGTGGAGGAGAATTCAACGCCTCGTAAGGGTTTAACCACCCAAACATTTATGCCACTGGAGAAATTGTAATTTTCAAAGTAGATTCTGAAGCGCCAATATCTTTCACACAAAAAACGTCTTCTTGTCTCAATGCTTCAAAGTGAGCAGTTTCTGCGAAAAATGGCTCTTTATGAATAAGAACATACAAAATCCTGATGGTATCTCCAAAAATCGTCTAAAAATCCACTGGAAATAAACACCTCAGAATTGTCTAATAATATGTTCAATCAAATGTCAGGTTCTTGAGTATGCTAGTCTCGATGCTGGTTTTCAAATTGTTAAGTTTATTGAGTGTTGTAAAGGGTGTTTAATTAAACTGAACATTTTTGATTTTTTGACGCCCTGTATCTTGAAAACGGAAATTCGGAGAAAAATTTTGGAGAGGGAAGAAATGTTTCTTTTATTATGAGGAATCTACAGTTTTCAGCTGTGACACTTATTTGTTAATACCCTGTATAGGCCGAAAATCCATTGGAAGTAGAATGTTTGTTATACAGGGTGTCCGGAGATAAAACCGACAAAACTCATAGGGTTATAGGGACTGTCGATAGGATTGCAAAATGCCATAAACGAATGTCCAAAGCCGCTTTGTTACTGAGATACAGAGTGATTTGTGGATTTTGACAAAAAATTCAATCCGCCATATCAAATACAGGGAATAACCGATTAGATTCAAATTTGGTACACGAATTACACTGAAAAGCATCAACAAGTAGCCCTTTGATCGAAACCAATATCAAGACCGGAATAATATTTTTCCCCTATGTTGAGTTATTGTTAGAATAACTCACCCTGTATAATGATTACGAAAAATTTCAACTCAGATTCGAAATCTACGGTGAAAATTGTATAGGAATTTGTTGGAAAATCTCCTGGCACTTTCTTAGTTATTCCGTAATTAATTATTATTTTAATTTTTTTCATTAAAAAATCAATTATTTTCTTATAAAGTACCACCAAAATTGTTAATATAATAAATATTTACGAGACCATGACATGCATGTCGTTATTTTCTTCAATCAGTTCATAAATCGGAGTAAAATGAAATATTCTCATTACCCGAAAAAACTGAAGAATAAATTCATATCAGGACTGGAATGAGTTTTTTGTTTGTTTATGTTAGCTGACCTAGTACATCAATAGTTATCAATAATCTGATCGTAGATTCGGAATCTAAAAAATTCGTATAAGAACCTGTTAAAAAAGGATAAGAGTGAAGTTTTCGTAAATTATATTAGCTCACTAATGAATTTGAATTTATGAAAATACTACACAAAGAACAATAACTGTTTGTAATGAACATAACAAAACCAATGAATTCATAAAAAACTTTCACTACCCAGTAGTACAAAACATTTTCAAAGTGGAGCCATCCGGCATCATCAATACATTTTTGAGAGCGTGCTATTAGATGATTCACTGACTTGCGTATTATTTTCTAACACTAACACAGGCAGCAGTAATTTTCCATAATAAATTTTCTCTAATTCAAATTTCTTCATTATGAACTTCTTACTTTGAATGACCTCATAAAAAATAATCTAGCTGAGTTGGATCAGGGGATAGTGGTGGCCAATTTACTGAACCTCCACGGCCAATCCATCTATTGGGGTAATTGACATCGAGATGGTTTCTAACTGGAACTGAAAAGTGAGGTCTAGTACCATCATGCTGAAACCACATACGCCACGTATTTACACTTTGCAATAGATCCGGTCAAGTATTGACCAGGAAATTTAGGTAAACATCACCAGTTAAAGCCCATTCAAAAATAGAATATCTGCGTATTCCTCATTAGTGAGATGAAACGGCATCTCAAACACACTCTCAGAACTATAGTTTGATCCTAAAAACACTGGAATAATGAATGAACATCAATAAAACAAACGCTGATGACAGGTAAACAATGGTTTTCCATAATGAAATTCTGAATTTGACACCAGCCTAGTATTCTCTATACACAAACATTATAAGGTACTGATACGGATTTATTATTTGAAAGTTCAGTTCGATCATTTTTCAACAAGTTTTTTAACTTTTCTCAGTGCATTTCGAATCTGCGATCAGATGATTGTTATACTAGATCATCTATTTTTACAGGAATATAATCATAGAAAACCTCATTCCAGTCCTGATACGAATTTATTTTTCAGTTTTTTCGGGTCATGAGAGTAATTTATTTTACTACGATTCACGAACTGATTGAAGAAAATAACTATATTCATGTCATGGTTTCGTTAATATTTATTTTATTACCAATTTTGATGGTACTTTATCCGGCAATAATTGATTTTTGAATGAAAACAATTGAAATGATAATTAATTAAGAAATAACTAAGATAGTGCCAGGAGGTTTTTCAACAAATTCCGATACAATTTTCACCGTAGATTTCGAATCTGAGTTGAAATTTTTGGTTATTATTATACAGGGTGAGTTATTCTAACAATAACTCAACATAGGGGAAAAATATTATTCCGGTCCTGATATTGGTTTCGATCAAAGGGCTACTTGTTGATGCTTCTCAGTGTAATTCGTGTACCAAATTTCAATCTAATCGGTTAATCCCTGTATTTGATATGGCAGATTGAATTTTTTGTCGAAATCCACAAATCACTCTGTATGTCAATAACGAAGCGGTTTTGGACATTGGTTTATGGCATTTTGCAATCAAATTGAGAGTCCCTATTACCCCATAAGTCTTGTCGGTTTTATCTCCGGACACCCTGTATGCGCCCTTGCCTCACCGCCTTGTACAAAGGATTGAATTGAAAGTAACAAAAGATCATCGATATAGCCACATGTGTGATAAGGACATATACAGCTGGTAGATGCTGGTTGCCTCTCTCTCTCTATCTTTCTCTCTCGTTGATTTTACTGGTTGGATCCTTCTCACCTTAGAAACGAGGAAATTAAAATCATAACATGTAAGAACTACAATTCTATCATTTATTTGTATTTACAATATTTTAATATATACAAATAATTTTTATTTGTACATGAACAAACCAACATCTATTGTGTTAAATATATTGATAATTATTCTTCTATAAGTGATTGTCACTTTTCTAATAAAAATAATGTATAACCTATCGTACAAATCGACAAAATAGAATGATAAACTAAATCTATAAAGTAAATAAAAATCGAAACGATATACATGACTAAAGAAGCAAAATTTAACAGAGTTCAGGACTTAGTCCCACAAATGTAACCGCATATAAATCGTTGCGGCTGAGGAGTAGGTACTCTATAATATAATATAATATGTAAAAATCATATTGCACAGCAATTATTCTCATTGTTTGAATAAAATAGTATTAAGACGGTAGAAGCTATATTTTTGTGCAGAATAGCCAACAAACTAGGAGTATAAATCTTCAACGTTTAAAGATTATCAACAACAATAATAAACATAATAAAATAAAAATAAATAATGTGTCATAAAGACAGACAATAATGGCTCTTTTCACATGAAAAATAATAAAAATATGAAAATATAGTTGATGAAAAATGTAGAAGGCAAGGCAAGTGGTAGAAGATTCAGAAAATAATTAAATAATACATAAAATAATTGTTGACTTTGAGGACAATAAAATACTGAAAGTATATCAATTAAATGTGACTGTGAATGAGTGATTACCCTGTAATTTTGAGCTGAAAACTACTATTATTGAATGCAATTAAATAAAATGTGTTATCTGAAAAGAGCTCACCAGGTAATAAAGGTGCAACAAATTGGCCTAGAAGTAACTAGATAACTCTTGTAAGTTCCTCTTATAATGATGATAAACCCCTGTTTGGTCCCTATCCCAAGCACAACTGCTTTAGCTACATATCAAAATATACAGGATGCTTTCTGATTAATAGTACAATAGAAATTACCTAACTAACGAACATCCGGATTATATAAATGCGCTCACTTCATATTTATCACTATATAACAAAATCATGGAATGTATATCATTAGACTGTCGTTTGGAAATGGCACTCCATTTGTCAGCTTGATATAAGCATGTCAACAAAATAAAAAATACGTTATGTACAAGGGCCAACGTTTCAACGATTTTGTACAAACATTGAGTAAAAATAAATTTGTTTAGTTCATCCACTTCCTGCAATTCGGTGCACCACACATGCACGAAATTTTGTGTTGATCGTCTTCAATGTCGAATTTATAATCATAAGATAGCTAAAAAAATAAAGTTGTTACATTGAAAGATGATGAAAATAACTAATTGCAAATTACGTTGGAATGAACTGATTCACTAAGAGCGTGGTTATTTCAACAACTGTCATTCCAGTGGTTAATATGAAGGTCAGTGGTTATTTAAACCACTCACAGATTTTCTGATTCTGAATTAACAACTTGTCATGTTTTTTCCACTTTTTATAGTGGAAGATATCCACCAGCTTTTTCTGGTGATTTGTGGAGTGGCTAAGGTTTTTAATAATAAAAGGTGGCTCTATTTCAAGGAAATATTGTTCTTCTGTTAATGCTAGACATTACAAGAAGTCATTCTACGACAAGACAAATATTAAATACCCACCTAATTATTAGTGAAAACAAAAAATACGTATTTCACTAGAAGGATAGTATCAAACAATAGAATTTTGAGGGATTCAACAAATCCATCCTTGAATTTCGGAAAATCACATGCCAAAAATATTGGTTTTAGAGGTTTTGATACCATTAATAGAACCAGGCCAGGTAGCCGTGCGGACAGAGTGTCTGTATTCTAATTCGCATTCGCTTGCCGGTCGTGGGTTCGATTCCCAACGACTGCAGAAATTTTTCTGATGGCCCAAGAAAGTGTTTGGGATCACACGTTAAAAGGTAAGGCCCCCGTCATTCCTTGCTCGCACAAGACTCTCGAAGACTTCTGAGGGTTGCTCGTAAGGGGGCAACCGAATGACGGATAGAACAATTTTAGAACAATTTTTAGATAGAAGACGTTGGTGGGCTACTTTTTTTCTACTACATGTAAAAATAAATCTCAGTTGAGTTTTTGTAATATATCAGTATAGAGAGTACTTACAGAATATTTATAACTAATGCCTAGTATTTCAGATACTTGCTGCTTTACATTTACTTGCACGAGGATCCTATCAGGAGGACTGATTCTAATGTAGCAATTGTCTCAACCAAGTGCTTGTAGAGTATATCAATTGTTAGGTTGAATTGACGTTAAAAAGGAAGAATAATTTTGCCACACCTTACCAACAGAGGTTAATATACACTCAGTAGAGAAACACCGCACTATTTCCTGCCAATGGAATTTGCTATAAGAACATATTCAAGTAGATTACATTTTATAACTCAGGGAGACTTATACTAATTTAATATGTCAGAAAATGGGCAAGTGCCCTTCAAACTGGTTCTCATCAATGAATTTCATAACTGCTAAGTATTCTGAGTAATATATTTCTACTATCTAGATGACCATCGGAAAATTTCAAATCATCAAAATTTTTCAAAAACACCAAAAAATAATTATTGAGGCGGTAACCTATGTCATAAACACTGAAAATGGAGTGAATATGATGAGTTTCTATTTAACCTTAGTAAGGCCTATGAACAGCCAGAACAAGAAAACGTTACCTCAAAATTAGTAGGTGATGAGTTGAAAAAAAAATCATTCTTACTGTAAAACTTTAAACAATGTCGCCCCCACAATTGTTATTGAGTAAACCGTAGTGACTAGAGTGGTATGTTTCAGAATATATGGTTCATTAACCAGTTATACAATAGAAAGTTGAAAGTTAGCAAGCAGGACCAATGAGTACTCACGTGGATAGGATAATACATCATTGGACAGATATTAAAAAAAAGGTTCTAAGACCAACCGAGTCATCTTAATTTCGGGTGGGTATAACCAAGTACCCTACAAGGTGGGGTGGAAAGACCTATCGGACCACCACCATCCACCAGAATAGAACTAGAGACCACATGTGTAAAAAATTTGTCATATATGCTTATATTAGAAGAAAGCAACATGACTAATAATCACCAGTATCATTCAGTTTTTTTTGTCTCTTGGAGCGCATGAAAGGGGACTCCTATAATGTTCAAAGTATTTCGTGCGTACCTAGGGAGGATACGGAGAGGAGATAGGTATTGGAATTTTCCTCGAATTTCTGGCGATTATAAGTTCTTGGGAAAACTTCTATTGGCAAAGAATTCCGAAGCTTTGCTGTTCTATAGACAAAAGAGTTTTAGTAAAGTGTCGTTCGACATTTTTCAAGGTTGACAACAAAAGCGTGTGCTGACTAAGATATTTGGGTTTTTCTGACTGGTAGTACTAGTGATAGAAGGGCAGCAGAGATTTCTGAAGAACATTTCCCGTGGAACTATCTGTAGAAAAGTGAAAGGTTTCCGACTTTTCTATGATGTCAAAGAATTAGTGAGTGTGGTTATGTCATGATTACCTGAAGAAAGAAATGTTCAGATTTTGTTTATATAACATTCTGTCGCCCCTTTCTATAATAAGCAGATGACAATGTTTTTTCATTTGGTCTCTAGTTCACGTGTGATGGATGGTGGTTATCTAATAGGTCTTTCCATCCATAGTTGGCGAGTAATTGATTATACCCACCCTGAGGGATAATCCTGTTGAATTCAGAACCATTTGTTGTTTTGTGAGATATTTGTAAGGCAGATGATGGACCATGGACCATAGTGTTTAGATTATGCCCCTTTAATAACTATGGTTTACTCATGAAATGTTGTGGAGATTACATTTTTATGTCTTACTTTGATACGTTTACACGTTGGTTCAGTTATAAAACATCTATTTACTCACCTCTTCGCCCCTTTGTATCCTACGTTTCGAAAATATGATGATTCTAACATCTCTTTCAACTTCCACTTGTTCGGCTACACAATTCGGGTTACAAGAATGGTTGATATATCTGGCTAAACCACCAGATAGAGTCGCATCAACCACCCTCTCTTCGTCAAGCCTGAACATATATATGCCACGATTCTGTAAAGAAATAATGATTCAATTTGATACTTGATGAGGTAAAACTGCACTAATCATGCGATAGGTTTTTTTCGAAAATTTTGGTACCGACGTATTCTTGTCTGAAAAACACGAATTTGATAATGAAAATGTGAACAAGCCACTATTTATCCAGATATTTCAAGAAAAAGTTCGAAATTTCGCCTTCTTTTTCCATTTGTGTTGGATGCGTTTTTCAGCTACTTGCTCTTCTTATTTTGTCATTGGACACTTTATTCGCGAGATTCACGAAGTGGGCGACATCTAGGTTACATAATATTAACTTCAAACTGGGGGAAAACAAACTGTTATCTATGGATAAATTGCATGTAGTTGTGAAACTTGTCAATGACATAAAGTGTTGGCATTGTTGGTAGTGATGATGTGGGAAAGATTTCATCGCCGAAGTTTGTAGACAAAGTGCAAAAATGTGCCTTTTGTTGAAGTCTTCTGCCTCACACAAAATCACATGAATAGGAAATTACTTCTCCTTCCACTACTGGTCGGCTCTTTCTATCTAAATAGAGCAAAATATCTGCCAAAAGAACATCTACAACAGGCATTATTATAGCGTTTTCGATCGAATATTGACAATAATTAATGTCAAGGAATTTAAAAACTTATCACTCTTATCAGTACACAGTACACAAGCTAATAGCACTAATGGGATTGAGTGAGGATTGAGTTTGTTTTCCCCCAGTTTTGACGTGGCTTTGACATGGAACGATGAAAACCGAGCGCCACCTGGTAACATTGATTCCCGCGAATATACTCATGATGTTCTTCAATGACACATTTTTATATAGAAAATTCAACACGAAATATGATTTTTATGGCGAGTTTTTCATATTTAGTGAACAATCATACCAGATGACGGCCATTTAATCAACAGTCAATTATTTAAATGATGATCATATTTCTAGTTGAATCATATAATAAAAAAATGTGTCATTGAAGTACATTGTGCTATATAAATTGTCCAATGATGAAAAAAGAAGGACAAAATGCAATTTGTAACTTTATAGTGAAATATCTTAATAAATAATGGTTTGTTTACATTTTCATTATCAAATTCGTGTTTTTCAGACAAAAATACGTGAGTACCAAAAAAATTTTTGGAAAAAAAAAACATCGCATGATAAGTGCAGTTTCACCCTTGATGATGACGATGATTAGAATAGTATTTTTTTCTACTCCCGTATCACAATACGCGTTTAGGAAGGAAACACTTGCGATTTTATTCGTTTATACGAACTATCGCATAGGTTTCGGGAGGATGTAATGCAATGTTCTGCGTGGCATATAGCCAGGAAAGTAGTTGTTTTTCTCTCGTTATCTACCATTGTCGTTCATTTTATGAACTAGTTGTGGTAATGACTTTGAGTTTCTCTCTTTGTATATGACATCTTCCAAACCAATATGCATTGAGAAGGTTTGGTGTCTCATGAATGATATTTCAACCCAGCCGAAAATCTATCTTCTCATCTGGATGAGACAGAAAATCCAAAAAAATATATGTAAATGTATATACTCACTTTAGCATCATATTGCTTTTCCCTGCATTCAGCAAGTTCAGTTCTGATTATTTCTCCAATATATTCAATAACCATTGTATGTTTTTCCAAGTCCTTCGCTGCATACAACCCCAATCCTTGAATTTTTGATCTGCAACAAAAATACTTATATGCAGATAATACAAGACGCAACATCAGTGGTCTTAAACAGCAAAAATTATGAAGACCTTGCTGAAAGGTCAACCAACTGTATCAGTAACATGAAAAGGTGGTGTGATACTAACGGACTGATATTGAATCTATCTAAAACAAACTTTGTTTTATTCACACCTATAACAACAAAATCTGATATCTGCTTATTGGTGAGGCTTGGTAATGAAAATAATGTATCCATCAAACAAAGTAATTTTGTCAAATTCTTGGGTTTATATGTGGATGAAAATCTTTCTTGGGAGACCCACACACGGAATTTGGTAAAATCAATGTCATCAAAGAATTTTGCAATTTTTCAACTAAGAAAAGTAACAAATACTGAAGCTATAATGGCATACTACTATAGCTGTGTACATTCTCAACTAATGTATGGCATACTGTGTTGGGGTAATAGCTCTGGTTCTGAAAAGGTATTCATCAGGATAATAAGAAGTATATTTGGTATGAGATCAAGGGACTCATGTCGTCAGATATTCATTTCTCAAAAAATTGAAAATGGCAATATATTAGAGAGAAATACAGTGATCTGACTAGATACTTAGGTACACAAAAGCTTAGACGTTTTAGGATTCCTATGGGTGCTAATAATTTTTTTCTTGATATTTCTGTATGAGCTTGCCATGAAAGCGTTTCATCCAAATATAAGCCAAGATATTTTATGATATTTGAATATTCCAATTTATTGGTTCCAAAGTCGATGGAACTTCGATCTTCATTTCTATGTTTTTGTATATAGGATGATTTTTTAATATTTAACGTTAGTTTATGTGTAATTAGCCATTGCCTCAATTTGTTTAGATCAGTTGGAATCTTTTCTTTTATTGTGGTAGAATTATTACCAGTATATAACAAGACCGTATCATCGGCGTAGAGTTTTATTTTACCATGTAAAGTTAAGTAGGAAACTGAGTTGATGTATAGTAAAAATAGACTAGGTCCCAGAATGGAACCCTGAGGCACTCGTATGCCTAGTAGATTCATTTTTTTCTAATGATACTGTGTGATCCACAGTATCGAAAGCTTTCCATAAGTCGAGGGACACCATGGCTACTTTATTTCCTTGGTCTAGTTGGAGTTGTAATTCAGACACGAGGTCCAAGGTAGCTGATACCACATACTGTGTCGCTTGATTCACGAGAACCATACTGATGATCATACTTAAACTTTATACTTTTCAAATAACTAAGGATAGAGAGAAAGATAGAGGTCGATAGCGCATAACTAATCATCTCCAGAAACGTCTATTGTGCCTTCCACCGTGTATCAGCCTGTATATAATATGATTGATATGGTCTATTATCGTCACTCTATTGAATCTACTCACTCCACCGCAATCTCACCTCGCCAAATAGACGTTATTCTTCCAGTCCTGCTTCATCTTCTTGTACTGCGAGCTCTTCGAGTGCACGAACTGCTTGCTGTAGGGGCAGGCCAGCTCGCCCACAGTCGCCCCGGAGGCGGGCGAGCCGCTCGCCGGCCCGAAGAGCGGCCGCGCGCCGCCGCCGCCGAACGTTCGCTGCGTGTGCGGCCGCTTCCAGTGCATCTGGCTGCGCAGGCGCGGCTCCGTCCTGGCCGCCCCCGACGGGTTGACGGCCAGCGGCAGCTCGAGCAGCGGGTTGCGCCCATACTGGAAGAAGTTTCAAGTTCAACTTACTATTTCTTAACATAATACTCAAAATATTTGAAAAATCAACACAAAATCTGTCTTTTTAACAAAATACCAGGAGAATTGCATCAGACATAATTCTATATTGTTAGCAACATCCGGCAACGTCGCAGATTCTGTAATATCGGGACGAACCCAAAGAACTCAATATAAACAACTGGAAGGGAGACGGCCATTCTCTCGAATAGCACAAAGTGTGTCAGGGGCAGCTGCAACAAAGATAGCATGATTTACGGTAACCGGTCTCTTTCCTACTCGTGTTGTTTAATGGTGAATTGGTGTTTACGTTTTTCTTTTATTTAATAATTAATGTACTTTAGATTTTTTTCTCTCATCTAAACAGGCAAGAAAGTGAAGACATAAGTTCATTGTCTTTGTTTATGTGAAATATCTATTCATTTTGCGTGTTTTGTTTTATAACAAGGACTGAATTTGTTGGTGTGAACACTGTGTGATTGTTGAGGAGGTTTGGATAAACAATGGTGATTTATTGTGTCGCCTTTGGATGCAAGAACAAGCATTCCATGAGTAAGTTGAATATTGTTCAGATTTTTGGAAAATATGGTTCTTGAAATGATCATCAGTTAGGTGTACAATGTTCTCAGTCTCAGAATATGTTCAAAACTTATACCTATATTATTTGTCAAAGTTAAATACTTCCATGACTTTTCCATAAACATATTAAGTAATATTATTTGTTGCAGTTTTCCATTCAGACATTCTTGAATTATGGATTAAGGCAGTTCGTAGAGAGAGTTGGACTCCATCTAAAACCAGCAAGCTTTGTGGAGAGCATTTCTCTTGCCAACTGATTATTTATTTTAGACATACTTGGAAATTTTTTGTTTATTTTTTTGGTGAAAAATCATATATTCTGTTTTGTTAGTATTTATCGATAAAAGGTTAGAGTGGAGCCATTTTTCAAATATTTTCAAGTCTTCATTTCTCATATTTTCTAAATTTGAAGGATTCTTGCCTTCATATAAAAGTACTGTATCTGCATACATTGCTAGACCAATTTCACTGATATTTCGAACATAAAGTAAATATAGTATTGGTTCTAAAACAGAGCCTTGTGGGACACCCTTATTGATCAATAGCTATCTTCAGACTAGATTCAGAATGCACGTCACAGTTTGCCGCCCCGAAAATTAGAAATTGCTTCAATTTGAAAATGAACACGACTTGGACTTTATCGGTCGCCATTCTGTACAGCGTGGACATAAAACTGGAGAGTTCCAAACTTATTTTATGAAAATTAATCTGAAGGAAACTTCCCCATTGTGCTATTTCAGATGTACCAAGAACAAAACGTGAATAAATTAAAAGAGTAAAGGCCCCAATACACTACCTTGAACTTGTAGTCGGTCAGCGTCTCGATGCCCGGCAGACTTTCCAACACGCGCACGATGGCGGGCTCCGTGAGGCCGAACAGGTCCTCGCCGGTGGCGAATTTCGGGAACATCTGCAGGCAGTCCTCCTCCTTCCGCATGGCGGCCAGCTTGTCCAAGATGTGTTGCCAAGCGCCTTTCGGGGTGGACTCTTTGAATTCGACGTCCTCTTCCGGTTGCTCTTGCACGAGAACGCCGAATTCGGGCCTGCCGCACGCGTCATAAATCGAGCAGATGTACTTGCATCGTTTGTTCACTCGCCGCATGCTCCAGTAGAACCTTATGATTTTGTAGCCGATGGGGTATATGTAATTGGAGTTGTGGAAGTTTTGTAATTGGTGTGGCAATAGATGGCCGACGTTCAGGAAGATTAAACTGCCCACTCTTAGAATGTTGTTGGTGTCGGAATGGTGCATGACAGAAGCCACCTGTCGGTTTTCGTCTCTATTTACGTAAACTCTGCGCGAAACTGACAGTGTTGTCAGCTCATTGTCCTTTTCATTCTTTGGTATATGGGCTGCGCAGTATACAGTTTTGTTCTTGTGAAAAACGCAGTGGTCCTTCACAGCGCAGTTCAGATGATAAACGCTCGAGCATCTATTTTTGAAACATCTTATGGTAGCACCTATCCTGCTGCAGTATATACAGGTAGTGGTAAGACTCATTGAGATGGCATTTTCTAGGTTCATGAGGGCTCCATTGACCGTTTCGTATACCCCATCAGACCATAATCCGCAGTTCAAGTGAACCCATTTGTCTACTTCAAAGTTCAGAAGTCGTGCTGGACCGTCAGCTACTCCATCCCCAATACCTGAAAATGTATATAAACTTGTCTCAATAACGATAAAGAGTCACTGCAAATTAAAATGAATATCCTAACTGAAAAGAAACAACAGATAGCTGATTGTGTGTTAACATTGAGAGAACTTGGTTTTCACTTCTGGAAACCGAATATGAAACTAGTAGATTCAAGATGAACTAATCGCAATTACCTATTAGCCATGATATATTTCAAATTGTCACTGGGAAGTGTCACGTGACGAAAATGAGAATAACCTCATTTTATATTGCAAATAGAAAGAGACAATCCAAATTCCTGATAAAAATACTATTTGTTCATTCCTTCTTCTACAATGTGTCTATGACTTCACTAGGGAGGAATGTCTCTTCCATGTTTCAGAATGTTAATTCATCATGGCATATATAAGATGTGATGGATTAATAACGGATCAATTTTAGACTGAAATTAGCAACAGGAAAGGCAAACTGCTGTCAGTTTGAGTTTGACACTTCCTTTCGAGGCTAGATTCATTTTTATATTTTGACTGGAAAAGGATGTGAAATATTCAACATTTTTCGAGATAGGATGACAATGAATTATCTGTAGGGGAAATAACATAAAGATGATGACTGCATGACAGTAGCTCATGTTTCAAGGTTGAGTTAGAAACTATCATCTAGCTATTGAGTTGAGGAATTACTGAAATGAATATTTTTAGCCTTAACCTCATCTTATCACAGACCTCTAAACCTTCAGTCTGTGATACTAGAGTCTGTCATCAGAAACGATGAGAACATTTGCTTGAAGATCATGCAGACAGTATAAATATCAAAGAAAAAGCTAATGACTTGACCACAAAATGGAACAAGTGATAGAAAATGTCGACATAGAAAAATAATGAACTCGCTTGGGTTTATTGAGAAAGTCTCACCTTGACAAAACATGCACTTTCTTGTATCTTCAGGCATAATTGCTGGTGTTACAGTAATCTGCAGTCGGTATAGCAGTTCCATGATTTCCTTATCCGTTGGTCTTTTATGTTTTTGGGTAGGTTGCAGACAACCAGGAATCCAACACTTGTATCGAACATTCTTGTACATTTTCATGGGAAGATGTTTGAAATCCATATTATCTTGGAATTTACCCAGCTTATTGTCGAAATTTTGGAAGTAAGATGAAAAATCTTTGACATCTGCAGAGTGGAATTCTTTCTTTATTTCTTTAGTTCCAAGTGTTAATCTCTGAGCTATGATAGATTTGCTGTCAAATGAATCAATAACTTTATGTTTTTCCTCCAATTTGTCTTTTTGTGACAAATGATCGATGATTTCAGCAGCCTAAAAACAAAATGATTACATTTTTTGAATTGACTCGGCCGTTACTTGATGGAAATCCATGATAACAACCAAATTTTAATACGATGCTAGATATTCCATTTACCTTATCTTCAGATATTGAAGGTGATCTATGCATCAAGGCAAACTGCATGTAACAAGTCGAACTACAGAAGTATAATTCATCACCATCACTAATAAGTTCTGTATCTTTGGCAAGAAAAGGTAAATCGGAGAGTTTACGCCTTATCATGTTATTCAAGATAACAACATCGCAGTGTTTACAAAATTTGGCATCTCCATTTAGTATACTCTGTATGTCAATTGGTGCTGAAACACAAAAAATCGTTGAGTACTGCTGAAAATGCCATTGAAGATGGCGATAATAAATCAAACCATAAAAAACAATAAATTTCAATGAGAGAAGATTCAATTTTCAGGAAAACGGATTAAATGACTTGTGTAATATTCGATAAAGAATTGTCACTTGATTCTGCTAAATGATCGTGGAATATAAAGAAACAAAAATTATAAACTCTTTTCAACTGACAATTCTTGAAAATCCCCAAATCATCAAGTTATCTTACCTCCTTCCTTTCCATCTCTACCTTTGGTTCTATAGAGCCCTAATTTTTGACCTGGCGGTGTACTAGTTCTCTCCACGATTTGATAACTAGTAGGAGCTGGAATGTGTAGAATATTTGCCAGATCCCTGAGAACACCCATTATATCTTCAGCAGCAGAAGAAGTAAGTGTTAGGGTAACCGTAACATTTCCGGAATCTTTGACTGGTGTATCAGGTTTATCTTCGGATTTTGTCTTTGTCAAGAGTTCAGTATCGATATTCTCTTTATTCTGAAAACAAATTTGAGATAGATTGTGAGTGATGAAAAAAAATCATTTTACCGAGTTGAAATCTATACTCGAACAGAAAGTGTATACTTACATCAACTGCAAGTTCCCGTAGATATAATCCTCCAGCAGCTTTCAATTTGATTGGTATGGGCTTTATCATCGGCACCACTGGTGATATCCTCCCCTTAATTTTAAGCTCCGCCAATTCACCCTCTTTATCATCATCCTCATCATCACTGATCAACTTCAACCCCAGGAACTTCTGAATAGGTTCCATCCGCACACACTCAGGTGAAGAACTGCTCAGAATAGAATCGGGAGTATCCTCTCTGCAGAACATATCGAATTTCTTGGGATCATCAGTGTCAAATCTGATCAGAGGAAACTCTTGGTCATAGAAGCCTCTTTGAGTAGATATAGGTGGTTTTTCTGGCAAGCGATCTAAAATGCCGTATGGCTTTGTGGAGTAGAAATCAGAAAATCCAGGTAAATCGGCACTGCCGTAGCTACCTACCAAATCCCCGAATTGGGATGAGTAATTTTTGGTACCGAGTTTCAACATATCACCGGCTCCAATAACAGCTACTATCCCATAGTTTCGGTTCAGTACAGGTTCTGAAACATTCATCGCTGGCAACTGCCTTAGTTGTGTCAATACGCCATCAATGTAGGTGTCATAATCTTCTTCAATCTTAGAATTCTTCCTTGGTCGTTTTTTAGGTTGTCCTGCTAATTCTTTATTGAGAATCAAGTTTTGTCTCCTTTTCTGTTGGTACATCCTCCTCTTCTGCTTCTTTAGCTCCTCTTTATCCAGCATTATTTTTTCAGCAGAGCTCTCTAGCGAATCCATTTCCTCTTTGATCTGTATATCAGACCGACTGTGGTCTGATACCTCAGAATGTTGTGACGACTCATCCATCAGCTCTTTTTTAACTTCATGTGATGAGAGTATAGGACTAGGTTGGGGCAGTGTTACGCTTGACGATTCCTTTTTTATCACAATCGGAGGTGTCTGCAGACTTGAGTCTTGGCTACAAGAAGACCTTGGTGTTTGAGGCGAAAGAAGTTCATCTCTACTAGGTGTCCTGGAAGGTGGTAAACTTTTCTTGACATCTATGTGTAACTGCTGAGTAGGCATTGTCGAGACTGTAGATGTTGCTGCTGCAGGTTGAGGAGTTGAATGTTCCACAGGGGGGCTTGATACAAACGAAGTTTCCCTAATAGGCATTCTTGTCACTACAGATGGTACTGATGTGATAGTGGTACTCGCAGAGTTAGGCGGAGGAGACTGGGTGCTAGCACATGCTGTATTTTGCAATAACTTTTTCAGTAAAACATTCTGGGAATCGTCAGTTCTGTTTGAGAGGGGTGTGTATATACCCGAATACCGACCACTAGCAAGCTCTTGCTTGATACAGTTGGCTATTGATGCTTTAATGTCTTCCGAAGTTGTGACAAGACCCTCATTTGCATCCTGCTTTAGATCTTCAGTTTTGGTCTCTTTAGTTTCATCTAAAGATTTTGCTCTCACAACTCTTGTTAGCTGGGTATGCAATAAATTGGTAGAAGTAACAGGTCTATAACTTGGTGTGATTACAGAGTTATGGCTCAAGTTAGCAACCGCAGATGCCGTTGCATTAGAGCTTTTAGCAGAAACTACTACATTAGATTGAGTTTGTGCCAGAGATGTTGTCGAATTCGACTTTGCCAAATGCATGGAAGAACTGAGAAGAGTAGCTGCTGTGAAGGTATCAGATGAGGTCTTCATTATCATGTTGGATATGGTTGACATTACTTGATTATGAGTATTAGACAATGAAGTATTAGTACTAACAGCTGGTATGACGGCATTTGGTTGAGCTTGTACTAAAGCAGTAGTGTATCCCGTCCTTGGTAAACTGATTGGAGAACCAAGAAGACTAGCTGCGGTAATAGTATCAGCAGTAGATTTAGTAGTAGTTGATGCAGCAGGCTGATTTTGTAACATGGCTGTTAAAGTCAACGAAGGTTTTCTCGTTTCACTATTAGTTGCTGTATTCTGAACAGTGTTAGACTGTTTAGTTACTGTTGAGGAAACTTGTTGGACCGAATTAACTGTTGATACTGGTGGCAACTTTGGATGGTCAGGCATTAAATTGATACCACCCATAGTCCTGCTAGTCAGTGAATTTAAAGTAGTGCTAGCATTGTTAGCTGTTGTCACCTGTTGATTGGTTGAGACTTGTGGTTTATTTGGACTACCCCTGGGATTATTTGTTGAAGATACCTTTTGTTTATAATTGGGAACGATAACAGTGTTGACATTTGTAATATTTGGAGACTGTCTTCCAGCTTGTTGAATGATCCTCGAAGCAACTATAGGTTGCATAGCTGTAGGCGAAGCACTACTACTAACAACCTTATTTCCAAAATTTTTTACAACAGACTCTACATTTGTGACAGCAGAAGTCGAAGTAGTTTGTAATGATGACAACAAAGATCTCAATTGTTGGGAGGCATTGGCCATATTGGTTGTCAAGTCAGTGGGTTGTGAAAGAGGAGATAGTTGAGGAATATTGGATTTGGCATTTGCAGATACGTTAACTGTCTCAGTTTTGCTTGTGATAACTTCTTTCGTCTCTTTCGTCTCTGCCTCTTTCTTTTTACTTTCTTCAGGTTCCTTTGAACGGACATTTTCTTCCAAAATTGCGGGTGGTTCTGCCGTGATATTTTCAATCATGTCAAGAACATCTTCAAACGATTCAAATTCTCTTCTTCGATTTTCTAATGCTTGCAACGCAATATTATCTAACATTTGTTCTTGCGATGGTGTAGGTGACGGAATGGAAATTACTACAGATTTGGTGTCTCCTGAACCATCATCGTAAGAATGTATAGTCTCTGCGGTGGCATTCATCTGCATATGTGTCTGCGTCTCCTGGATGACCTGAGCTGTCATTTTCAGTTCAGGAGTGTTATGGATTATGACTGGAGATGAAGTTTTGGAAATGATAGGACTTGGCACCCTATGTTTCTGAATATTTCCTTTAGTGACCAAATTAGTAATATGAATGTGTTCGATTTTCTTTGATGTTGGTTTTTCATGATTCTCTCTGGATTTACTCTCGACCCCCAACTTTTTAACAGAATTCATATTAATAACTTCAACAGACTTAGGAAACAATGGTTGTTTGCCTTCTTGTTCCGGTGAAGATGACTTTGGTTTATAGTCAAAAGAATCTTTGGATTTGTCATCCTCATAGTTAGAGCTGTCTGGCGACACAGAATCATCCTCGAAAATTTGTTTGGGTAAGGCACTATCATGAGTACTAAGAGATAAAGATGAACTAGACTTATCAATAACTTTGACATTTGATAGTTGACGTACAGCACTGGCACTTATGACAGGTACAGTGAATTTCGATGGTAAAATCGAGGCTATTTGTGATGTACTAGCATTGACTATTGTGATGGCCGGTGAAACCGAGGTAACAATTTTTGGTACATTCAACACATTTCCTCTCACACTAGAATTATGTGTTAAAATTATGCTGGTTACCTTTGGTGATTGAGGATTTGTGCTTGGTGTTATTATAATTTTTTCCGTGTTAGATTTATTAGCCAAAGAATGAACAACAGGGCTATTGATTAGAGAAATCTTAGGAGACACTTTTTGAGTTACAGTCGCTACTCTACTAGTGCTGGGATTATGGGCCTGAGTTGTTTGTTGTGCATTATTGGTGTAATTGAATGTGTTAGCGAACTTATGAATGTCATTATCTTTTTTGGTCATATTGTTTTTTCTTGACCCTTCATCAATAAGTTCTTCAAAGTCTTCTTTAGTCGAAATAGAATCTTCAGGCGATTTATTTTGTTCGAGAACTACTAAGTCAGATTCCTCAAAGTTAGTCATAACTTCTTCATCAGCTTCCTCTTGATCTGGTGATTCAGGCCCTTCTCTATTCATGAATTCATCAGGATGCGGCACCATTTCATACTTCTTGGTTTTACCTTGCATTATAAATTCATCGTCACTAGTTGTAGGACTTCTAATTACAATATGCATATTCTCGCCTGCATATTCTTCTTCTACTTCTTCTTCATCTTTATCAGAATAGTGATTGCCACCTGACATGTCCACTACCATATTTCCAGGAAACAAGAGATACTCATCTGGGATTTGATCAGACTCCAATGGACTTGACAAACCTTCTGCTAAGTCCTGTTGGGATAAAGTTTCAATTTCTACCATATCATCATGGTCATTCTGTGCTGTAGAACTCAGAGAAACTTCAGCTGATAGTACAGTGTTCGTATCGTCATCATAATCCATCATGTCCATTTGTTTATTTTCGGGACTATGAAGAACCAGTACAGGCTCTTTCGTCGAGTGTTCCATCGTTTTTCTAGGTAAAGATTTTTGAACTGTCCCTCTACTACCCGACGACATAGTAGGAGGTGTCTCTGGAGGCGTACAAGAGCTGTCATCTGTATTATCATAATCAGTGCTAACTAAAGAACCAACTTTTTCCTGGAAATTTGTGGAAGCCTTCTTTTTGAGAATAGAAACTTTGTTCAAATGTAACTCTTTCCTCGTTTTTTGAATGTTGGACAAATCAAGAGTAGCGTTTGGTTTTTCTTCAGGTTTGTTAACCGTGTTAGGAGGTGTTGGTATTCTTTTGGCGCCTCTTCCATAGTTCCACATAGGCGCCCCACCTCTCAGGCCAAGTTTGATATAACCAAATCTTCCAAAACAAGAAGGAGCAGGTATAGGGTTGCATGGGTTATTGGGGTTGCCACCACCAGTCTGCATATTTTCTCTGAACATATTCTGGCTACTAGAATCATTGCCAAAATGCACTTGATTATTCACCATGTCATTATTAAACTGTATATTATGGTTCTGATTTTGCATGGAGTCCTGTATCAAGTGTTCAATACTATAAGGTGTCCTAGAAATAGGAGCACTAAGATTTTCCTCACTATGGGGTCGATCAGACATAGCAGGACTACTATTTGCACTAGGGGGTCTCCTCATACCATGAGGCGATTGATTCTGGCTAACCATGGGACTCCTAGGCATGGGAGAACTGGGGGGTTGATACTGACCATGAGTCATAGGGCTCGGAGGTTGTCCTACGCCTTGATGAAAAGCGGGGCTCCTAGCAGCTGGAGAGTTGGGGTTGGGTTGGTTGTTTCCATATGAAGCCACCATCGGGCTCTTTGGCGGCATTTGCATTGGCGACGGTGGCATGGAGTGTGGAGACATTATTTGTTGATTCACCATCGGGCTTTTGGGAGGTAGTGGAGAGTGTGGAGGATTTTGTTGCTGCTGCTGTTGTTGAAGCCTAGCTGCTTGCATCTGAGCTATCTGTTGCTGCTGCTGCTGAGCTAGTTGCTTCTGGTGTTGAAGCATTATCTGATGTTGTTGGGGAGTTAGAGGTTGGGGCTGACCAATTGGCTGTTGTTGTTGTTGCTGCTGCTGCTGTGTTTGTTGCCTTATGAGGTTTCTGTGTTGCAGCAATTGGACAGCTCGTTGAGAGTGCAAGACATTTGGGTCACTCTGGCTAGAGTCCAATCCTTGTTGTTGTTGTTGCTGCTGCTGTTGTTGTTGCAACAATGCTTGGTGCTGCAATTGCTTCTGGAGTTGAAGCTGATTAATATTCATTTGTTGGGATGTGGGACTGTGTAGAGGAGAAGGCGTTCCTGGTTTCTGTTGAAAGTTTTGCATGGGGGATTGCATTCGTACCCTTTGTTGGAGAGCATTGCTAACAAAGCGCATCTGGGGAACTGCGCCAGGGCTAGTTACCACTCGTCGGTGTTGAGGTGAGGTCATTCGAGGTACTGGCGGAGGAAGGCAAACTTGTGATGGCGATTGCACAGAACCGGGACTTCCTTCACCTTGATAATTCAAAAATTGAATTATTAAAAAATTATACAGGGCTTCAACAATGATTGAGATCCACTATGCTACCAAGAATACATTCGCATCTCTTTAGCATCTGGGGAAAGAGCTCTCGCATTGAAAACTGTCACGATCACGTCATTGTTGAAGATCCGTAAATACTTATTTTAATTACTTTTCTTTCAAAAACAAAAAATAATGATCATAATTATGTTTCATTTCGTGTGTGCTATCCAATTTACTATAATACACTTCTGTCATTCCATTGTAGTTGGACAATTTGAATATAAATTTTTTCGAATGATAATATACTATTTGAAAAGCACTATATCACTGATCAAACAATATTAATTAATTTTACTAATCACATACATTTTTGATGAAAACGTTTTATGTATTTTTTATTTGGAATATACGATGATCGAACTAGAGAAATTTTAGCTTTTTAACATAATCGTGTTTCGAACTGTCCGATTATATGAAGAACAAACCAGATGAGTAACATCCTTTTTTTTGGATCACTTTTTCAACATGTTCACAAACAGATCCGATGATAGAACGTTTTCCTCCAATAGTAACCAACGAAGATGAGAGATAGAATACATTTTGCGATTTATCGCCTTGTCTATGATCATTTATAAATCATAACTTAGAAGGGAAGGATAGAGATACATTATAAGACAGATATCTTGACTGCTAACAGATTTCTTGAAAGTATTATTTATTACTTTTTTAATTCATATCGAGCAAATTGTATTCTGGAGACAATTCAATTTGATACTGTTCAATCAATACGGTCCATGAAACACAAACCTGATTGTCAGAGCTTGGTTATGGTGGTTATGCTCGGCAGCGAGTGAATTATTGATAATGAAAAAAGTTTATGATAATGAAGAGTATGAATTCAATTTATCTAATTCATTGAGGCAATATTTGTTGAACCATAGGCGACATGAATTGAAGTGAATCTAAAAGGGCGACAAGAAAACAGAATAAAAGAAATGAGAGACAATGTAGTCCAAAATTTACCAAAAAGTAGATTTGAGTGAATGAAAATACCAGTAGCAGAAGAACATCGTCCATGAAAATATAATAAAATAAAATAGAGCCAGATCGACAACTTTTCTACGGTGTTCCAGATAAGTGAGTGAGTTTGTGAGCAATGCATCACCCACGAGCCGAATTGCCCTTTTTTGGATAGAATCCAACAGTTTCAGGGTATGTTTGGGTGCTGCACTCGAAATATGGGGAGAGTATTCCACGATAGGTCGAATCTGTGCCTCACGAGATTTTCCCAAGAAAGGTTATTACTGATAGTAATACCAAGCATGGAAATGAATGTCTTAAAAGGTATGGTTACTCCTGACATGCTTATGCTTGGCACAGTGGGATCGGCTTTTCTAGAGAAAAGGCATGCGTGTGTTTTGTTTGCATTGAAATCCACCAAGTTATTGGATCCCTATTCGAGAATTGTTGCCACGATCTTGAAATATTACCATTCAAAATTCTGACGGACGTCGAGAAACACCAACACCAAAGTACTCACTTTGCGAATGCGGCGTTCCGATCCTCGGACTGGGCGACATGCCGCTCCCACCGCCCGGGCTCTGCAGCACGCCCTGCATCGACCCCGGCGACGGCGAGACGATCGGCCCGGGGCTGTTCATCGGGCTGTGGTGCGTCAGAGGAGAGGCCGACGGCGACATCATGGGCGACTGGGAGGCGCCCAGAGGCGAGTGGATCTGCTCGGGCGGGCGCTGCTTGGCGGGGTGCTTGTTGCGGTATTCCTTCATATAGACCAGTAAGGGTAATGGGGAATTATATGGGATCGGATCCGACTGTATAGACATTGCTACTGGGTGTAGGGGTGCAACTACGGTACTGCGTGTGTGTCACTACTGAACTTGGATGCTTAACACGACATAATTTCGTATTCCTCGATTCAAACTGATGAATGAATGGAATGTGTTTGATTAATTTACAAATTAACGAATTATCTGTAACGCCAATGGATTAGTAACAATATGTTTCATAATAGAGATATTTGTTCGAATCATCAATACAAAACGTCGTCCAATGCTTGTAATGATAAATAAATACTTGTACTATTAACAAATCTCGGAAACCAACTACCCAAAAGTCTAAAATTGATACGCGTACAACTTATAGTAGGTTTCGAACCATTTCTAGGGCAACGAGATGCTGCCAGGACCAAAACTTTTCATAAAAATGCTCAGTTGATAGCCGGATTCGAACCGACAGTACTCGTGAATCAATGTCTAGCGAGCTTGGACATTTTATGAATGAACACAGAAACGGGAACATGGAACTTCTGAACAAACAGAAAACTATGCAGTTGAAAACTTATAGTTATAGATTTTTATCAAGAAGTAGCAATTTTCTGATTTTCCAGTGCAGAAAATAATGAAGTGGTCCTCCATGTCAATGTCAGAGTAATATGAACAGCATGTTGATTTAGAATATGTGTTTATCTCTCATACATCAAGCGGCGCTGCTTGGCCAGTAATAGAAAATTGTCTGAGATCGGATTGACTGTATATACATTGATACGTAGGAGTGCAGTTACGGTACTGCGTGTGTGTCACTACTGAACATGAATGGAAAATGTTTGATTCATTTTGAAATCAACGAATTATCTGTAACGCCACTGGAGTAGTAACAATATATTTCATATTAGAAATATTTGTTCAAATCATCTTATTATAATACGTCTGCCTATGCTTGTATGAAACGATAAACAAATTGTGTACAATCAACATCTCTCGAATACCAACTCACCGAAAGTGTAAACTTGAAAGAGCAGGACCTACCCTGCCGGGATTGAGACCGTGAACCGAACTTTTTATAAAAAATGCTCAATCGATAGCCGGATTTGGACCAACAGCACTAGTGAACCAGTAAAATTAACATTAATGTTGGTTGAGAAGACGTGTCAAACCCCTATACATCAAGTTGGTTACCGAGTTGAGATAAAAGAAACAAAGAAGCAGTAGTGAAGGATGACGAAATGATCAAAATATAGTTGCCAGAATTATCATTTCAAGCATTGGTATTTCACTATGAACGAATGTATTGATAATTAATTATTAAATCTTAGATCTAAGTGTCATTCCTCATAGAGGTTAAAAGCAATATTGTTCTTGATAATAATCTGAAGATAGATGAAACCCCTTCAACTTTTCTATTCGATATGTTTTTATACTCTTTTACCCAAAGAGAGAAGAGATCTCGAAATATGTCATACTTTCATCAAATATTATTCAAAAAACTAGACACGTCAATGAATATCTAGCCATATTTTTCAATGATATATTGTGATCAATATATATTCAAAGGTGCATCCTCTACAAATAGCAGTGCCTATAAAGTATTGATAGATACCTGGATGAGCATTCCATGCTGGCGGCTTTGCTTCCTGCTCGATTCCAGGTGCTTTTGCAGTATTGCCTGTTCAGCAGCAATTCTCTGAAGTTCTGCAGCGTCAGTTTCAGTTAACTGGTTGCCAGATTTTCTCAACTGTCGCTGTTTACTATTGAGAGACTGAAAGGATTCGAATTATATGCAATATTAATGGGTATTTGTTGAATCCAATTGACGAATTCTGTCAATCGTCGAAATTTATACTCATGCTCATACCCACAGTGCGTTGTGGGCAAATTGACAAAATACACATTTATGAAGCTTTTTCTCTTACACAGTTTTGTCAACCAGGTTTCTCCTTTCTTAATGTTAGTTAAGTTAGTTGAGGAAAGAAGATATCATTTTCGAACATTTCACTTTTGTTTTGTGGATTTCCACGTCGCATTGTGGGTCTGAATTCCGGACATACTCCTCGAAATTGTTTTATACAGAATGGTTAATGAGATATGCCTCAAAGCCAGATGGTGGGTAAAGGAAATCAAGACCAGTTGATGTAGGTATACAACATTTTTTGTTGGTCAACCATAACGAAGATACAAATGGCAAAAGAAAAAGATTAACAGCCGAACTATCAATATTCAGAGAGTTGACTCTGTGATCACTTCTTACGAAAAATGTCATATTCTGACAGATCAAGCAAAACGCTGTAGGAATGAGGGTTCTTTGTCCACCAGATCACGCTACTGAAACGTGAGGTCAGAGTTGGTAGAACTGGTAAATATACTTCCTGTTTTCGTATCATTTGGTCTCTTCCTACAATATCTTCTTCTCCGCCAATGTAAGAATGGAGTTGTACACGAAAATCGAATTAACGCAACATACCTATTTCATATTGATCATTCCGTGTATAAATAGTATATGATGCAGTCATTCGTTATTTAAAATCATCGCAAATATATTTTTCAATAATTCGGCGACTTCGAAAAACGCCAGGTTCTATGACGTCATGAACCGAATTCAGGCTTTCACATAAAGAGTAGGATCACATATTTCGACGCTGCCAGATTCGTAATTTGTTCAAATATTTTACATAATTTTTTCCGTATATTCTCGATAAAACAGGCCTTTAGGGCTATTCGGCAAAATTTTGGGATATCTGACTTAGTAATGCAAACTGCCGAGACCTTAAATGTTAGCCTTCATTGCTCTTCCATCCACCGCTTGGCTCTGTAGCATTCTTCATGAATCACCCGGTATAATTGGCATGTATTTCATCAGTAGGAAAAATATTCATGTTTCATTAGGGACTTTTGTTGGTTCTAAACCATATCTTCAAGATTTCTGAGTATTTTTGAAAATGATGAAAGTTGGGGTGGCATGTGCAAAAAAAGTATAAGCAGGGTTTAGGCAGACCAAGTAATATTTTACCAGATGCTACAAATATCTCATCAGATTCTTCAGTTAACCTGGTCCAAACGTTCATGAAAGGCTTCCAAATTTTCAATATCTGGGCTTTACAAAGTTTTCCCTACTGATGTAAAACCATTTCTGATAATACAAAGAGACCATCAACTGAGTTTCTTCAGCCTATAATAATTTATACTGTGTTTCAATAGCCAGTACTTTCATGGATTTTAGGATGAAATATATTAAAAAAATCGAGTACTGTTTTACACAACAACAAAATTCTTATCGAACCCATATGTTATAATCTCTTCATCAGCCAAAGCTATGCAACCTTCTGACTATTTCTGAGTATGAAATTATCAACAATGTTTTCTAAAAAGTTATCAAATATAATAAATTTCAAGAAACATTTGAATATTGCAATTTAAAAAAAAATGAGAATCCAGCAATGATTCTTCATGAGCATTTACATACTCATACCTACGCCTAAATAGGTGTAGTGAATTATAACGAAAACTATGATGAAGCAACGTCATAAAATGCGGGGTGCTCTATTTGAATCAACACAGTTGTCACAAAACAAGCTTCAGAGTTGCATTGATGGAAGTATATTAGACATATTGAGTATGTTCGATTCATTCAACAAAATATTCAAAATCACCGGTACACCCATTCTTCAATTTCTCAACTTTCAATATTTCATCCCCCTAGAATAAAAATAAGGTTTCCTCTTGAAAATAATGTCACCCATATTATTGTTTTTGATCATATAACTAATATACATAATATCAGGAAAGACGACACAAAATCGTGTGTTTGTTTGTGAAAGGGCTTCTGATATTTTTGTGACCTCCCACCACCATTGATCGATTCAATTAAATATTTCATATCGCAGTATCAATTCGAGTAATAAGTAGCTTTCATCTTCTTCAGAAAGCCTTCAGTTCTCTTATCCAACTTCCTGTTCTGATGCCCATTCTCCATTCTGTCCTAGAATCTTCTTAGAATATGGTCTCTTCTCCTTCATGCAACACCAATAACCAAACTACTTCATACCTACAAATCTACCAGGCACCTATTTGCGATTCAATTTCAATTTACCTTTCTGCCTTTTCTTAGCTTTTGAACCTCGGTCTCATAGTAGCGCAGTTGTTGCCCTAACACGTTATTCTGATGGTTCAACCACTGTTCGTACAGCATCTGAGCCTGCTTGTCTTGTTCATTAATTATGTTTTCAGGAGGTAATGGGGGTGCGGGTATCAGATTTGCATTGAACATTTGTACCCTCGTGGTTATTTCCATAGTGGGTTGGGGGGTAGCGGTAGGAACTGGACGATTTTGAGTTTGTTGCCAGGGCTGGTGAGGGATATTTCCTGAAAAATAATTACAAGCCTATGTAACAGAAATAATATTCCACATATTATTTTATAATAAAAAAATTTTGGCATTCAAAATAAAACTGAATATTCTCTGACAGCCACGATAGTTCATTTCACATAATAAATCATTCCAGAATTACGTCATTTGACAGGTTGCTGAGGGGCAAACATTGTATCTTGTCAAGATATGTCATATAAAACCAGAATAAGTGGGATAGTTTTCCTTGGAATCCGAGTTGGAACCAGAAAGAATTCGAAAATTGTGTTTGGTGAAACTGTTATTATATTGTAGATGTGGCAGGGATGGCCAGGGCTATGTAATAGTAAGTAAGTAAGTAAGTAAGTAAATTTATTTCCCACAGGCGAATATTCATACAGGTTAATAATAAAGTGAGCATTAACAATGCATACAATAACTACAATTATTATGAATATAAGTCAAAAGCACGAAGCATAAGGAAGTAGTAAACTGCGCAGACTCAGATTATATAAAGAAAGTTGTTTCTACAGTTTGCAATTTTCAGAGAAAGTCTGTTTGAAAGTATTCACTGATACAATAAAATATGTATTGATGCAATAAAATTTTCAGTTCAGTTTTGAATTTACCATTGGACATTAACTTTAGTCTTTCAGGAAGATGATTGTATAATTTGATTCCAGTATACATGGGAGATTTGCGAATTCTGGTATAGTTGTAATGTGGTAGTATAACCTCTTGTTTTCTCGTTGGATATGTGTGTATATCAGCCGGGCGTAGCAGTGTATTCCGTTTTTTGTGTATTAGAAGAGTTACTTTGAAAATGTACAAATTTGTTAGGGTGAAAATTCTGTGTTCTTTGAAAGAGGGTCTGCAGGAATCTGTATATTTCAGATCAAAAAGTATTCGGATTGCTTTTTTTTGTATTGTAAATATGCTAGGTGAGTTTACTGCTGTACCCCAGAACTCGATTCCATATTGTAGGAGACTATGAAAATAGGCAAAGTAAACAGATTTGGCAACGGATACTCCCGTATTTTGTCTTACGGTACGTAATGCAAATATGGCTCTACTAAGTTTTGAGTTGAGTTGTGTAATATGACCGGACCAGTCCAACTTCTCATCGATAAGGAGCCCCAAAAATGCTCACCAATGGTAACCTCTAACAGATAGTTTGTGTGCCCCTCAAAAAATCATGTCAAAATCACGTGTTCTAGAATGATCAATAGAAAAAAAAAATGAAGATAACTGCAAGACGACTTAAATTAATATAGTTCAAGGAGTTGACCGACTGAGATTCCCCTCCCCCTCGATATTCAATTCAGAATCTGAACACGTCAAATCGAAACCAATACTCTTCCAGAAAATACCCCAGTAAGCATATAAGATTTTCATAATACAGGATGATTCAATTTTTTTTTCGAAAAAAATAGATAATTGATATATCTTTGAGAAATTTCAAGGACAAGTACGATTCTTTCAGGAGCTACAGTGTGTCTACGCGCTATAGTTTTATCATGATAATATATCCTATTCTATCTTTCTTCTGTTCCAGAATTTGACAAAAAATGGCTATAACTTCAAAAACTGACACAGTGGCGTCAATAACGGGTTTACTTAAAAATTTTCATTGCAAATATCATGTTTTTTCTTGAATTCGTATAATTTGAGTAGCGATGAAGAACATCAAAATAAACCGTTCAACCAAAAAACTTATGAATATCTAAATAGAAATTTGCAAAATAACAGAGGTATTAAAAATAAATGATTTCGTCAATTACGTCATTTCACTATTAGTCTAATGGCCGATTCACGATATCCAGTCTTAGATTTAAACAAAATTAAGATGAATCCTTTAGTTTGTGTACCAGAAGTCGCAATGAACTCATGTTTTTAAATTTTGATGATTTATACAATTGTTAAAAAAAAGTCTCACGTTTGAAATATCCCTGTATCATTATTTTCAAGATGAAGAACTATCAATTTTGACTACCAATTATGATATTATTCAATTAGTCCAAATGTGACTTTCAAATAGGTTATAGATATCTATTTATAGATTGAAGTGAGATGTTTATGATTGCTCTGGTGTGCCCACTCTTCAAGTGTTTCCTCAGACTAACTATCGATACGAACAATTGAATGCGAGTGAGGAACGTGGGGTTCTCATATCCGATTATAGATGGCGTGAACGATGGACAATTTCTTGAAAGATCTCAAAATGCGTTTCGAATCTTATTATGAAGTTGAACTAGACTTTCAAGGATGCGTTTCTCTTCTTTCGGGACCCAAAAGAGACAGGGTGCAACAAATAATCCGCGCGGAAACATCTTGATCGTGATTTTGATAAGTTGATCATGATTCGACATATCTACCACGAGTGTCATGATTTCGGCATATTCATTATATTGTCCAAATTTCAATTATAAATAGAATGATAATTTATAAGAAAATTAGTAGTTTATTGAGCAGGTATTGTGCTTCCATCATGAACTGGCCATGCTGCGATGTGCGAGGATTATTGGAAAATCCGAACATTCGTTTCATTTTATGTACCAAAAGTGACTGAATAAACGATTATCACAGAATTTTCTCGAACTAGGACTTCGTGTCGTTCATGAATTCACAACTGAAAGTCGAAAATATAACGCACCGTTTAAATTTACACAAAAAATTGTGAAAATGTGAACTCAAAAGAATGTGTCATGATGCCTGTAATTTGATTTGGAACTTCGGAAATTTAGCAAGATTTGCACGCCTCACTATTTCTACAAAGTAGGCGATATCAAGAGATTTCGGAACTCCTTTCAATTAAGTTGTGTAAACATTTAATATACAGGGTCCTGCCGATTTAATAGGGACAGTATTGCCATTTCCTACAATTAGTCAAAAGTTGCTTAATTCGATCCTTTTCAATTTGAAAAATCTTCAGCCATACCTGAGATACTTTGAAAATACAGAAAATCACTGTTTAGTTTCATTTTCTTGGTTAATATTCGAGGAAAAATTTTAAATTTAGCCTATTCAGGTAATCATTCATGACAAAGAAGCTGGGATTTTCAGAAATATTCTATCTTCAGAGATTAACCATAAAACTTTTGTTCTTCACATGGGCGCCATATTGGTTTTTTGAACCATTGAATAGGGCTAAGAATTCCCTTCACAACCATGTATAACATGGTGACATTATAACATGAAATAGCGCCAAAATACAGGAAAAACGATGTTTTGCTGGTTATGAATGTGGTAGATCATGGTAATAAGAAAACAAAATATCAGTCGTCATGACTACAGTATTAATATTCCTTTATAGCCATGTATACCACGCTACATTATGATAAAAAAAGGAAAAAAAAACACAGAAAACCCCCAAGATTACACCACACAAAATCCTGACAGGCACACCGAAAGCTGATCTGATTTTGTGTGTGTGTATGTTATTATTTACCAGTTTTACCTATATCGATTTTTGATCTCCAGTTATTCGTTAGCATATGTCAACAGTATACTTGATTTGTGTATATTCAACAACGACGCCAAGTTGTCTTCTTCTCCTATATTTTTTATTCGTCTTTCATTCATTTTTTACTCGGTAGACTAGATTCAGAATGTACGTCACAGGTTGGCCGTCCAGAGTTATAAATTGCTTTATTTTGAAAATAAAAACGACTTACAGCGTGGACATGAAGCTGAGGACTTTCGAACTTAATTTATGAATATTCATCTGAAGGAAACTTCTCCAATGAAAGCATGAAGGTTTTTTCTTACCTTGATTATTAGTAGCAAGTCCGACCGGCCCACTATTGAAAACGTCCGCCTTGAGTCTTTCGAAATCGTGATCGCTCATCAAAGCGGATTCACTTTCGACGCCTGTGGAAGACGAGACTTCCTGATTCGAAGGCTGATTCTGTAACTTCTCTTGCTCCCGCTTTTCCTGTTCAAGCAAATCTTCCAATAAGAGAGGCTGCTCCTTAACCAACAAATTTAAATAAACTCGAGATTTGCTCCTCAGAGTCGTCCGGCATGCAATAGGTACAGGCAGCAATGCAAAATCCAAAAAAGGTTTGAGAATGAGGGATTTGTAGATTTTACATAATGCTCGATCTCAAGATGTATGCGCTCTGTGCAACCTAGGACCTAGTTTAGGAAGCTGGTAGAGAGTAAAGGATCGTACTGTGAGTTTAAAGCATAAGTTCAGCCCAACTTCAACCTAAAGTTGTCGTAAGTGTAGTACAACCTTGATTGTTTGAAACAATATACGAAAATTCAAATACATTTTTTTAATTACTATTTGAACTTTGGGCTCATTATAGGTGTAATCTAATGAAAAAGGATTTCAAGCGTGAAGAAGTTTTGTTATCTATGTTATTTTATCATTAGCCATAGACGGTCAGCCAATTTCTAGAAAAAAAATCAAGAGCATAATATAACATGAGAGATTAAGCAGGATAATGACCTTAGTCTGAAAGTGGTTTGAAGTGATTTGTTTGTAACAGTATGATAATATTTAAAATGGAGTGTCAAAACTTAGCCAACCACAGTAAAATTAGGAAAGGGGTATCCTTCAATGGAAATGTTGAATATAATTGCATATTAATGGAAAGTAGTTGTTTCCAGATTAATATTTCAATAAGAGAAAATTCAATGAATATCTAACCTTGTTCAAATAGTTGAACATAATTCGAAAATATACACAAAATATGAGCGATTTTTCATAATTGCTTTGTCGGAAAATTATAAACCCGATAAAAGTTTGTGCATTCCTTAAAATTTCTGAAAACAGCATCAAATCAAATCTGCTAAAATCTAAAAAAAGAGCCAGTTTTTTCTGGCTCTTCAGCAAATTTAAAAAGTAGAGTAATGCTACAGATTCTTCCAACCCGTTGACGAAATCGTTTGTGCTCACCATGATTATTGTTTTTATAGTTTGTGTCCCATATTGTTTGGTATGTTTATAAAAATTGTTCTGTCCTCTTATTGTCATAACATTATTTTAGGTACTATTGACTGATGATGGCCGTAGTGCCGAAACCGGTAACTTTTTGAGGAAGTTTTTTTATATAAAGTGTGGTCAACCGACTTTGTGTTGGTTTCTTTCATTTTTCTTTTGAAATTCATTTGTTTGTCCATGTAATATGGAATTCATATCGATCAAATAATGAAAACATCGCTCTTTGCGAACTAAAAAATCGTAACTGCTTGAAAAAACTTCAGTCGATGGTCATTCGTTACTGTAAAATGTGAAATCAAAAGGACATAAGCAGTGATGTACATTTTAATATCGGTGAAACGAAAGGAAGGAGTGCAAAGGAGACTGCAATTAAATCAGGTGTGTACGGAATCCATGATCTCACCTCCAGGAGTAGGGGTTTCCGCTGCAAGTGTGGATGCATTGGATAACCCTGTGGTGTGGCGGGATGAAAGTGTCCCATCGGAAGGAGACCAGGCCCCATTCTCAAGCCCGTCTACCACATACACATGCAATTAATAATACCATACCTCAACCATGTCGATTAGTATAACCAGAATAAATAATTCGTGATAGTGCTTTCAAAACAATTCGATCCAGAGGTGACCGTATGATAGCTCACATAACCACTACTTGACAAAGTTCATTTGAGTTGAAGAAATTACTAGCTATTTTTTGGATGTGTTTGTGAGCTATCAAAAATCACATAGATGCATTGAAAAACCACCACCAAAACCGTGAACATGGAATATTTACAGAAATCAATCAATCAATAGACATTAGTTGACAAAATGTTCAAAAACCACAGGTTTCCGTCAAAATGTTTAATGAATGGAAATCGAATTTGTTGAAATTAACCACTCTTATAATATCTGAATGAAGTTAGAGAATAAAAATGAAATTGATTATTAGAAATATTAATCATGAAACAAAAATTATTGAAATCTGGCTATTTCAAATGTTTGCTAATAAACAGAGCATAAATGTCAATATTTTATACGAATCATTCTCATAGAAAAATCGTTAAATAATATATATTTATTTCACCATATATTCAAAACATCCTATATTAGCATTTATATAATCATTGTAATTCTCAAACTAGCAAAGTGTTGCTTCACAATGAGATTCTTGTAAGTTGAAACAAAAATAATTTTCTCAGCTAGTTTGGTTAAGTTATTTCAGAACAACTAAAGGATAAGACCAACTAAGACTATATAATATAAATATACGTTTTCATCGAATATTTAATTCATAGCTTATTGATGAAAAATGTTTGTTAGATTAAAAAAAAATCTAGGTACATCTCAATTATGTGAAATAGAATATCCAAAAGTTATTATTATATCAAGAGAAATCGAAACTCATGGTTCAGAGAATTATTTTGAAATAATGGTACCATTTTTCATTTCATCAGCATGGAAATCTTCCAAGTAATTCGAAAATCATCTAATACTTGATCATCCAAGACCATCAAACATATACAAGTACTAAAGTACTAAACACTACCATATAATTCAAAATGTTTTATCTGAACACCAATCCGAACTCCCATTTACTGGTTACTACTTATTACTAGTAAATTCACTGATAAGAAGATCATATGGATATTCTTTACTTTTTGTTCTTCAACATCATAATGAAAACAACCTTTCAACTTCAATAATACAACACCATACCAATACTCAAATTGTGAAAACATTTCAAAACATTATCAAGACCAATATTAACTGATGAAAAAAGTTAATCAATGTTTGTATTTATTTGTGTTATCACTACTATGTTTTCTGAAAGGGCGCTTTTGATTCTAATGACAAACTAAATGATCTTAGGTAGAACCCTGTTTTTTCAAAGAGGAGCGATTTATTCAAGTGAAAATTACAACAATGTCATTTATGGTCTATCATCAGCCTTACAAAACTAAATCATCAAAACTTGATTGAATGAAAATGAGGACAGCAAAATATGACGAACCGGAGAAACATCCTGAAGCAGATTGAACCTACTACCACCCAATATAGGACTGGTTTTATATTTGATTGAGTTTTGATGATGTAATTTTCCTATCCATATATACCATATATATATTCAAGGCCGATGATGGACTTACTTAATGACTGTTGTGTTTCACTCAAACAAAATTTAGGATTAGTCAGTTGTAGTAGGACATATCCATATCCATAGAAAATCTCTTAGGAATAAATGTTCACATGATCAATAATAATAACTTTATTGAAGACAAATTCATGACAAATGATTATAACTAACAAACTGTTCGAGATAGGGATAGAGAGCTTATACACTTTCAAAAGTTGAAATGGTGCTCAAAAAGAAGATATTTCTGATACTCCCTGTGTGCTGTAACTGAGATCCGGTCATAGATAGAATACTCAATGGTCTATGACCCGAAATACAATGTTTTGTAGATTGGTATTGTGAACAAAATCGTATTTTTCATGGGTTAGTTTTTGCACAAAAATTTCACAAAATGATTTTCATCTCAAAATCTGTTATGAGGATTTCAAAAATGACGTAATATAAGGATTACTGGGTGTTCCATCCATCCATCATATAAGCGGCAACACTGTATTGATGAAATTATTTTAGACGCATAGAACATGTTTGATTATCCACGCCGATTCACGTCCACAAATTTTTGAAATTATTTGTTATTCGGTTCTCTAGATACTTATACTGTTCCACCCACCGTGAAACACCTTCAATAAACTTTTATTTCTTCTTGAAAACACGCCATCTATTAATGGCTAGTCCTACTACAAAACCTGATTCACCCTGTAGGCGTATCTTTCAACATCAATAACCATGAAAAAAAAATCTGGTGTGCATAGGGTCACACCTCGGAAGTGATAACTTCTATGGCCGGTCAGTATTTCCAATATCTTTTAGACAACACCGGGAAAATCTGAATGATGTAATATCAATTTTATGTAATATTTCCACGTATTCGCGAAAAAGATGACTAGAACTAAGAATATTGATGAAGATATTTTATGAATGAAAAATTTCAAAGTGCATCTTTTCAAAATTATTAATTACTTACCCGGTGTATTATAAATGATGTGAATGATGTATTGTAATCCGAACGATAACACCATATAATTAGACTAGGCGAGTTTGCCGTTATACTCCCATCCCAGAAAACACCCACCAGACGCCGTCGCATATCAATATTTACAGGGTGATTCATTAAGAATTGGAAATCTCTGAACTACAGATATTAAACACTAAAATATTTAATTTTAGCCTATCATGCCTAATGAAAATGTTGCTGGTTTAGGAGATACAGTATGTTCTAGGGGACGATTTTATTTAATAATTTCTCAATAACTTTGGAGTTATTGGCAGCATGAACATAAAATCTTGTAGTTTTAGGTTTTCTGACATGGGGAATACGAATTATCAACTTATTTTGTGATTGCTCAAAGAGGGCGCTAGTGGTTACTTCGGTAAATTACATCATATCTTGTTTGTCCATTCAATGATAATCAAAACAAGTGAACAATCTGGAAGCTCGTTCAATTTGACATTATTATATTTTTTGAAAGGGTAAACGAAAAAAATTGAAACTTTGGGTAATGAAATTGATGCATGAATACTATATTTTGGAGTAAAATTGACATATGAAAATTTCTAGATGGCGACTGGGTGCCATCTGAAACGAAAAATAGATGGGAAGGAGGGTCTTGTGGAACATCTTCTTGAAGCTCCTGACGAATACTTCACAACCCTAGAATATAAAGTCAATATCTTCACTTACTACAAAATGGTGGATCATTTGATAATTGCCTGAAATTTGACTAAAGTTGAGGAGAATTTTGAAATAAAATTTTCCGTTGAATACTCTGTATCTGCATTATTTCTATAAAGGATGTTGGGTTGAATCTCCATATTTTGGTGTTTACCATATGTAGTCAAGATATTTTCCATTCTTAATTTGATAAATCGAATTATCAAAATGTTATAAGTGGAACATAAATCACTTCAAGAAGGAATAACACAAAAACCGTTGAAGATAGACACGTTGAAAAAGAGTACATTTTTTCAGATTTTTCACTTATTTCAATCATCATTGAATGGACAAAGCAGATATGATGAAATTTACCAAAGTAACAGAGTGTCATTAGCACCATCTATGAGCAATCACAAAATAAGTTGCAAATTCGTATACCTCATGTACCTCATGTCAGAACACCTGCAACTACAAGATTTCATGTTCATGCTGTTAAAACTTACAAAGTTATTGAGAAATTTTAAAATTAAATCTCCCCCTAGAACACCCTGTATCTCCTAAACCAGGAACATTCTCATCAGGCTGAATCTCAATATTTTAGTGTTTAATATCTGTAGTTCACAGATTTCCCATTCTCAATGAATCACCCTGTATATAAACACTTATGATTTCAGTCTTATGGTACGTGGTTACCCTGACGCGAGTTTGTCGTTCTACTTCCATCCCAGAAAGTGCCCAAAGGGTCTAAAGAAGTTATCACTTCAAAAATGTCGGTAGCAAAATGAACACACATAGTAAGTAAAAAAACATGCTAAAACACCAAAATCACCAAGTACGTCAAATCGACAAGACTCACCGGTTGCTGCTGTTGCTGAGCGTTGCCTGGATACGGTGGGGGCGGTCCGGGATAGGGTGGGGGAGGGGGAGCCGCGACTCGCGGGCCAGCTGTCATGCCTGTCACTTGCTGATTAGCTCCCACCTGCGAGCCCATACGGGGATTCGATTGGCCCAGCCTCATCTGGAGTTTTTGATTTTGTACTGCAGAAGAAAACAACATGGACTCAATAAGAAGAAAATTATAGAGAGTGAAGATTAGGAAAGTTTAGTTGAACACTCAAATACAAGGATATATCCAATAAACTACAAGGTTATTTATAAATGCCTGAATACCTGTATAGGCAACAGAAATGTCATCTTCAGCACACAAATAAATACAGACCGAGGAAAATTCTGAGGAGTCTGTTATTCATTTTTTACACTAGAACACACCATCATGTATACTATCTTCGACCCGACAAATAGTTTTTTTTACTATTCAATAATAATACTCACACTCCTACTATTTAATAATGAAAACATCCACTCTGAATTTGATTTTTATAGTAACAATTTTAGGTTTTGAAAGAAAATTTTCTCGTCGACCTCCACAAAAATTGACATTTTACTTTTCGTTCGCAATAGTATATTGTGCAACAAGTGGGAAAAGTGCTTTTCCCCACATGTTGCACACTATACATTTTCTACAACTGCACTTATTCAAAGAATCCGCGTAATGTAACTCATTGGTATTCATTTTATAATGTGGCACTATGTCACATTGAATATTGTGACCAAAGAGTAGACGCCTTTCCTAGTTCCTCAAAGTATTTAAAAAAAGTACACTTCCCGAAAAAGTATTTATTTCTGTATTTTTTTAGATTCCATAAATTTTTCATACCAATATGCCAATTCATACTCTTTTCTTGAAATTTCCGGAAACAAATCCGACTTTCGCAGCTTTTTCCATTATCTCTGTCTCTGGCGGTGTATTTATCGAAATCGTCACATCTCGGTATATACATCATATTATTTATTATGAATTGTTGAAACAATATTTGATGGAGAATGCGATTTCTATCAAAAGCACTAATGAGAACTACCCTAAAGAATTTAAAAAACTTCTTCTGACAGTTGTGACAACTATTCAAAGCTGAACAGCAGCCAAGTATCGATCAATTTTTGTTGATTCTCCATGGAAATGTATGTGGTGTCGGCAAAGTGCCGTGAGAAAAAATATTTATCACAGTATGGGCAATACATGATTTTGAAACTAAGTAGAAAATATAATATACGGCACGGCAAGAGCGGCGATTCAGTTGACAATAACTGTCAGTTGCTGTTGTCAATTAATTATTCAGGAAATTCGATAGATTGAACGTGCGACTATGACCACGGTGTAAATTATAAGTGTTCGATGGCCGACGAGAAAATTTATACGCACAGCGAATAACTGTCTACTGTCTCGTCTGCTTGCTACCCTCGCTTGGGCCTCGGCTATCAATTTGCAGGCTCGACTATAACATATAACATGTAACAGTTTTTCGTCCTTGGTACATAAATAACTTATACAGTAAAGAAAACAATTCCCCTTGGCAAACCAATACAGTTCGGCACAGAGTCTTCTGAATCTTGACATACAATTACTGTTGAAATGAATTGATATTTCAAAAGATACCAACGAGTTCTTCACATCTCCACTCTTAATTTTCAGGTCCATTGAATATGACTACTTGGTTTCCGAAATACGTATACAGGGTTATCTGTTTTTCGATTATCTCAAAAGATACAAAGTTGGTCAAGTAAAGTAAAAACGGACATACAGGCATTGATAATATTTTGATGGTCTTTGAGGTATCTATATTTTTATATTTGAGATTTCAACTGGCATACTCACGTTGCTGAAGAAGTAACAATCTCTGTTGGTAATTTTGTGGAACCTGAAGTTGCACAGTATTGTTGGGCATAACAACACCGATTATGCCATCGGGAGTTTGCATTCTCGAACCGGGAGGCATCGGTCTACCCTGTGCAGCTGCTTGCTCTACCTTAAAATCGAATTCAAAATAATGATAATACCCAAAAAGATGAGGAGTTTATATTACAGCACACATATACAGTGTAAAGTTGAATTTAATCCAGTTGGAAATAGTAACTAGTATTATTATCATCATTACCTGATGCAACATTTGTTGATGTATTTGCTGTGGCGTCAAAAACTGCGGCTGATGCGCCGGCGGTTGCTGAGTGGGCGGAGCCTGCGCAGGTACACTGGGCGGGGCATGCTGCATCTGTTGCTGTGCTTGGGGCGCGACCAATGGCGGCGGCGGAGGAGGAGGATGCGCAGCCTCCTGTGGCTGCATAGCAGGCAACTGTGCCACGCCTTCTTTCTTGATGACCGACGAGGCGGTCGAAGTACTAGGTGCCGAAACGGGCACTTGTTGCTGTTGTGCTGTGGTCGTCGCTACTTTGGGAGCTTCTCGCTTGTCTTTCTTCATGGGCTCTTCTTCCAGCTCCAAGTCGAGTATGTTCGTTTTGCCGCCGGTCAGGGCCTCCAGTTCTGGGTCCGCGTATTCAAGAATGTTGAAGTCGGCCCCCATTTCAGCCAGCAGTTCGTCATCATCGTCTCCTAGGCCTCCTAGGATCTCGCTAACGCCTTGGAGTTCTACCATGGTACCTTGGGTTGGAAAGTGAAAAATTATTGCTTGATAACATTTCGAGACTTTCCGATAATGTATAGGTTTCTCTTAATGTCAATCAATCAATCAATCAATCAATAACATTTATTGTATCTGAAGAGGAAACCTCATTACAAGAAAATTGGTTCGAACAAATACATAAATTATTAATATAACAGTGTTCAGATTATACATACACTGAAAAAAAGACAAAACAGAGAAATGGTTAATATCATATGATAGAGAAAACAAAAAATAAAGAAACAACAAAAAGCATGGCAGATAATATTTAAAAGGCAATCAAGAGATAATTCCAATTGAAAAGTTCTGCAGTAAGACAAAAGACCGTAATTTCAGGATATTCATCACAGTCGTAGCTAATTGTTTCAATAATTCATATGAATGAGTGTTGAGAATATATATCAAGTCGTCAATGACTCGTAATTTAACAAATAAATCATTATTTCTCAAGCCAGCATATATAGGACAAACCAGTAAGATATGTTCCAGAGTTTCTCTTTGTTGCAGATTACATATAGAACATAAATCTTCAGTATTGATTATATACGAGGAGCCATAAAAAGTAAATTTCAATCGTGTTTTGCTACAAGTACGAATCTGGGCAACGATTCTGCTGATGTGAATTGGGCAAGGAATTTTTAAGTATTTTTGACAAGTGCTATACAGTGTTAAAGATTGATAAAGGCATGAAAAACTCGACTGATTTAAACTTGCAATGTCTTTTCTGAGTAAAATTTCTTTGTAGGAATCAATTATGTGACTTGTTAATTTTTTCGAAGGTCTAATTAAAAAAGAGTGCCATCTGTGTTCCTGCTCGGCGAATATAAAATACTCCTTGACTTGAAGGAGCCAGTTGTACTTTATATCAACGCTATCTAAGACTGCTAGTCTCATGAAGCAAATTTTAGGTAAGCGAGTATTTTCCATATCCTTCAAACTAGTAATCCATGACAAAGCTGCTTTCAGAATGATTGTACTGATTTTATATGAACCAGTCTCCAGACGGACAATATGATCTCTCTCTCTTAATGTTATAAATTCTTGTTGAATTTTGATTTATGAATCATTAGCGGTGTCTATTGTTAATTATTGATAAAGTTTCACTTCAGGGGTTCACAAACATAAGCAGATAAGTCCATATCCGTCAAAAATCGTGTTCTATGCGGAGCTGTGTTGTTTTGGCAATATTCTCCATTTCTAAATGACATTCAGTAACAAAATCAGCTAAATTGCTAACATTTCACAACTTGAATCCACGACTAAGTAACAAAACTATCGAAGTCCATGACTGTCAGAAACAAACAAAGTAAAGTCAATCTCAACCAATGAAAATGCAGCATTCGTAATGGCCGCTAATATATTCCTGCAGTAACATGTTGAAGGTTTCAAGAGTTTTTTGTTAAAAAAATGATTCAAAAAGATAATTCCTGTGAATACGAAATCATGGATGTCCACTCCAGTATAGTACCAGAAAATAAAGCAAGGAGAAGGACAATTCGACCTGAGAATTGGAAAGTGAATATGGCCAAAAAGGCGAGGTAAATGTGGTGGTTATCCAGGGCCGGATCTCTGTTGACAATGATCACATCTTGTGTGAATAGGTAATATTTTCGATAATAATCAAAATACTACTGATGATGCCAACACAGAGAGCAATATCGACGAAGTGGTATGCTGTGAACCACAAGAAGCATCATGTCATTTACATATTTGAGAGATTTTTTTGTTTGAATCTAATGTTCCACTTTTTTTTAGGTGTGTTAATGAATTCGAATATCTTTTCGTTGTTTTCTCGTACTCAATTATTTCATTAATATACTTTTCATAAAATATGTAACAGAAATTGAAATTATTGAATACAACCCTGACCCATCAGTTCAGTAACAAACAGCAAAGTCGAGAGCAGTAAGAAACAAACTCTGATAAGTCCAGTTCTTGGGAACAAATGTGATTGAGTCCATCAAATAATTCTTTTTTCTACATGTTACGATATGATTAAACTTCTGAAAATTATTTTGAAAGAACCAAGAGACATAGTTCTTTATAACTAACCCAAGACATGTGCATTAAGCTGTTCAAAGTTATTTCTACAAAATTTAATCATTTCATATAAAAATATGTCAACTGGACCACATTTGAATATATACCCCTGAAGTACAACCACCCGTTCGCGAAACTCACCCGTCTCCTGCTCCAACTTCTCCAGCTCGGCCGTCACGTTATCGGGTATGCCCTCCTCGTTCTGGCCGCCCGCCGCTTGGCCGCTCTGCCCCTTCTGCGCCACCGCCTGCCCACCCGGAACGGGCGAGGGTCGCGCGGGCGCCTCGACGCCGCGCGCCTGCGCCTGTCGTTGCTGCAGCAGCTGCTCGTACTGCTCGACGGTGGCGGGGCGGGCGACGCCCGGGGCGAAGCGCACGAATTGCTGGTGCAGGCTGGGCGGGGTGGCGTGCAGCTGTCTCTGCTGAAGAAGGTGTGGGGCGTTTACTTGATTATCCTTTTGTTCACGAGGAATCGAATACAGTGCTGTACGGGGTGTTATCGAGAGCGATTCGATATGTTTTCTCAACAAGATGTAGAAACACGTTATTGCTTGTATGTAAGTTCCGAATGTCGGTGACCATTTCTCAATCATCGATACAGTATATTATATATATAGGTATATACACTCACCGGCAAAAAAACGGCCATCAAAAAATGTTAAAAATGATTAACGTCAACATGTTCTTTTTAAAGGAAGATACAGGGGTATTAAGAAAGCATGAAATTTTTTTAATGTTTATTAACCATAATTCAGAATCATTCTCCGACCTTCTGTTTCATAATGTTTTGGATTAAAGTGTGATCCCTTTTTGTCCCTTCTTAACACAATGGTTCTTGATTCGCGTCAAAATCATCTTTTCAAGAGAAGATACAAGTGTTTTAGGGAAGTATGGATTTTTTAAATGTTTATCAACAATGATTCAGAACCTATTGACCATCTTTGGGATGAACTCCAGAGGCTCATTTGTTATCGACTGGCCTTCTCAGATACTCTTCAAGAGCTACGATTCGCCCCCCAAGGATAATTGTATGCAATTCCTCAAGACTGCTTGGCAAATTTGTTCAAATAATGCCATGGCGGTTGAATTGTCTAGGAGGGCCTACTTGTTATTGACTACATGTAGGAGATCTGCTTTTCATTTGTTTTTAGTAATTGAGGTTTATGTTTACTGGTGAGTTCTGAAAAAACGAGGTGGAAATAATTGATATCAACTTATAGATATTTTTCCGAGATGTTAATCGATTAGTTTATTTAGGTTCTGCAAATTTCAAAAATACATACTATCTTAAGAAACTTCTTCTTTTTGAAAGAAGATATTATGGACGTGAATAAAAAAAGATTGTGTTGAGGAGGGATCACACTTCAATCTGAAACATGATGAAGCTAAGTTTAATCACTCACTTTTGCCACAGGGCGTTAAGAAGTTTAGCATGAAATAGTTACTTCTGTTTTTACCTGTATAATGGCCAAGCCATCAGATACGTTTCTATTCTCTATTTCTGTAAGACAAGTGCAAGAATATTCCTGATTGTCATTTCAATCAAAATATGAGAAAACTGTGCCTACTCAGAAGGTGCTCGCCCTAGACTCTAGTGAATTTTCTGGACTGAATATTTACTTCAGATAACAGAGAACACAACATACAACTGAAGAACAGGTAATAAGAGGAATTTGTTTGAATATTCGCATCTTGACTAGATGAAAAAAGGATTTGAAGATGAATGTGACAGACGACATTGACATTAGGAAGTTAGGTTGACAATGTAGTTCGTCTTCTTCTCATCTTGTATTTCTGGGAACTCAAGGCATTACACACAAATACGCCGTATATTTTTTTACTTTTTTATATTTCAGAACTATGAAAATGGGTGATTCTCATAGAAAGCGATTCCTCACAGAACGTGAAATAGAGGGAATAGCCGAGAACGTGGATTTGGGGTCAGAAGCTGACTATGAAAGTGATAGGTACTTCCGGAGAACACATTTTCTGTACAGAAATTGATTATTTTATATTGTCTCTTCTAGAATATCCAATAATGTTTCATGTATATGTAAAGTATAATTCTGTTTTTTTTTCTGTGTTTACCAGTGCGTCTGATATTGTTGTAATCGCTTAGATACGAGGTGTTTGATAGTAATTGTTTTTGATTCTGAATAAATAAGTGATCAAGATAGGTTAATTGCTTATCAGAGACCACCTCGTTTACATAGGTTTGTGGCGTGAATTCGACTAGTGTGTGCAATCCCATTTTCGACGGTGCCAGACTCACCTGCTGTTGCAAAATCAGCCGCATCCTCGGATCCAGTCCCTGCATCCGCCCATCCAGCTGCCCCATCCTGACCGCCCCCCCGCCCACCGATCCGACCCTGCCCCCCGCCACGCCCGGCGTTCTCGGCCTGGCCACGCCGGGCGGCAGCGGCTGCCGGAACGTCGTGTCGGCGGCCGAGACGACGGTGGAGGCGGCGGCGGGGGCGTCGCCCTCAGGGGGCGGCCACACCCGCTGGTGGCCCTTGCCCGGCACCAGCTCGTCGAGTTTTTTGAACTGCTGGCGCTGCAGCAGGTCCCGCAGCTGCCGGTTGACGGTGAGGTCCTGCTGGTCAGGTCTGACGGGGGTCGGGAAAGCCTGAAGTGGGGGATAATCGAAGATCTATCTTTTTGAGTATTTCGGCATTTTTATTGTAGCATTGAATAGTCATACCATTACATTGTTTAGGTATGTACAGGCTGATTCACGGTGGATGGCACATTATATGTTTCTGGAGAATGCAACTCAGGATTATTCTGAAAATATGGTGCCTTAACTAATTAGTTGTGTTTTATTGACCTAAAATGTTTTCAGCATTGCGACGTTGCCGCTTATATTGAAAAGTAGCAACAACTTTGATTTTTAAAATGGGACACCCTGTATATCATTCCATTTTCAGATTCTTCCTGGAAGGCTGATTTCATTAACCCATAACACTTGAGGTCTAGCACTAATAATTACAGAGTTATAGGATGTGAAAAATCGAGATTTTTCAACTTTAGGAATTTTTTTGTGTCGAAACTATTCATAATTGGTCAAAACGGTCCCTATCCCAACATTTTATTCACTATCAATTGATATTTAATTGAAATAAATACAGGGTGGTTCACAATTAAGATTTTTGACCACCCCGTATCTATTTCAATTGAATATCAATTTGATAGTACGTGAAAAGTTAAGATAGGGACATGGAAACCGTTTTGACCAATTATGAATAGTTTCGACACAAAAAATTCTCAAAGTTGAAAAATTTTTCACACCCTATATCCTTGTTATCATTCCCGCAAGACCCCAAGTGTGATAGATCGATGAAATCAGCTCTTCAGGGAGAATCTGAAAACGGAATGATATACAGGGTGTCCCATTGAAAAATTCAAAGTTGTTGCTACTTTCCAATATAAGCGGCAACGTCGCAGCGCTGAGAATATTTCAGGTCGATATAACACAACTAATTATCCAAGGAACAAAATTTTCAAAATAATCCTACGTTGCGTCCTCCAGAAACGTCTAATGTACCATTCACCGTGAATCAGCCTGTACAAGATGATCTTTTTAAGCTTGTGTGTGCACCAGTCAATAGTAAATTATATTTATAGTAAATTCACCTACGCCTGACACCTAACGGTATAAAGGCATAGGATTCAGTAAGTAAGTAATTTCACCAATGAGTATGTAGTGAATGTGCTGATGAATATATTTTATATGCAAATAATATTTACTATCTGAATATATACAATAACATATGTCAATTACAATTAGATGGTAGTTTTGCGTTTTAAAATCCAAGATGATATTTTGATTTTTTGCCATATCTACAATATAATAACAGTTTCACCAAACAAAATTATGAAATTCTCTCTGGTTCCATCTCGGATTTCAAGGAAAACAATTCCACTAATTCTGGTTTCATATGACAAATCTTGACAAAATACAATGTTTGCCCCTCAGCAACCTGTCAAATGACGTAATTCTGGAATGATTAATGCTTTATGCAACCGACCCCTAGTATCCCAGTGCCTCTTTCACTTTCTTACCTGTAGCGTCGGTCTGGGCAATGGAAACTGCGGCCGAGGCGTGGAAGGCTGCCCGAACGTGTCCGCGGGCAACCTCGGCTGGAACGCGGGCTTCGAAGTAGCGGGAGCCTGCGCGAACGGATCGTTACCGTCGCTGGCGGGCGGCTGCGCGAAATCGTGCGCGGGCGGCCTCAACATGCCCATCGGGTGGGGAAAGCCGGGCGACTTGAGACCCAGGAAATGGCGGGCGGCAGGTGGAGGCTGGGCAGCCGGGGCGGGCTCCTGTTTCGCGGCGGGCGCTTGCAGCGGGCCGTGTTGGTCGGCGAGGAATTGCTGCATCGGGTCGGTGGCGATTTGATTTTGGACCCTTGCTATAGCTGGAAATTTTCGGTTTGCAGATACATGTGTGCCCCTTGCAGCAATGAAATTTATAGATACGCCTTGAGTAACCAGTTCCTTATTATTCCCAATGATATAAGAAACGTAGGAACAAGTAAATGATACTCAACTAAATGAATCGACAAATGAATAATTTCAAAAACTGGATCGATTTATTAAATAGGGAAATAATATATGAGACTCCAACCATTCATGTATTGTTATACAAAAATATAAAACTAGATTTTGGAGAATATATAAAATTCCGAATACAGAAAACAACTTTGAATAGGTGTACACCAAGGAATTTTAAATATTCGAGTATCATTTTTAATCCATTAAATACAATTTAATGCTTTCAAGTACATACTTCAGTACAAAAATTATCAATTTAAATACGTCTTTAGTATTTTAATCCATTTTAAATACATTTAAGTATTTTAAGTACTGTTATTCTACAAGTATCTTCAGTACTGAAACATTTATTGAATAGCCCTTCAAGTTACGAGGATGGATACATTCGAAGTGGGGCACATTATATTTAATAAAAAAATCTGTTTACCCAATCAAAATTTATTAAATACAATTTCCTTTTTCGAGGATATCGATGAACTTATCAAGTTGATCTTGGAAAAAGAAAAAGTTTTGAGCATCCCTTTAAATAAGGGAGGGGCAGGTAGCCGTGCGGACAGTGTCAATATTCTAATTCGCATTCGCTTGCCGGTCGTGGGTTCGATTCCCATCGAATGCAGAAATTTTTCTGATGGCCCAAGAAAGTGTTCGGAATCACACGTTAAAAGGTAAGGCCCCCGTCATTCTCGCAAGGGGGCAGCCGCATGACGGATAGAAAAATTTTTTGAACAAAATTTTTTTAGAAGTGACCTTTGGGATGCACTGTAATATTATTTTCATTATTTAGTGATCATTTTACAGGCAATAGCTCCATTTTCTGGTAAAGATGTGGAATTTGGTTTTTTGAATTTATTGTTCCTAGATAACGTTTGAATATCATGAATGGTTTCTCTATCAGTTCCTTTTCAGAATAAAAATGTATATTATCTTTCATAGTCCAAGAGCCGGCTGCAAAGTTCGTTCGTCATCTGATAACGAAATTATATATATCTAAATGGAATGTAAAAACATTGTAGTTTATCGAACGGCACCTGTGTCAATCACTATCCTGAGCAAAACGATTGAAAAATTGCACTTTCCTGTGCGGAAATACCAATTGAATGGTAGATTTCAATAACCCACCTGTGCCACCCCTCAGTCTGAGCCAAATCTACGGCACAACGATTTATTTGCTGCTATTATTCCGGATATACTTCCGTCAATAAATAACGAGTTGAAAAAAGAAGCAAATAAAAGGGGATGATATCCAAACGTGCCGCGATTTAAACTGATCTAAGTTAGTGGCAGAGCGTCAATACTTCCGAGAAAATTTTGCCCCCCTGATTGTTCGATAACTAAGTTAATACTCTGAATCAACTTTATTATTTATCTAAAGTTACATAACATTGACATCTATTCTATTTCTGTCATCTTGAAATATCCTATACACAGAGTGATATAGAACATCTCCCCAGAAATCTGCCGTAAGAACCTTCGATTTCTTACTAGGATTCGACCACTCGGCATCTTGATCTTGTAGTTTCGCTTATCTTCAACTTCTACAATAGTTCCCACCGTATCCCAGAGTTTTTTTATTGAATTTTGCAAACGAACTGTACGTCCTACTCCGATTGGTGCCAAGATTTTAGATCGTTCATTGTACTGAACGTGTACCTTTTCTCTAGACTTTGCTAATCTGAGGTCACATTCTTCTGCTGCTTTTTGCCATACTGGAGCAAATGACTTCGAATGAGCTGGGACTAAAGACCTGAGAGGATGACCAAATAACACTTGAGAAGGAGAACGACCATCTACTTTCGGTGTATGGCATCAACTTTTGGATCATACCTTAAAGCTTTTCGAAGTGAGCATAGAAATTGGTCTCCAACTTAGAGATAGACTCCTTGGTGCTACTTTCTAATAGCGAAATTGCCTCTTGAGTGTAAGAAACTGTGTCCTCAATAGGCTTCAATCTACTGCTGATAATAGCTTCTGTTTTTCCATCCACACTTTTTCTCGGCATGATTCTTGTGGGAGACACTTGCTTATCAATGAATTAACACAATACCGACTGCGCCATATTCGATAACTAAGTTAATACTCTGAATCAACTTTATTATTTATCTAAAGTTACATAACATTGACATCTATTCTATATCTGTCATCTTGAAATATCCTATACACAGAGTGATATAGAACACTGATAATATCCGATGGACCAGTATAAAACTCAATATGTGAATTAGAATACTTGTAGTGTGAGCACCACATGAGTTTTACACTGGTCCATCGGATATCACATTTCGACGAGGGCGAAATATTCACGGAAATATTGAGGCTCTGCCACTCACTTAGATCTGTTTGAATCGCGGCACGTTTGAATATTCGCAAAGGCGACATCATCCCCTTTTATTTACTTCTTGTTTCAACTCTTCATCACATGAGGGAAGGATAACCCGAATAATAGCAGCAAATAAATCGCTGTGCCGTGGATTTGGCTCAGACTGAGAGGTGGCATAGTTAGGTTTTTGAGATCTACCATTCAATTGGTATCAGGCATAATTCTTTTCTCGTTATCAAATAGCGAAATGTAGTGCAAATTGCCGCACGGAAAGTGCGATTTTTTTTATTTTTTGCTCGGGATAGTGATAAGCACAGGTGCCGTTCAATGAACTACAATGTTTTTAGTTTCCTTCCGTCAAAAATGTAATGTCAACATCAAACTTGTAATAATCTGATTCAATATGGGAACAGATACAATATAAGCTGAAGCAGTTGCTGATTTTGGAACTATGATTATGGTCATATTCCAAATTCAACGGTCAGTATTTACAGTGAGCAATGTAAAATATTACATCATACAGTTGGTGATATTTGGGAATTATATTAATCAATTCATATTAGGATTTTATTTCCATTTCATAGTTATGTGCATTACGATATGATTGATTTAGCAATCAATTCGAGAACTAAACATGAATATTTACCTCTTTGTGACACAGCAGCGTCCTCTCTTGAAACTTCATCAATCTCATCTATCAAAATTAAATTAAAATTAAATTTCTTTGATATTAATTTTCTACTCTATCAAATACTAGTGATTATGAAATATAATACCCTTCCCACTACATAATATTACTAATAATACTAATTCATTCACTCTAAACAAACTACAGTAATACAAGTTAGTAAGAATAAATGGTAGCAACATGTAAAATAAATTTGCTGAAGGTGACTGGTGTGAGTTATTAGAACAGAAAAGAATTTGGTGCATACTATTTTAGAAGTCATGAACTGACAGTTGAATTTGGACTAGTGTTTCCACCTTTCTTCTATTAACTATACTATATAAGTATTTTAATGTCATAATCAGTACCACGACTGAAACATCATTAAGCATCAAATTTTGATTTGATTAATGGTGCAAGAAAACTAGTATATCAAAGTGAATAATTACGATAATTATATAATGAAAAAAGAAAAATATGTAAATGCATGCTAAATCTTACAAATAATAATCTTCTAATTATCTATTAATTACACTGGCAATATCTCCATGAAACCCAATTTTAGAATTTTCTGAAAGTTTATTCAAGTAAGATGAACTGAGACGACGGAAATTATTGAATGTTGAAATGTAGGGATACAGGATATTGCCAGTTGATATTTTATCAAACTTTTTCAAAGAATACATTGAGAAATATTACCTTGAACTCTCTGCTCATGTATAACATGCTGTTGTTGTTGAGCCTGCTGCTGCCTCATAGCTTGCAGCTGCTTCCATTGCCTCTCCTGTTCTGCTTCTCTAGCAGATTTTTGCTGTAGAGCAATTTTTTCTTGATCCTAAAATAGCAAAATATCAAGAATACGATTCGTTCGAATTTTCAGCTTCTTGATGGATTTTGGTAACAAATAGAACTAAAAACCTATGTATAAGCCCAAAAAGATAGAAGAGGCCATAACACCACAAAAATATATACAAAGAACACAGACACCATGCTTACATTAGTCAAAAGTCAAAGAAAAGTCAGTCTTACAATAAATAGTTCGTTTATAATAATCACTACATAAAAGGACAAAGAAAAGAGAACATATAAAGATAAATCCTCCACCGTAGGCACATTGTTAGGAAATTAAAATAAACAGTCTACATAAAGAAAAGTAGGATTAATTCCAATCTGATAATATGGAATAGCTCTGATATCTGGTGTTCAGGATTTGGAAAGGATTAAAGGTAATTGGTGCTTTAAAACTGCAAAACATTTTCCAAAGAAACTCTCATTCATCAACTAAATTCAAAGATCAAATATTGCGAAAATATAAAAAATTTCATGCTTGCATTGATAACCGCCTGCAAGGTTTCAATTTACACTCAAGAAGATACAAAAATGAAGGAAAACCAAAATATGGAATATAATGAAAAATTAAATTCACAGGGCACAGCCGCTTGTGAGTCAGTGTAAAAGTTCATTTTGTATCTGTCGTCTCAGCGAAAAAATCAGATGTACCTCCGTAATGAATATATTGGATATTGTTACTTTCAAAACTAGATAACTATTTATAACACATAAAAAAATGTTTTCAAGTTAAAATGAATTGTTTTTCAACCAACATTCAATTACTAAGAAGATAGAAACTACATATAGTTATGTATATTTTGGGATATTTTCACTTTTACTGAAATTTACACTTGAAACAATCCAGGATTATATGAATACCCAGTTTTTCATTCCTCAGTGCAGGTTCATATTCCCGGTTTGAATCCGTTGTTACTTGATAAACATCGATTGCACATTGGATGGAATAACCTAATTATAATGCAGCCATGATTTAATAAACTATTACATGATATAAAAATCTTATGAACTATATCGTTTTGATCTTCAGTTAGCTTATAATTTTGAAATAAGCCATTTGCTTATATTTGGTTTAATGTTCAAGGCTTCATATATTATTGAATGATAGTGTAATAACTCCAGTCCAAAGGCAATTACTTTTTTTATTTTTGAAAAAATCTTATATTGTACAATCGATCGTAATTTTTCATCTAAGACAACTAAACTGCTGGGCAATTATTGAACTTCAACATATTCATGGAATGCAATGAGGATTTACACCCAGAATACTTCATATGTTTTCAATGTGCTGAATCGAATTATAAAAATTAGTTGTAGGTGATCGGAATTTCAAATGCACATTTTGAAGATTTCAAATGCTAATAAGCAGTTTATCGTTATTTTCTATTGAATCAATAATTTTTTTACGCTACCTCACGTTTTCAGTCTCTCCTATCACTTATTTTGACTTGAACCTTGAACCCAAGAATAAAATCGATCAGATAATTAGTTGTGAAAATTCTTATGACCGTGACGACAGTCACCCAACTTATAACACACAATATGTAGGCAAGAATAATTTAGTCATGTGAAACAAAATTCATTTCAACAGATGAGCAGTGGCTACAGTTTGGCAAGAAGATGGTGTTGATGTCAGTTTGAAGTCCAGGCCAAGCTCTACCACAACGGCCTCAATTCCAGACGTGGCCAAGAAACTGTTTCTGTGCACCAATTTATGACTCATCCTGTCACATTAAGCACCAAATATCAGGAGTGCTACAACTGATTCAAGTGAACCTCCATTTCAATTATTTTCCTTAGAGATGGGGGTAACGGAATGACACATGTCCAATATTGCTACCGCGTGAAGGTGCTGGTGTAATTGGGGGTAATCTGTCATCTGCATCACATGATAACTATTTGAAAATGTTCAAAGAAACATCTGCTTTGAACTTTCCACACTATCTGCCACTGTTCTCACATATGGTGGAAACCACATTCAAATTTATTGACATGCTTATGAGAAAATGGCAGTAATGAAGTTCTCTAGCAGTTTACATCGATACTTCAACTGAAATGACAAGACATCCACGTACCCTTACACCTACTCTGACAAGCAGCATCAACAAAAATGAAACAAAAAAAAATCGGAAACAATTCACACCGAACACAGTCGACTCTCACCAATGCCTGGGGTTCGTAATTCTCCTGACATAGCGAGGGTAGCGTGCGCATTATTTCCGAGGGAGTCAAAACCCTGATCTGCTGATCCGTAGCGCTACTTTGTTGCGAACCTAACCTCGGATTGTGCGATTGCGCACTATCGCCGCTCGGCTGATAGTGCGGATTGACGGTGACGTTCGGCGCGGGGCCTACACGATCACCCGGCCCCGCGAAATTACCGCGAACAGTGAACTGCTGGTGGGTGGTGGGGGAAGAAGGTGGTTCGGGGGTAACAGACACAGAGCTAGCGGAAGCCGGTGTTAGTGTCGGTCTCGATTGGGTGCACACCTCTGTAACTGCGCCGGTGGGCGGGGCTACTACGGGGGGCGGTACTAAGGGAGCGGCAGCGCCGCCCATCGTCGTCTGCTGGATGAGGGCCGACTGCAGGGAGGTGACCAGGGCTGCTGCGATGGCGGACGACGGTTTCGATACGCTCGGGGAGGTTGGGGTGGTTGTCGCTTCCTTCGAGGTCTGTGACTAGAGGGGTTGATAGGGTCATTTTAGATGTACACATTTGAGAATCCTCTTCAACTGATTCGGACGTTACTTAATTGGAAATCTATTGTGACTACAGAAACTTCATGAACAATGAGATTTTCACATGACCATATGGTTTGCTGATGCACTTACTTCTTCAGATGACAAAATTCGTTCAATGAAATAACCTACATTGACTATGAATGTCTTAATAACCTTACAAAAGCAATGGTATTATTTTCCTGTACCTACGGTAAATAATCCTCAATTTCTGAACAATAATCTACATTGAAATCCTATATTCACAAAATGCAACAAGCGCTACCATATTCTAGAAGATGAATATAGTTTTTTGAGAAGGAGTTCAGTAGTCAAAAACCAGTTAGTTTGTACAAATTTCATCACCTGCAGAAGCTAGTGATTTAGTGAAACGTCGTGTTTTCAAGAATTTTGTGTTTAACCAGCAATGAAATTCAATAACGCTCAAAACAATAGGAGAATCAATAATTGAAAGAATAGAAGGATTAAAACTTGGTGACTTCTTCAGCACAACAAAAAGTAACCGAGATGCTTCAATGCTGATGAAACTTCATTAATAAAAAAAAACTGAAAGAATTTCGTCATTATACTCAATTTTTGAATTGGATCTAAGTATTTCTATTTGGTTGAGAACGAGAACAGAGACGACAATTAACGATCCTAATTGTTTCATATAATCAAATCGATACATCTAAAATGATAACAAAGGATAATGAGAAAAAACATTGTATTCAAGCAACAGCTATTTGGATTGGGAAAAACATAAAAGTACATTGTTTGATGTAATAATATATTTTTGTATGCTGTATATAGGGTTAGAAAAAATTCTCATACTGAAATGTAATATTCGGATTTGGAACAATTTTTCAGTTCTCAACATTATGTTAGTGGTAGTTCACAATGTATTCCATGTTCACATTTTTTGTTATTCCTTGGTAGTACATCCAATCATTATCAAAATTGCACACAGTTTTCACTATGCAAATTCTATCACATCAAACAAACTGTAGAGTTGATACAACGAATAATGTTAGTGACATCCCGCCAACTCATAAAGCTCGAGATGAGCATGCTTTCTACCCAATGTGTTAAACACATTCAAATTGAATATACCTATACATATACAAACGAAAGAAAATATTCTCACATAATTACAAAAATAAAATTTAGTTATTGTTTTTGAAAACATAATCATAATAAAAGGGCACAAAAAGGGTATCCAATGGGGAAAATATATGCATTTGTTGAATCCGATCTCGGGAGACCCTCATGAATTTTCACTTTAGATTCTTGCTCAGAAGTCAAAAAGGTACGTCCATGCGATTCTCTCAAGTTTAATTTGGATTTTTAAGTTTGCATACTTTATGGTTCTGCCAGTGGAATGGTGATGGGATTGGTATTTTTGAGGAATATTGTAACTTTGTCATCTTGAATTGAACATCCTTCATTATATTTTCAGCTTAACACAAAGTCTTGTTTTCAAACTTTCCAAAATATATGGTTTGTTCCAATTTTTATGAAAGTTTACAGAAAGCCAGCATGTACCGTCATTCTGAACATTTATTGATTTTTTTCATTCTTTTGTAGTTACTCAATTGCTGTTATAGTATTTATGTCATCTTCATTGGAAATCATTATTTACTGTTGAAACAACTTCAACAAAATAGTAATTTGCCTTAGGAAATTAATCGCAATAATTTGCATTGTGTTGTATTACGAGAATATGGAACAATCTACATATTTCTGATGTTACAAAACATATCTCTGTATTGGGCTGAAAATATACAGGGTGTTGTATTTGAACTAGCATTGATTCTATTGCTAAAAATCACTATGTCCACTTCCGGTTGAACCGTAACTACCTGATTTCAAATAAAACTGCTGAATCCAGTTTGAATCCTTGCAAATTTTCGAGTAATAAGCGATCAAAATCCCAAGAAGTTGTCTGCAACATCTATTATTTTTGAATTCATTTTGAAAATTGAACTGTTTGATCTCCATAAATCTTCATACAAAGGTTAGACTATCAAATGTCAGAATGAGCTTAAACATTTGTATCTTCTGGACCACAATCAGTAATTCCAAGTAGTTTTTGACCAAGTGTCACTCTTGAATTGAAGAAATTATGTTAAAATATAATACAAAAGTACAGAGGTGTAGAACGGTCGATTTATTTTTTCAAAATTTATAACTCGAAATTGGTACATAATGTTCCTAGATTTTCTATACAAGTGATATTTTCGTGATACAGGATGTTTGGGAGATAGAAACTGATAGGGGAGATAAGTGGGGTTATTTAGGATCGATTCGACCGAATAACATCAAGCTAATGGCCTTTTATTAATAGACATGAAAATGTTGACAAAAATTTATTATTATCTACAAATTATAGGAGATTTTGAAGTAGATAACTCTATCAAGTTTTAGGTTCCATTACTAATGCTCATGAATCGATATCGCGATTACGGTACATACTGGTTTCATCTTCTGGGAGGATGGAAAATAAAAGATTGATGTCAAAATTATAAATTGTCTTGCTCTCCACCCGAATTGAAACTTTACGACTTCAGTGGCTTATAAAATTTTTATAAGGTTTTAGCGAATTATGTGTGAATAATGAATAATACTGGAAATTAAAAACTTTCTTTGATACCATCCAGAAAATTGAAATTGAAACTCTGGTTGTGATGCGATTTCCCATCGATATATTCATCCAACTCATTAAAAACGAATTTCTAAAATTCACCCATGCTATGATCCCTCAAACATTGTGTACACTCCTGGTGTTACAATTTCAATTTCCTCTGGTGGTTTATAAGAATTTTGCAATCCTCCAACATATTTTCGAGTTGTACTAATTTGAAAATGTCATATGATAAATAAATAATCTTTGTGAACAGTGTTTTTATGAGAAATAAGTTCTTATACTAAAATAATTGCTCAAAAGTAACAGAGTCACAGAGCCTCAAAGTGTGTGAATGATTCCTAATGACTTTTCCATGTACAATGTTTCTCTCTGATTTAGCTTAAATTTGTTTCTGAAGCAACTCTCGCGGATGTTTCCAAAGATGCTTTGTCAAGTTAAAATTTAGCTGAGATTGGTGTTAATCGAGTGCAAACAATATTTATTAACCTTGAGGGGATATTTTGTGACATAAAAAAAGAAGATAGGTACTGTTACTCTGCTATATTTGAGTCTTCAGAAAAAGTCATGGAAGCTTTCTGAATTGATTTTGCAAGTAGAAACGGCCCCCAAGATGTTTGTTCATAGTTTCCTCTCGATAATGAGGAATATATCGGGTAGTTCAATGAAAGGTTTGCCACTTTTCGCCAACCCGTATACCTTCGACGATCATAACACAAAAATTCAAGCTCACCTGCTGTGCCTTCTTCATCCTCAACTGACTCCTGTTGTCTCTGGCGTGCTGCAAATATGGCGCCTTCTGGTCCTGACTAAGAGTCCTCCATTTCTTGATGATCTGCTTGTACCTATAATGAATAGGAATTTTAACCAGAATATGGAACACGTCCAATTTTGAGTTCAACAGAAATTAGAGTATATTTCAAAGTCGTGTGTCAATTTTTGTGTTAGATCATGAAGGCGTATCGACTCTTAAAGTACCACAACTCCAGAAAAACATTTGCACTGTTTGCTCAGCATCATCCTGATTGGCCTAAAATGCCCACTTCCAATTCGGAGAGTGTTCCGGGACTAGGCCGGAAAGAACTACATCTATGCCATTGTTACCTATACAATACATATAATAAGCAAATAATTATGTAAATCTAGGTAACAACAATTTGACATTGAAATAGTGCATGGTTTGGAGTGACTTCTGGAATTGGGAGGATTCTGCCGCCTAGTATGCGATGGGAACTCGACCTTTTTCCGATTGATCGACGGATGTCCCGTTAGTTCAATTGGCAGAGCGTTGGGCATGTAATCAAGAGGTTGTGAGTTCGATTCTCACGCGGGGCGGTGTAGAGTTTTTTCATTTTCGGTTGTCACACGAAATTAGGGCTTTTTATCATCTTCATTATTGTTAAAATAGTTGACATTTTCCTTCTGAAGTTTACATGGCTTTTCTTTGCAAACAGTACAATAAATGCTGAAGCATCAAAGGCTAGGTACGTAATGAATTAATTTGTTCAATGGATATGAAGAAATGCAAAACTTTTCCAGAGGATGTAATTTCGGCTTAGTTGTCACAAAAATCGGGAATTATTTGTTGAATCCTCTACCCCGTGGATCATGTACTTCATGCTGAAAAGCAGATATTCAGATTATAACTCTTTGGTTTCTCCACGATTTGACATATCATGCTTTGTTTTCTGGGAAAAAAGAAAAACTATCTCAGCCATAAGTTATTTCCTTTACTTAATTGATCAAATGCTCGTGTCGAAACTGAAAGGGCCAATATTGATCAGACCTGACCTTATACAGGGTGTTTCAGACTTAAATGTACATACGATACCTGTAGATAGAGGACACTTCGGTGGTTCCAAATCACCCCCCATCGATATGTCTACCGTCTTTTATAACTGAGATACAGGACGTTATCTTGATTTTGGCAAAATCTTCATCTGGTTATAACTTTTGAACCACTTTGTATAATTTATTCATACTTGGTTGAAATATTCTACTTATATTACCCATCAAAACAAAATAAAAATTCGGATCAGAATCCAGGTCCGTCTTGAGGAAAAAGAGAAAACTTCTTTTATCTCAAAAACAACACCCTGTATGGCAAAATTTTGTAGGTCTGTTTTGATATTTGGAAAGAGCGGAAAAAAATGAAATAAGTGGCCTACTTTTTACGAGTGCGCATCTAATTTGACAGATGGTTTATTATCATGTTTTGAAATATTCAGCTCCATTTCGAGGCATTTTTATTGAACTTATAATTCAAAATTCAATTTTAATACAAAAAAATAACAGTCTCCAAAGTTCAACATTATTAGAGTCAAATTAGGTGAACTATCGATAGATTTGTTGTGACAGAATCACTTGTCTATGGTATGGTTAGTTTTTTATTTTTAAGTCCAGCTACCTATTTGAGTATACTTGGTGCAAGACGCTGCCGTGTAAAAATCGCACATCCTGGAGCTCTTGATCAGGTTAATGGAACAAAACTATCAACTTATACTATTGTCATTGGTCCTTGATGAGAGTGCGAGGTCTGGATGTAACTACTCATACCAGTACTTGGTTTAAGACATACCGTGTCTAAACATTGTGAAGTTATTCGAAGGAAAAACGAACATTTAAAATTTTGGAGAAGGAACATTTTGATTTTTTGGTGGCGGAACATAATTCACCATTTTATTCAAATCGGATCTTGATAAGTGTGCGAAGTTTGAATTCAATTCAACGTTTTGAAGTGGGTCAAAATTACGTTCGTAGATTCCGCGTTACACACAAACATAAATACCAAGCTAATATAAGCGTGTTGAAAAGGGGTGCTCCCTATTGACTTACCTGTCCGACCAGACGGGGAACTCCTTCTTCCACTCGGGATGGTTCATATTGGCGTACAGGACGGCGGAAATGGTGGCCGCGTTGCCCAGACTCTCGTCCGCCTTCATCTTCTCCGACGACCGTTGGTTGTAGGTGGACGGCACGCCCACATTGGTGCTGTCTATTTCGGGGGCGTCAGACACGCCCACCCACGGGCTGGGCGGCTCCGAGAAGGCGGGGCTGAATTGGGGACTGCTGAGTTAAATGAATGAACGATAGTATCGGATAGAATCGACATTGTGAAGAATGGAGAATGGCCATGAATAATCGGGTCCATTCTGTTTGTATCTTGTTATAACATTGCTAAGATAACAATGTTGTTGTGATCAATATTGCAAAGCAATTCTGAATTCTATTTGGACAGCAACTGTAAGATTGGTTATGAGTACAAGTGATAGCAATATTGTTGAAAAATTGGGAACTTTTGAGCTGACAACACTGTTTTCAAATAATTTGTTGAGTATTAGGTACCGTTATTGCCATTATTTTATTTTTAAAATTATATTATTCATTATTCCAAATTTTTTGGGATTTTTTCTCCTCGTTTCTATATAATAAAAATATGAATATTATTTCAATATAAGTGTAGTAAGGACAAATCAGATGATTTGCCCCAAAATATATTATTCAGATTTACAGATTGTTTGTATCTGGTGAATTTGGTCATCGATGTGCAAGTGGTTCAAGTTATCAATCATGTCCCGAAATAAGAAAACAACCAAAAGCCGTATGAAAATTTCTGATTGTTTTGGAAATGAACACAATTCATATTATCAGAAAAACTCAAGTTGCTAGCTTATTGAAGTAAAATAGCTTAATGAACTTTCAATCAGGCAATTCGAATGTATTGCTGTAATTTATTGAAACTTCATGAAAAGTTGGATACACAAGTTAACTCCTTATATGTTTATAATCACATATTTTCTGAATTATCAATAATTCCTCTACAAATTGAAACTTAGAGGAAAGGTTTTCAAGTAGTTAAGTTACACAAGTGAACGTATATAATCATCTGTTTTCCTAATTTTCAAACACTTGAAAGAAATTGTAGGGCAAAAACAAAGAATCTACTACCATTTTCAACCTTGTTATGAGATGAAATTGATTTTGCCAAGACATCAAGGAAGCTAACAAGATGTCATTGAAATTGACAGATCATATTGCCAAAAATCGATGATTAGAATTAAAGTTTGTCGAATCTTGCTGTGACAGCAATATCTTCTGTACAACCATTTTGCTATTTGCTAACAGAATCCACCCGAATATCGAAATGTCATACATTTCAAGATTTCCGACCATTAGTTTCTACAAAATTGCAAAATTCTGAACCACCTATGTAAGCAATACCACCAAGGCCGGATTCTTGAATCTCATGCTTCTATTTCCGATAAGTGATCAAAATTTCGTAGACTCATATTTCCGAACAGAATTGAATATACCGATTGTTTCCCGAATCATGACATATAGATAGAGCATAGTGAATGGCAACATAGCATGGCCTAATTCAGCTATCGTACATCTCCGCCGGTATCTGCTAGAATATCTTACAGAATGTAAACTGAAATCCATTCATTCCAAATCTCGAACGGCGAGCTTAGCACTCCGCTGCTGCTACGTTGCCAAATACCATCCTTTCTTAACACTCCTATATGTGAAGATTCGATAAAAAATCTGTATACTGTTTGTTTTTGAGAGTTTCGGGAGGTTTATTACATAAGTAAAGAATACCATTAACAGCTCAGCTATAGCTCAGACGAAGAAATCATTTAACGATATGGAATAACCAACAGCTAGGACCATAGTAATAGACGTATCATTATTCGTCAACTTTATTGCCACTGTTGAATCTTCATACCGACTTCTCGAAAAAAGCTATGAGAGACTAGATATCATTATCATGTCCGATATTCAAGCAGCCATTGAAGCGCTGAGCTCATATTCTGGCTTATATCAGAAGTAATACAAATTTGCTATCACTACCCCAGAATTTTGAATTAAATTTCAGTTCGTATCATAACGTGGATGGAGTTGTTTCCAATAGGAAATTACTCTTTCCTATGGTCCATTGTGTGGGATGCAGTTCTTCTAAAATGTATAGAAAAATGTTTTCATATTATTTTCGAGAATAAACACACTGAAAATTCTGATATAAAATACCGATTTTATCCTACTGGAATCAATTCCGACAGAATAAAAAATCGGGTCCTAGATAGCGGCGGTTCTGAAGCTGAAGAATATTTCAAGGCAAGCATCGGTTTTTGATATACATAGTAGTAAAAACATTTTTCAATGGGAAAGTTGCTGCCCCCCAAAAATGGTCACCGCCTCCCCGTTTTCAGCTCTGCTGGTCAACACTGTACTAAAAGCATAAAAAAATGCTGAATGAAAATTAAAATGACTTTCATTAGTCTGTCCATATCGGATGAGCGAATATATCTCAAAAACTCAATTTTTTTGTGGACTTTTCAGACCATCTAGCAGTGAATCGGTATTCCTTGATGTTCCCTTTGGTCTGGTATACTCCGAATCAAAAATGTTGATGGTTGTGTGAACAAAAAATATCACTAACTTGCTATATTCTGAATGATATGGACTAGGTGGGGGAAAGCTGACAGGAGAATTCAGATTAGACTGATTGACAGCTGGCAAGGTTGTCGGTCTGATGGGTGGAGTGATGACTGGATGCTGAGGAACAGTTTGCTGAACACCACCGTTGAATAGGCTGTTACCCTGTAATGGAAAGGCATTGCTTTCTTGCGACTCTTGGGACTCATCCGTCAAAACACCCTGAATATGATAAGAACAAATTAATTTAGAAAACATGTCTTTTGGACTTTGCTTTACCTTGAATATATCTTCAACATCTTTACTGTTGATATTTGAAATAGAATCTAAGTTAAAATGTGGCCCTAAAATATCACTCAGTTCATCTTTGGTATCCTTTGAATTTCCCGAACTACCTAAAGTATCGGCCAGCTCGGAATCGTCTGGCATATTGGAATCTGAAACACAACAAAATAAATAACAAAAATTCAGTAGAATGAATTATCATCATTACCTAAAGCTTCAAGTGACTCGGTATTTTTAGTCAACTCTTCGTCATCCTCATTTATTATACTATTGACAAGATCGGTATCGAGAAGATCACCAGGTAGAGCTAATACATCTTTCAGGTCTTCAGTATTGTCGTCATCTTCTTCTTTGATGTTGGATAATTTCTCATGTTTTACGTTCTCTTTGGTATCAGATAGATCGTGAATGTCTTGTTTGGCTGTTACTGCAGCTACAGCTATCAATTCATCCTGAAAAAAAAAAATATCGTCTACAGTCTGTACCAGTTTGAAGTAAAGTTTTCTGCATTTTGTTTCCAAACGTGCCTGGCCTCATCATCTTCCCAAATCATTACAGTACGAAATATTATACTATACTTATGTCTATAAATAAAATTCATTTTGAAATGTGCCTAGTGATAAATTAATAACACATAAAACCCCCAGAGGTTCAGATTGGAAAGGTCAGTAGTTCAGATATCGAACGCTTCGAAGATATTTAATTGAACACATGAATCTGGATTCAGGCTCCATCACAATTTGTTGATGTTATTAGCCTACTAAATCAGGAAGTATGTTGTTTCAATAAATCATTGAAATGTTTGCTGTCGGAGTGAGGCTTCAGCATTTCTTACCAGTACAAGTGTTCAGGATTAGTAGTAAATGAATGAAGAAGAGGGATGAAAGCCATCCAAATCTCTTTCAATCAATGTATCATGATTTACATTTAATGAACAATCAATATTACTACTCAAAATTGAAGGGACTCGAATCTATAGCGTTTTGAAATCAGCATATTTCATTTGATATTTCAAAAAGCCGGATATGAAGGTGGAGCCGTGACGTATCAGTTCCGAACTGTAGCTATCTCTCTCTGATACCTTGTCATTCTGCAGTATTATCGTGTGATTGGTCAGCCAAAGGACAATAGGCGTGTTGGGAATATACGTCACACCATTAACACCCACAGAACTCAAAGACTTAGAAGGCGAATATTGTTCTATTTGAGCGTTCCACCCAAACTGGAATAAAATCCAATAAAAGCCACCACGACTCTTCAATAATCTCAAATTCACTAACGAAGGGCACGTTAAATGAAAAATAAAACATTGAATAACCGAAACTAATCTGGCTCTGCTTTAATTCTACGTCAAACGAATTGATAAAGGTAAATTCTTACACAGTTGCCAGATGAACTTGTAGGAAACTAGAACTTCATAATAATTCAAGGATTTCTCCTTAGCAAATTAATTAATATCAGCGAGTCTATGGATTTTGTCGTGAAAATTGTCTATATCATTTTTGTGAAGCTGTTAATCAACAGTTGCAAAAAGTTCAATAAGAAATTTGAACTACATCCCAATGCATAAATATGAGATTTGCCTATATAACTGGCAATGCTCCTTCTGTGGCCACACCAATGAATTGACACTATTTCAAATGGCGCAGGAAGTGTGTGTTTTGAAATGAACATATTTTAATTTTTTTTTTGTTATCTCATACTCTCATTTTGATTTAACAGTATTCAGATGAAAATTGAAAAGTTTATGTTAACAGCCTCGGTCCGTTAAGATTGTTAAACATCCAGCGGCCGTTGAATGTTCCATAACACGATGTTGGGATTCATCTGTAGACTTACGAGGTACGTGGTTTGTTCTTTCCTCGGAATCAAAATGTAATTTTCCAGCAGGATCACGAAAAGTGTAGAACGACACACAGCCGATACTCAATATCATCCGTTATTTGTAACATATCGGCCTTGTAACGTTACTATTATCGTCCTAGTATGGATGAAAAAATTCAAAATTGTATTTACTGGAAGTTTTTCGGTAAAGAGCTCATGATGATCAGTGGTCTCCACCATTGAAATAAAAAATACCTGGATCAATTCAAATTCATACTATACTGTACGGTGTAATCGCCCACTGACCTGTGACAGCTTGATCGACCTGCCCATCTCGTCCTTGTCCTCGTCGCTGCTGCCGCTGTCCACCTCCTTCTTGCACTCGACGGCGTCCATCAGGTCCTTCCCGAAGAACGCCTCCTGCAAATAGGAGGGGAACGTCTCGACCAGCTTGCTCTTCGGTTTGCGCCTTATCGGCTTGCGGCGCGGCTTGTCTCCGTCGCCGGGCAAAGGGACGGCCAAATCGCTGTTCGAATTCGCCTGACCTTGCAGGACGTCGATATCGTCGTTGTCCTGACCGGACCTGATACCTGCCAGAGATTATTCAGTTACTTTTCTAGGCATTAGAGTCACTGGATGGTATTAGTTAGATAAGAGTTTGGGTGAATAAAAGGATAAGACATATTCTGCTCTTTGATTTTTCAATTCCCCTAGTAGCGCCTGATTGTCAGATTAATAAAATAATAATAATACTTTATTTTCCAATGAGACAATATTACAAATTGTATAGGAAATTGTCAGAACATAGAACAGAAGAAAGAATACAGAAAATGTAGAAAACACGATTCAAAGATCAAGACCTATGTCTAGTCTAAAAATTCTGTCAGCGAATAATGACATTTTTGCGTCAAAAAAATTGTTTAGCGTCTTTTTGAAAAGAGCAAGATGCTCTGCATTCCTTATGTGGTCAGGAAGTTTATTGAAAATTCTTCTTTCGATGTGCTCAGGTGATCTGGAGGTTACTCTTAGTCTAGCAAATGGTACATGAAATTGATCTCTAATCCTGGTGTTATAGTGATGAACATTTTTATTCACTTCAAAAACTGGCCTGTTTTTATATACAGTATGATGCAAATGTATGGAATAAATTCATTTCAAAACAAGACGACTTTCGAAAAAAAAAACAAAAACTAGAGTTTAGAACTTTTTTTTCGACGTATTTTTTTAACTAGACGACCCTTCGATGTTTTTACTCCAACACCGGTGACGTAACATCTCTCATATGAATATCATGAGATGAGGCTTCAGAAAATAAAACTCACGTGTTTTTGGAATTTTTTCAAATGTCGCCCATTTCTGAAATAATGAATTTATTCCATACATTTGCATCATACTGTATATACAGACAGATTCGATTCTGGAGGTTAGATTTTCTGTCAAATCAATCAAAGCCGTAGATGGTTTGATGAAAAATTGAAGTGGGATAAACATAGAGGTTCTGACAAAGAAAATATCTCCTATTATTGGTGCATTGAGAAGATGTCCCAAACTCAATATGAAAATTGCAAATATCACTCAGAAACTCAGAAAATTTCATACAATATAATAAATAGAAAATTGAAATCTAATTTTATTTTGAGAAGAAATTTTTAAAGTCATAGTCATCAAAGTAGAGAATATAACTTATTTCTTCTAACCTTTCACTCGGACAAAAAAAAATTAACTCGTGCAGCCTTATCTGAGTTCAATAAACTACCAGATGAAATTAAAAACTGCAGAAATATAGGTACATTCAAACAGAAAGTGAAAAAACTCATTTCTGAGAGACATGTTTAAAATTTATCAGTAAGTTGTCCTTGACTAGAATTCTTTTCATGTTCACTTCTACCCATGTTTGTGTTGTAGTTCATAGATATTTATTACCTATCATTTTATAATTATGTTCTTCCTATACCAGAACTTGTTCTGACTGGAAGATATGTTTGATAAATAAATAAATAAATAAAAATAGGGTATAAACACCCACTTCAATTTATGGCCATACACTTTTCGCAGAACAACAATTATGAAAATGGAAAGAATGCATATGTAACAACATTTTAATATGACAAAATACACATCATCCTTGTTGGTTTCAATCCGGCCATCGGTAGATCATTTGCAATAACAACAAATGGTTCAAATGGTCCTGTCAACATCTTTTGGCACCACAGAAGTTTTTCAAAACCCACTATAAGCTGTAGAGGTCTGCACTTCTCTATCAACCATGCACAAGTTCAGACTTGAGCTTTCAACTTTGGAATAAGTGATACACAAATAATCCATCTCTACGATAGGTATATCAGAGTTCCACAATGTAACTATGTTCCACAAAATTTGCAGTATTTTTACAGTTGGAAAAAGCACAAACTTGCAACTTATTTTCACAATTTTCTCATTTTCACAAACCTCTGAAATTTATATTATGTACGTTCGCGTACTGTCAGTTCCCGCTTTCAATTTATTTATGGTTATGTCTGACTGTCAGTGCTTGTCATAGTGCCCGTACTCTAAATATACGAAAACGTCAAAACAGAAGTGTTGAGTACATTGAGGAACTCTAGTATAAATAATAAATATTACATACCAAGTATGGAAAGTGTCATATTTTGCGAACGAAAACTAGTAAGAGCCAAACACCGAAAGTTTTTAAATATTATTTTACTCTTTAGGTTATTGTGATTTTGTTAGGAAATTATAAAATTCTAGAGTTTGTTATGTATATATAAGTAGTCCTAGTTCAATTTCATAGAGCGTAGCATTTAGGAAAAAAATCGACTTTGAAAATTTTCTGGTTTTCGTATGTTTATTCATGAAAATTAATCTGCATAACCATAGAAGAAATAATCATTTTTTACTAATTAATCACCTCTCAAAAATGCTAGCTCTAGATGGCGTTACAGACCGATAAACAATTTTAGTGTTTTATCGCTCAACAATCGATGGAAGTATTTCCACATTTTATATAGAAAAAACAATTTACTTCCACAGTAGGAGTGTACTGAAGTAAACACAATACATAAGTCGTATCGTATATAATTGCAATTGATTTATCGTGGTATATGACGTCATGCGCTGTCCCGTGTTTTACATGTTCTGAGATATCGTGAATTTCAATAATTATGCTGAAAATGTATAGAGCTCAGAGGGGAAAAAACTTTTTGTGACATTGAACAAGTTTGGGTTAGTTCATCAAAATAATTAAATAAAATGTTTCACTGAAACAGTCCCATTCAGCATGTCATGTGGTTCAAGTCATGTTAGTCATTCATTATCTATGAAGTATTTTGTCAATTTTGCTCAATTAATAATGATCGTACCTCTCATTCTGACCAAAAACCCTCCGATGCCAAGTTTTTGAAGGTTACGTTGTCGTTTACGTCTCAATACTGCTATGCCGTTTTCCATGGTGAATATGGTGAAACCTTCTGGAGGGGGGCCATCTTCTTTGGTCCATATCATACCCTCTTTGAACAGTTCTTGTGGTTCATCTTTAATGTCAACCAGTTCTAGTTTGGCACTGTCTTCCAACATGTTGTCTGAGAGAAATCATTGATTGTTATCAATATTGAAGTCATTACTTTTCAGAAAAAATATAAATAAGACTGCACCACACATGTTTACTTATAACTTCCCTAGAGCATCATGAATCCTCGGAAATTCGATTTGAAATCGAAGGAGAATCGATACGAACATTTTTTGCCAATACTATTTTTTTTTTTTTATTCAATCCTCTGTGCACTAGTGAAATGTGGTTTAAATAATTCAATAAAGTAGATAGCAATCTACTGATATCTACTGATATGCCACAATTTTATGGTACTGTAAAGGCACCTTTATTTATTCTCAATCATGATGAAACATATTAATTTTCCTATGTTCTAGTAAAATGTGACTTGAATAACTGAATGAAAAAGCTAGTATTCAATAACTGTCTATATCATACATCTTTATAGTACTAGAAAAATTGGGCGTACCAATGGGACGCTAGTGAATTTATCGCCGTTTTAATAACTAAAAATGGAGTGTATAATATTCTACCCATATCTTGCGATTTTGAATTACTAGCAGAAAGAGAAAAATCAGGATTACTCTTATCGGACGCTAATAAATTTATATCCATGACATTTATTATTCGCGATTTTGATGCCAAATATTCCAATCTCCCTATGGTCTAGTAGAAATTATGTTTTACAGTATGAAAAAATAAAAATAAATGATAATTACATGCATTCAAAAATTGTCTGTAATGTGGCAAGTTGCATACCGTATCAAAGCAGAGACAATGAAATCGATGGGAGCTGTCAAATGAGATCACATGTGAAACGGATTTTGAGGATTCCAGAGAGGATATATGATTTCCAATGTGTTTACTAGTAGGAGTATGAATTATATTTATCGCCAGTAGTAAAATGGTTTTGATGAATAAAGAAGAAAAATTATTCAATACATAATTAAATTTTTTTGGTCAACTAAATTTGACTGCAGAAGAAAAAACGTGAGTAGCATCTGCCCCTACATCATTCGGATGACGTATTTACTAAAAACCTTCTACAAAAACTAAAAGAACAACAAAAACATTTTTTTTATTTACTTTAATAGAAATGTATAACCTAACCTAAATTGACATTATGGAAAAACATCGTTTGATAGCGCAGTGTACACGATATCTCGGGATGAATTCGAATTTTTTGTGATCAGTTTTGTATTAAAATGGGAAGTGAATATATTTTTAGTAAGGTATTTTGTAAATACTATAGTTGACATTAATGAAGTCTTATTGAATTTGACTCCCCCAGTAAATACGCCGTAAATCAAATAAGTGCAGCTGCCAGCAGTACGGTTTTGAGCTGGAAATATCAAATGCCAAAGAAGGTAACTGATATATTAATTCATTCAACTGTGATAATAGGGACTACAGATTAACTTGGCAAGTTCAGTCAGCACAACCCATCATCGTTAGCCTTCACAACTATCAAACAACTCTCGACCAAAACATTTTTATCATCTCTTGGGGCGCACGAAAGGAAATCCCTATGATGTTCGAAGTGTTGAAATATTTACATTGTTAGTTTTTTACTGTTTTATATGCCCTGTACACAACATTCTGTTTCTGAAAGTTTTTGATTAATGTCAAATGTGTCTGGTACATTAAAATGTGTTGTTTATATTTTTTTAAATTTATACTGTGATGGGGTTTGTCACGTGAATAACAAAATATATATTTCGTTCGACATACATCTAATGTCATTCTTCTGAATAAAATTGTTGAATATACCAAAGAATAAATATTTCCTAGTTGAAACCTCAACACAAAGAACATAGTGTATACCTAGGGATAGGAAGAGGAAGTATATATTGTTCATTGAACAGCATATCTTCGAAATTTTTTGTCAAAGGAAATATTTCTAAGCCTTCGAAATTTCCACAAGTTGAAAAAAATCCTATATCTATGGTATCTGCCTTGTTCCACACAATGTTCCACGAATTCAATACGGACTCCCTTTTGTGCGGTCCAAAATATAAAAAATACTATAAAAATAAAAAACCGACATGTGAAAATATGAAATACTGATTGATTAATATAAGAGTGTTTCTTAACATACCCCCACTTCCTCCTGCCACAACTGACTCAATAGTGGCCATAATCCCAGCTTCTTTGTCCTGAACGGTGGGAATTTTCTTTCTCTTCTTCCTTGTTCCATGATGCTCCAGAGCCAGAGATTTGATGAGGCTATGTCCGAATTCGCTGAGATACACCCCATCCACGAGATAGTTGGTATTCTTGGTGATTTCCGGACTCTTAGTCGGTGTGGGGGGTTTGGGAGCGACCGGGGGCGGTATCAAATGAGGCGGAGGCACGTCTCTCGGTCTGCAGAGCATGCAGTTGTAGCCGTCCTCCGCACACTTTTCCGCGTCTTCTTCGGTTCTGATATAATCACAAGCCCCATGTAGCCACCTGAAGATGATGCACAATTACTTCAAGATTACCAATAGATCCAAATATCAAAGGCATTTATTTCATTTCATGACTAAGAAGATTGAGCTATAGCTAGGCTGTGATATTTGTTCCAAGTTGGAATTACTTGGCGAGTTATACATATTCAGTGACATGTCCACAATTATAATAAAAAAAGATATTGAATTCAATGATATTCATGATCATGCCAGCATTAAATGATTGAATGCATTATACATTTATACATATAGTAAAATGGATAAGGAAAAAAATGTTTGCTAGAGATATACGTGCGATCCGCCATCTACCGGACATTCAGATAATCGAGCTATGGGCCATCAACATTTGTGATTCTTTCATCATTTGAGAATGATTCTAATGTCTTGGAAATACAGGGTGAGTCAGTTTTTTGTAGCAGGACTTCATCAGCTTGAAGATATTATTTTGTGATAAAAATGTAATTTAAACATATATGTATAGGAGCCCCTTTGCCTATATACAGGCAGTGTGATGCAAATTCTCTACTTCAGAAGATTTTGTTTTCACATTCTTATCGTGTGTGTTCAATAGATATAATTCAATATTCGTTGTGGCATATAGCCAGGAAAGTAGTTGTTTTTATCACATGGAGAATGCGAATTCTCAATGTTTTCCTTTATATATATATATATTTATCCATTTTTTTGTGTTTATAAATATATCTGAGAATGTTCCTTTTCAACACCATCCAGTGACTCGAATGAACCCAAATCCCACTCACCGCTCGCACTGCACACACTGTATGATCAGATCCCCCTCGCCGTACGCCTCGCCGCAGCTGGGACACGCCGCGTGGCTCGCGCACGGGCCGCACTCCGTGCAGCTGTTCATCCACGAGCAGTTGAAGCCCGGGTCGGCGGCGCCGCACGTCCGGCACACGGCGCACCACTTGCACTTCCAGTTGCCGTGCGGCACGTACTCCAACGGCGGGTCCATGCAGTAGATGTGGTAGGAGACGTCGCAGTCATCGCAGAGGATGAGGCGGCTCTCGTCGTTGCGCTGACCGCAGCCCTCGCACACGGTGCAGTCCAGGCATCTGAGACACACACGGGGATTAATGGGGGTAATTGTTGTGTTCACAGGGTGGGCAAATTTCGACGTATGTACAGGGTGCGCCTCTTAAAATGGAAATATGAAAAATGTTAACCCGCAAGTCTTATCCCCAATGGAAATAACGTAACTACTACCCGCGGGTCAAATTGACCCATAGTAAATGTTAAGGTTTTTTTCAGTTTCATGAAAAAGATTTTCAACTGAGCATGTGATATTCATTATAAATATACATTGAAATAAGAGAAAAAAAATTGGAAGAACATTCTGGTCAGAGATTTTTTGCACACTGTCCACAAAAAGGGATTGAGCACTTGTGGCAGCTATTGCTGGCTTTTCTGTCATTTTGACATTGATACGACACCGCATCTTCTTCTTTTTGATGCACCAACTCTTTTTTTAACCCCAGGTGGCACCATGAGATGTGTTGGATTCGGTATTTTCATTATACCAGATGCAATAGAGGGAACATTGTATGGTATTCTCTTGGATCCATCATCTGCATTAAAAAAATGATTTGTAAAAATTTAGACAACCCTCATAGTAGGATATCACTACTGAGTAAGAATTCAATCCAAACTTATGTGAAAAATAGCAGGAAGACCTCCAACGCTTAAATGATTATCTTACCTACCTATTCAAACAACAATGGCGAACATCATATAAGATTTGAGACGTCTCAACTACCCACGGGTCAGAATGACCCAAAACTGTTCACTGGCAGATTCCTGCGAATTCTGTCGCTCTCATGTTTACAGCAAACCGTAGAAATATATATTACAGGAAAATTTCAGAGAGGGCAACATATTATTCGTGTGAGTGTCAAAGATACAGTATTTCAAACATATCACTGGGTCAGTTTGACCCGTGGGTAGTACTTGAGGGTTAAATAAAAAAGTTGTTTGAAACGACCCAAACTTTTATTTCGTGAAGTTGTTTCATATACAGGGTCATTCATTTTTCCAGAAAGAACATCAACTTTGATTTTTTCAATGGAACACCGTATATATTTTCCGACATGTCGATAGAGCTTTTTTTTCTGATTCCGAAAATATATAGGAGTTGCGTATTCGGATGAAGAATAATTGAGTTATTGATGATCGTTGACCAAAATACCCCTTCATGAATTCTCACTTTATACCATAGTTGAGTATAGTGGGCTTTGAAAAAATATTCCATGGAAAAGTCAATAAACTACACATCAACCATCTGAGGCGATCCATCTAACAGTGGAGTGAAGGCAATAGGACAGGACAAAATTCTTAAAGTCTACTCCACCAAAACTATACTTTATTGTAAGCAATCTTACAGGGACATGTTTTGAAGCTTTAAAGCTTATACTAATACTAATTCTCCCATTAAATCCTACATTGACATAAATAAATTTATAAGTAGCATCTGCCATTCCCAATAAAACGATGCTGTGAGCTACTTTATAATTATAGTAGTATAATCCATCCGATCTTGGTGGTCTAAAAGCATATGTTTACCATCCAAGGCCCCCAGACAATGTGAAAATTGCCACAAGGCAAACAATTCTTGTGCTATACTCATCCATTTTTCTGCAGAGTTTGGAGTCTACAATTGTTCTAAAAAAAAAAAATTGTTCTAAAATTGTTCTATCCGTCATTCGGTTGCCCCCTTACGAGCAACCCTCAGAAGTCTTCGAGAGTCTTGTGCGAGCAAGGAATGACGGGGGCCTTACCTTTTAACGTGTGATCCCAAACACTTTCTTGGGCCATCAGAAAAATGTCTGCAGTCGACGGGACTCGAACCCACGACCGGCAAGCGAATAGAATATGGACACTCTGTTCGCACGGCTACCTGGCTATAAAAGTACCTTTTTAAGGTAAGGTTTATTTTATTATGGAAATAGGTACTTACTTTGAGATAGACATCTTTAAGCCGTTGATGTAAAGATTCACAAACAGGAATAAATATAGAAATACTACTTTCATGAACTCTTGTTGCATACATAAGTGATCGAAAAGATTCTCCAGTTGCTAAGAATCGTAAAGTAATTTGTAACCTGCCAAAATAAATATATGAATAATTGAGGTACAGATGTACAATAAAAGTGACTTCAATTTGCCAACCTGCTGCTTGCAGAAATAGTTTCTTGCATCAGAGATTCTTCTTCATCAATGTCATTTTTCACCAAGCAAAGCAAATAATTAAATTGTTCCTCTGATACACGTAAAAAATTTTTATAAGAATCTCCATCTTCTACTGCCAGTTCTTCATACAGCATTCTGAGTGTTCCTAAGCCTTTTTCGCTCCTTCTTTTTAACCATGGTTTCCGTATTACTCTCTTGTCTATAGCTTTTCTCTTTCTTGCAACATTCATCATTAATAAATTTATAACAGCTGCTGCTGTTAAAAATGAAAATTCAGCAGCCATAATATTTATACCAGTATACTAAGGATAAAAATACCTAACCTCAAAAGTTAAGGAGGCTCCCGCCAACTGCAGTGCGCATGATCACATCCTAAATAAATGATTAAAACTTTGAGTGTTGCATACATTTGATTTTATAGTTTCAATGTTTTAGTGTCCTGAATTTAGGATCCTGAAAAAATGACTAAAACTTGTACTAAATCATTGATAATTACAAACGGGCTTTATATGTTAAGTTCCGAAAATGTTTGGCTCTTGTGATACACATTTTTTCATGAGTTTAGAGTGGTGATTTAAGTTCAATTTCGGGTCCAAGTGAACTCCTAAGTACTTGGCTACTGTGCTCGTTCTCACTATATGATTATTCACACTGACCGTCAGTGGATATATAAATCAATAAATCAATGCATACCTCCAGCCCTTCTGCAGTATAACCTTCGTGACCTTCACCCCTCCTGATCGGTGCCCATCACGCCGCACATCATGCAGATGTTTTGCCTCAGAGACCTTGGCCGAGCTTACGTTGATAAAAATGGCGACGCATGAGAGGATCTCACTAAATTTGTAAAGTTTCAAACCAAATTGCCATGCATTTCATTTTTACCTAAGTCATAGCTCAAAAATACCCTGTGATAATAATTCCGTCACTCACTTTTGCATTGCGATAACATTTGGCAATAGGGAACACATATTAGGTTCACTCGTCAGTGGATAAATGAATCAATAAATTGATGCATACCTCCAGCCCTTCTGCAGTATAACCTTGGTGACCTTCACGTTGAGGCAGTACGGATGGTAGCACTGCCCGCACTGCACGCAAGCGATCAGACACCCCTCCTGATCGGTGCCCATCGCGCCGCACATCACGCAGATGTCCTGCGTCAGCACGAACTTGTCCTTGGCCGAGCAGAGGACCAGCCGGTTCTCGACGCCGGGCTCCTCGTCGTTCCTGCCGTCGGCCGTGGGTCGCTGGAGGCCCACGCCGGGCACCCCGAACACGCCCCGCATTTTGGCCTTGTGAGTGCGCTTGCGGCCGAAGTCGGTGAGGCGGGAGCGTTTCATGAAGCCGACCTGCAATGGTCACCTCGTTATTTGTTCACATCTAGAGTTCCTAAATGTACTTGACACTTGCTGTTTTGACTTTTTTAGGTTATCAAGTTCAGAGTATTGAATAGGTCGCGTGCAAGAACTGTCAGATGACCGACCCTGGAGGTAAAACATATTTGTTTACAAGTGATGGAAATAGTTTTCCACAATTATTTTGGCATATGAATCGTATTTTTCCGCTATTCATCAATTCGCTAATGCCATCACATTGTGCTGTTGTAAAATGCACAAAAACTGCAGCGGAAGATGAAGAAATCCGGATGGTACATTATGATTCAAAAGTAAGTACATACTATAGTCACTCACATAGTTTTCATTTTTGAAATTTGGTTATTTCTCTGATTTCTCATCGGAGTTCCTTCTGCAATAGGATCAGCTAATAGAAATATACCTGAAATTTCTAGAATAATGCAAGAAGATCGGATTCATGCAATCAATCGGTAGGACTGGTCTGACATGCTGACGATCGTGTGTGCTGTAGACATTTTCAATCTATTAGCAGCATTAGCTTGTATTGCAGAAGTGGCAGAAGGCAGAAGGAATTTTGATAAGGAATGACAACATTTCATAATGCTAACTATGTGAGATTACTATTTACCAGAAAAATCACATTCCCTAGTCTCTTGCTGCATTTTTTGTGCATTGTACAACAGCACAATGCGAAGGCATGCTTGAATTAATGAATAACGCAAGAAACACGATTCGTATGCCAAAATATTGTGAAAAACTATTTCAACCTTTTGATTCCTCTGTAATCAAATAAAAAAGTGAGGTTGTGTTTCAATAATTCACAGAAGAATGAGGTTGTGTTTCAATATGTTGCCTCCAGGGTCGGTCATCGTGCACGCGACCTATTGAATAAAATAAAACAAAATTATTTCAAATAAACTTCTCTGGATATACCTATATGGGCAAATTTAGAGATAACACCTTCAATATCGACTTCTTCAAGCAAATCATGCTCTATATTTATCAAAGTGAGATGATTGAGACGTTCTTGGCCCATATTCCTTAACTCATTTTTGATACGTTTCAATGTTAAAAAAAAAACGTTCGCCACTATACAGTTAGCGATCATGAGATACACGTAAATTCGCAAGGCATTCCTATGTTTGGGAAACTAGATTCTAAAGAATTATTCAATGAAAGTTTATAAAATTGCAGTTCCAGAGGCTCTTGTTTGGTTTCCAAATCATCTGTGTAAGCACTGACCATTATTGAGGATTTTTCCAAAATTTCTTTAGTTGTAGGAGTTTTTCGCTGTTGAAATACTCCAAAAACACTATACCTTTTCCAATTTTAGTTCAAAAAGCGTCAAGTTGATTTCAAAAAGTATCAAATGTATTTCAAATTAGTCAGTTTAATTTCAAAAAGTATCAAATGTATTTCAAAATTATCAATTCAATTTCAAAATGCGTCAATTGTATTTCAAATTAGTCAATTCAATTTCAAAAAGTATCAAATGTATTTCCAAATTATCAATTCAATTTCAAAATGCGTCAATTGTATTTCAAATCAGTCATTTTAATTTCAAAAAATTCCATTTCAATTTCAAAATCCATCATTTCAATTTCAAAACTAATCATTTTTATTTCAATGTCAGTCTACTACAATCTATGTACCTAATATGTGATATCTGGTTATGCATAATGATATTAAATAAAAGTTATTGTCCAACAGGCATATCTTCCAACGCTAAAGCCGGTCCGTGAAACGTCGACGAGTGTTGTACCGCACGAGCGCAATCACCTCCTGCAATCGTATTTTTGCCTTCGTCTACAATATTTTCCAGGTAAACCAACCTTTGTTCTATTACTCCAGGAGCAGCTACATCTGGAATGCCCATGGTATTTTTCACAAAGGTTTTTATCTTGGACCAAATTGTCTCTATCGGGTTTAACATTGGAGAGTACGGTGCTAGTTTCAAGAGAGTAACTGCAGTGTCATTTAATGCCGTTGCCAACCTAGAATAACATGGAGCATTATCGCACACTATCACTAAATCAGCAAGTTGATTTCCCCCGTTTTCCCATTGTTGCATGAGTTGTAGAATCCACTCATTAGCAGCAGCTGCATTAAAAGAGCCACGACGGCGGTCCATTGCAACGACGCCTGCTGCCGAGATACCTCCAATTAAATGAATATTCGGCCCCCTTGCGGCTGGAAGCAATTGTATTGCTCTGTTACCAACCCGAGAGCGACCTCTAATACGACGACAAAATAAATTGAAATTTGTCTCATCAATCCATACTATTTGTTTGCCCTGTTGGATGTAATCATTGAGAGTACGAATATAATGTGCCCTCAACATTTTATTCTCATTGCTGTTCATTGTAACAGGCTGCCTATGAACTTGCTTCATTGAGAAAAGTCTGCCCTCTAAGTAGTTACCCAAAGTGGTAAGGCAGATTGTCACATGGAACTCTTCTAACACTTTTTGTCTCAACATTTTTAATGTTTGTGAACAATCTTCTTCGACCCATTCAATAATTCGGTCCACCTGCTGTTCAGAAAGAATCCGTGGCTGTTTTCCTCCTTTTTGGAGCATGTGGTTACGACCTGATTTGATCCATTCGTAGGCCGTGTGAAAATTGATATTCAATGTAGATGACAATCTGACCCAATCTTCACCTTTATTTGCACATGCTACAATCCTCTTTCTATCTGGATCTGAGTGCTTCTTGTAAATCTTTCTTACATATGGTTCGTTACCCTCCAGGACGACTCTACATAAAGGGCATCTTGCATCCGCTGCGTTTATGATTATTTCTGAACACGAAACATGGAAAAAGTGATTGCAAGGACGAACTTTTAACACGTTACCTCTCAACATTGAGATCCGGCAGATAGCACAGTTGTCTTTCAAATTCATTCTGAGTCTCGATGTATATTTACAGGTATCAAAAAATGATGACACAATGACAGGAACCAGAAGCCTTCCAATAACAGGGTGAATGAAAATATCACCACCTAACACCCATCTAACTTTTGCCTGTGCTTTTCAGTTTCGAAATTCAATTGATGCATTACGAAACACATTCGATATTATTTGGAAAAACGAATGACTATTTCGGAAGCTGAAGTGTTAGTTTTTGAAATTGATTTGATAATTTTGAAATACAAATGATGTTTTTTGAAATTAAAATGACTAATTTGAAATTCAATTAACGCATTTTGAAATTGAATTGATAATTTTGAAATACATTTGATGCTTTTTGATATTAAATTGACTAATTTGAAATACAAATAATGCTTTTTGAGTACGTTATCAATAATGGAAATAAATACCTAAACTTCAAAACGTTGTCCAGGTGTTTGATTTTCAACAAAGTCGTCGAGTGTAGTAGAGAGCCGCTGAAATGGTAGTACTTTGTACATCGCTTGATTCGTCCCTATATTTATTGCTGATAGTATTCTTCACAGTCGTACAGATCTAATGCAATTTTTTTTACAGTAAGACAGGCCGGACAGGCGTTGGAGCGCGGGGCTCGTAGCATTTGCTACTCTTGCTACGTGGCTAATCCGGCACTGATCTAGTTAAGATGAGAATATCCAAAGATAATCTTCATATTATCAGATTATTTAGTTGTGTTATTCTCTGTTATCTGCAGTAAGTATTCAATCCAGAAAGATCATTCCATATTCTGATTTAAATGACAATCAGAAATATTCTTGCACTTAAAATTCAATTCAAATCTTATAATATGATGTTCTCAGATAATTAGTAATGAAATAACACTTTTCACTGAAACAGGCCCACTGTCGCCAACTTAATGTCGCATTTCACAAAAAAAAGTTACCGTAAATGCGATAAACCGCCACACCTGGCAACACTGAGTCCCTGACCGTCTTCCATATGCCCTCTCATTATTGTTCGTAATCCCCGGCCGGTAGAAAACGGCCCCGCTTGCCGTTCGAGTGTCGACTTGCAGGTCAAAAGCAATGCTTTTTCGCTCCATATGAATTTCTATTGATCAGCGCAATTTCTTTATTTCATTTTGAATGAGATACTTATTTGCTTACACAGAGTAGAGCGTACTCAGAGTACTCATACAAAAAACTGCGAATTGATAATTCCAATTTTTCTGGGGTAGGCAATGCTTTTATGCTTCTTTTTTTTATCGCTTGGAGTTACATACCTTGCCGGGCAGGGCTTTACCCGTGCCCTTCGATCTGCCTGGCACGCCAGTCGGGAAGCCGAGACGTTTTTTGGCGATTTTACTGGCGCTATACGGTTTCCCTTTGCCAAGACCCATATTGCGGGCGAATTCGTCGGGCGAAGTGATGTCGAACTCTGAAATGTCGTCGTAAAGGGATTCCTGGGATGCTGAAAGTTCTCCTGGATCATCGGTACCTACAAAACGGAAATCAGGCATCAGTCGAATTAGGGAGTGGCATGGTATGCCAAAAATTGTTTTCGTTAAATTTTTTCTTCAATTAATTGGTGAAGAGTAGGTTATTTTTGATAAAGATGTCGAGTCATTGAACCAATAACAACATGAAAAAGGTTATAAAAAGTAATATATATATAGAGCATTGAGATATTATGCATCTGATTTGGTCTTTGAGGAGAACTGTAAACTACATTCATTTCATTCAACATTATAATACTAGTATCAAACAACTGGACTTGCAATGTCGATCTCAAGAATTCATAAAGTGTTAGTTGGCTGCTTTATCTTATACAGGATGTCCCTTAAAGGTCTTTACAAAAACTTACCACAGATTCCCCAGACCAAAACAATTTGATACAAGCAAACTCACCTCAGTACAGAGTTGCTTAGTTTGGGCGCTAGACGGCTCTGAAGTTACAATTTTCAAATCGTTTTTGCTTCATATTTTCGAAACGTAGATTTTACTCAAATTTTGTACGTTGGATTATGATGAATATCATTCCATGAGCGTAAATCTTGATTTTTTCAGTAAATAAACATCTGAAACGCCAACGAAAAGAAAGGGGTTTCAATATGAAATCTTGATACCATAACTTGTTTACTAAAAAAAAGGTGATGCTTCAAATTCGAATCAATCGAATTTTATCAAGATTGCCTTTTTTGTATCAAACAAGCTACCAATCCAAATTTCAATCAACCCCCCTTTCTTTCCATTGGCGTAGAAGTTTCAGACGTTTATTTACTAAAAAAAATATTCATCATTATCATTGTTTGCCCAATAAAATTCTGCCAACGTGAGAAATTTGAGTAAAATGACAAGGGCCGTTCTCCAAAGTTAGGAAGCAAAAACGATTTGAAAATTGTAACTTCAAAGCCCAAACTAAACGACTTTGTACTGAGGTAAGCTTGCTTGTATTGAATTGTTTTAGTCTGAGCAATATGTGGTGAGTTCCTGTAAATAGGGACACCCTGTATATCTTCCCTAAGATAAATGTGTTTTTTTTAGCACCAGTGTACCTGACATATCAGGTGAGTTTAGAGTTATGATTTGCTGAACTCAACTGAGTTTCCATAATTTTTTCTATTTGTTTTAAACAAATTGTAATTTATTTATTTTTTTTTTTTTTATTTTTTTATTTAATAAACGGATTCACCATTACAATAGTTAATTATTACAGATTGACAAGATGGCATAAGAACAATAATATAGCATTGATATTGATTGAAATTTCAAATTTGAACTATATGGTTTGGTTTGAAGGATACAAAACAAAATTCCTGTATTAACCAACCTTTAGAAATTAACACTAAAGTATAGATTAATTGTGGATCGAGCCAGGATCAACTATACAAATTTTATTTTTAAAATCAGTTAAGGAATGGACAAATGGATCAATGTTTAATATGTTGAAATTACGCAAAATACGTGATAATGGGCTGAAGAACCCATAATTAGTTCTATGAGTTTTTATAGTAAAAAGATCAGTGTTTCTAGTGAAATATGATGGAACATTGAAGTTTATCATATTGAGAAGATCGCAACAATCAATCACACCTGAGATAATCTTGAACATGGTGATACTATCGAGCCGAAAGCGTCTGATAGATAGGTTGGTTAAGTTGAGGGCATTGAGAGTATCTGTATAATTGAAATTGTTGTAAGTTCCCATTTTATAAGAAATGTGCTTGGCAAATCTCATTTGGACTTGTTCAATTAGTGTGATATCACAGTTATAATGTGGCGACCAGATTATGCAACCATAGTCTAATAAGGAACGTACAAGAGAGCAGTATAAAGTATTAACTGTGTTACAAGAAAAATGTTTTGTATTACGCATTAGAAAACCTACCATTTTATTAGCAGATGCTGATACTTTCAGTAGTTGACTCTTGAAGGTGAGACGCTCATCAAAGATGATTCCAAGATCTTTAATTTCAGTTACTTTTTCAAGGATCGTATTGTTAATATTGTAGTTATATGAGGAAGCATTAAATGAGCGGGAGAACGATATTGTAAAACATTTATCAGTATTTAAAGCAAGACTGTTTTGAACGCACCATAAATGAAGGTTATCAAGGTCGTTTTGAAGAGTTTGACTGTCTAGGATATCATCAACAACGAGAAACAACTTCAAGTCATCAGCAAATAATAAAAAGTTTGCACTTTTGATTACATCAGAGATATCATTTATGAATAAATTGAAGAGTAAAGGTCCACAGTGAGAGCCCTGAGGGACACCCGAAGTAACCATAATTTCGTTAGATATATAATTGTTGATTTTAACTCTTTGAGAGCGGCCAGTGAGGAAGCTGCGCAGCCATTTCACAATATTATCCGCAAAGCCAAGGGAGTGAAGTTTCTCTAAAAGTATCTTGTGGTCCACTCTATCAAATGCCTTGGAGAAGTCTGTGTAAATTGCGTCAACTTGCTCACCCCTCTCCAAGGCATGTAACAGAAATGTCTGATAAGACAGCAAGTTGGTTACCGTTGATCTTCCTGAACAAAAACCATGTTGCTGAGGTATTATAATATTCTTGCAGGACCATGTTAATTTGGCAGTGACGAGTTTATCTAATAGTTTTGGCAAAGTAGACTGTATACAAATACCTCGGTAATTTTTGATGGATTCACGATCCCCTGACTTAAAAATTGGGGTGACAAAACTGTTTTTCCAGAAATCTGGAAAATTACAAGAATCCAGAGATAAGTTAAATAAATATAGAATGGGATTAGCTAATGTACAATTACATATTTTTAATAGTACTGGAGGGATACCATCAGGGCCACTGGAATACTTATTCTTCAAACTCTGAATACCCTCAAAAACCTCAATTAAGCTTAAATGGAGAGTATTGATGTCAACTAGATTTTTGTTTTGAAATGTAGGCACATTACTATCCTTATCAGAATAGACAGTTGAGAAATATTCAGCAAAAAGATTTATGATATCAGAGCCATTTGTACAAGTAGTATTATTGAGATGCATAGTGTTTGGGTAAGAACTAGATTTACGTAAATTATTCATATACTTCCAAAAACTGTTAGAGTCATTTTGAATATTCCTTTCTGTATAACTCAGATAACTGAGGTAACATTGTTCATTTAATGTTTTACATTGTGCACGAAGTGTACAGAATTCTTGATAATAATCAAATGAGTTTCTATCTTTATATTTCTTATGAGCAATCTTTTTCTTGAATATAAGATTTTTTAGTTCAGGTGTAAACCACACTGGGAAGTTTGATGATTTGAATGTTTTTATAGGTACATATAAGTCGATTGCATTGTAAATTATGTCATAAAATATGTGAACTGCTGTATTAATGTCCCTAGTATTATATAGGGCACTCCAATCTGCCATTGCTAAATAATCGTTTATACCAATTGCATTACAAGTCTTAAAATCATGATAGAAATTATCATATTTTAGGTAAGTGTCCTCGATAACAAGTGTCAGCATGAAGCAGTATGCATTATGGTGGTAACTCAGATTAGTTAGAACATCATCTGCTTTGGCTATTGCAAGAGTGGGTATATGTGAAAAAATGAGATCAAGGAATACATAATTATTGTTAGGGATACTATTAACCTGTGTTAAACCTAAGGCACTATAAGAGTCAGAAAGATATTTTCCAGGGGATGAATCTGGGCAAATTAGTTCAAGTCCACTGTCACCTCTTAACCAAGTTGCATCAGGAATGTTATAGTCTCCAAATATAACCAATTCAAAATCAGGATGTGAGGTACATACTTCAAAGACACTTTCCATATGATTTTCATAAATATCCAGGCTGGATCTAGGAGGAATATACACACTTCCAATGATGTATTTGTTGGACCCATGTTTCAAGCTGACAAATAGTTGTTCCACACCATGATTCTCAATATTGATCATACTAGTCACATAACATTTGCGGGTAGCAATAAGTATACCTCCACCTCTACTTTTGGAGCTATAAGTTCCGATCACACCTGTATATATTGAAATCACTTAAACAGATTTCACTGTTGGGTATGTCATCATTAAGCCAAGATTCCACTAGAATAATCACATCATAGATACATATGTTGACAGCATGTTTTAAATTATCAATTTTAGTGCGGAGGCCACCGACATTATGACAGTAAACATTCAGATGACTTTTTAGTTTTTTGATCTGTTATCCTGATTGTTTTTCACAATATGAGGAACACCAAATTTGTAACGGATCGAGAGATTCTGCTCTCCATTTTTCTTGCGATCTTCTAGCTCATTATGAAGTGACTTCAGATAGTCTCTTTGTGTGACTGTTAGATCAGCACTGATGCGTATATTGGAATCTTCAGAAACTTTCCTTTTATTCTTGAGACACAACAGAGCAGTATTACTGTCAGAGAATGTAATTTTCAATGGTCTGGGTTTGCCAGAAGGTTTACCCAGCCGAGTAACCTTTATTTCTGGTGCACGAATTTCAATTTGGTTGAGTAATTCTTGACACAGTTGTGTATCATGCATAATACGTATTTTGTGGTCAACTGACTTGCTCTCCTGAGCATTGTGAACCAGAATATTCTTGGAACGGGCTGCTCTATCCTGGATTTCCATATATACTAGTTCAGCATTGTTTTTATTTACTTGCCTTTCTTCGAGCAAGCAAGTTTTTAAAGATGTGATCTCCGATTTCAGTGTGTCGATCACTTCGACTTGTTCGTTGTATTTCACCAAAAGGTCCGTGTATCTACCATCCATCTCGATTAGTTTGGCCATAATATCATCGTTTGTGATCTGAACACGTTTTACATTTGGTAATGTCTGGTTTTTAGCACTATCTAGGGGCAACATAACCCCACTTTGTTTACAAGACGTGCATGTAAACCTGTCTCCTTTAGGATTCTTGAGTTCACTTGCAAACTGGTTGAGTAATGTAACTGGCATTTTTATGCATTTGCTATGATACCATTTCACACATTTTGTACATTGAATCGCATATGAATTGTTGCAAGAACTTTCACACACGCCACACGTGTCCGCCATCTTCAACCAGTTTCCACAATTTAGAAACCAGTCAGGGGTGATTTGGATGTTTCTATCAGTTTGCAGATTGCTTGATTACGATTCAAGAGTCATTAAACTGGGTGTGTCCCACTCAACTTGTTTTTTTATACCAAAAACAACATTGGTGTGGACTTGTATAAAACCCACCTGGGATCAAACAGTTTCGCCGCATATTTTATAAATGAACCAATTGAAATCATTCTATCTTCATTGATTTTGATTCTTTGATGCCATATGCATGAAATTTCTCTTCTCTAGAAACAATTCAAGATAAGTGAAATTTTGTTGATAGCACTGTCAAATTCGTATACTGATATCAGTGACCATTAAAGTTCTTTTTACTTGTTTGAACAAAAATCACAAAATTATCTTTCCTTCATGAAGTGTTGTCTTCCGCCAACCTAACTATCGCATGAGACATGTTTTATGAGCTTAGAAAGATGATATGAATGACAGAGAATGTTCAGTTTTTCACTTACTTGCTCTCTTTGTTGTCACTTGTCGAGCACTATTAGTTTTACAATGCAAACAGACATACTCATATTCTGGATTTGCTTCTCTCTTTTGATGATATGTACCCAAATCTGCATCTGGATCGCATGTACCATGAACAAACCTTAAAAATGAAATTCTTTGAAAAACTCACTAAATTCAGTATTATGGAATAAATCATCCCAGTTCTCTAATGGAACAAAATGATATGAAATAGAGATCATTCGATTGAATTTCTCAAGGTTTTTGAAAAAAAATATATTTCAAGAATAATAAACAACATACAGAATAACTGTAAAAAAATGAAAAAAACAGACTTACTTTCTACAATTTGTACATTGCACCATTTCCCTATGAGCGTGAGCTCTATAAGCCTTATGACACAAAGGACAGGAATATCCTTTATTTCTTTGTTGATAACATGAATCACACACAGTATAATGAGCATGCCATCTTGAAGATAGCCCTGCTCCTGGTGTCCGCGAGCCACAATCTCCACAAACTCGACAACACTAAAATAAAATTCAAATCAACTCTTGATGAGAAGCAGAATAACTTCTTGCTCCTACATTAAATTGTTATATTAATAACAGAAATATAATGATGAACTGGCCATTTTAGTATCTGAATAATATTATATTCTTACCCTGCATTTCCAACCATATTTTGGGATGGAAGTAACAATAGGTCTCTGACAGCCAGCGTGGTAGACTTTATCGCACTGTTCACATGACATCAGTTTTGATTCATCTCCCGTTATTCTGCAGACTTGACAACACCGGCATTTACGGCATTGCCAACCCGCTCTCACGCCTACGAAAAATATACAGGGTGATTCAGGTATTGAGGTAAAAACTGAAATGGGTGATTGATCTCATCATTTCAATTGAAAAAGTTTATTTTAACATGAGTTTGATCTCGATCAGTCGAGTATCTACAGAGGGTCAAAGTTTAATCGTTTTTTCTATCAATTAAAATATCTCGCTCACTTTTGAAGATATCAATTTGACATTTTCCAGTTTCCAAATAGATTTTTCCCGACAAGTTGAATGCTATTTTATTTTTTGCCTTATTCATATGATATTGAAGAAGATAATGGATGAGGAATATGGATACCACTGGATGAGGCTTAACGGGTGGCTTAACACACGCCATTGTTGGACTGGTCGGTTAAAAGCAACCTGACCTTCTACCCTCGCTGTAAGGTTTGTGACTTCAACGAAAACAAAACATAAGTACAAATATCTTTATGACAAAAATAACCCAGCCTAATCTGATATTTTGGTCAGTAGGTAATATATGGTCAACAAATATCTGGCCCTATATTTATCCGACGCGAAATTAATGATTATATCTCAGATCATATTCAATACTTTTTGTGTTTGTGTGTGTTTGACCACCTCAGAGTCACTTATTTCTACCAATAATTGTAAAATTACAAATCGGAACTAGTCACATTCTGCTGACATGAGGGATTAGAGATGTAAACAACTTGAACCATACTAATAACGGAGCCACCGAGCCCGCATCCAGGGAGGATAATTTCGTAGCTCTAAGCACTTATCGCTCTGTCTCCACTCCAATATGTTCCCCTCCTTAATTTTCGAAAGAACGAATATAATTTGTTTCATTGTTATTGTGATAATAGTTTTGTCATTCTATATTGTAGTACTAGTAGCAACAATATATACTTAAATAAGTGGTGATTTGTATCTACTATGGTATTTAACTTACTTGGCAACTGAGCCAACCCAACACAGGTTCCATGATAATGTGCACCACAAGTTGAACAATACATAAGATTTGCTATATCTCCCAGAGTTCGGCAAGTGAAGCAAACAGAAGCTGAAAAATTAAATTGCTATAAAAATTGAACAGCTAATAACTAATTGAACCATAATGAATGGTAGATAATAAACACTTTATCCATAGACAACAGTTTGTTTTCCCCCAGTTTGAAGTTCGTATTATGTAACCTAGATGTCGCCCACTTCGTGAATCTCGCGAATACCCGAAACGTGGATACCGCGCCATATGTATGTAATGCAAAACAAAAATACTTAACTATAATATGGTGTATTTATATCTCCAGCATGGGTATGAAATGCCAAATCCGCCGAAATCGGAAACAAATCAGGTATGCATCCCAACCCAAATAAACGTTTATGAATGAATCTCTTCCCACCTCGGTGTGTAATATACTATTGTGAACTAGTAAAGAAGTAATTATTTTCAAAAAAATCGATTAAGCTCGAAAATTGTGATAGATTAGTGGACATAAACCAGGTTGTTTAAACTCAGAATTAGAAGGCCAATCAAACGGTATGAAAAAAAATTAGGTTTCTATTTGAAACTGGAGGACACTAAATATATCAGGTAGATTGGAAATAATCGCTTATAACAGCATACCAGTTTTCAAGTTTTCAATCCAAATGCAAGGAAAACTTTTAATGTGTGGCCTACGTAAATCACCCTGAATTCCAGTTATATCAGAATTTCAAGGCTATCGCGTTTCACAGATTTACTAGAAAACTTTCATGAGCGTTTCATTCTACAGGTTCTGCAAAACAAACCCTTTTCTCTATTTAGAGCTGTCTGGTGTAGAGAAAATGAAAATGTTATGTCAGTATCATCAAGAAAGAAAAAAAAACTGGTAGATTAGAAAAATTGGAATTTTCAGTTTTTATTGTTTCAAAGCAACCATAAAAAAGTACTTTTTTCAATATCTGACCATCTAACCCCTATTTTTGCCTCATAATAGTTTAATTTGCCGCTATACTAGTGAACACGGAAGATCTGTCAGAATTGATATTTTGGACATGCACATCGCACCATCCAAATTGGCACTTTACAAAATCGAAAATACTGGTCTTGCATTGGATGTATTGCGGCCGTAACTTGCTTTAATGGACCTAGGCGTGTTAATACTTACACGCTACAGTCCGTAAAAGCCTATTTTACGCCCCTTGATACATAAATAACTATATTTCACAATATGCTAGTTACTTTATGAAAAAACAAACAGACAATTCATTATTATGAGTAAAAAGAAGCTTTGAATTGATTGATCTAGCTACATTTGTAATCTTTTCAAGAATTTTTGTAAAAACGCAAAGTAATGATAAGTAGTGACAAATTCTGTGATATAATTAGGCTATTTTTAATACTACACTGCAACCAAAGTACCTGACAAGAAATGAAAGAATATGCTGATGATTTGTGAGAACTGATACACTTATATAAACGCACAAGATTCTCTCAAAATAGTGAATTTTGATTTTTTTTTCTTCGGAAAATCCATTATGAAACAAAGAATGTTTCTATGAATTATAATAATAGTTAAGTTGAAGCTGTTAACTAATAGTGATGAAACATCAAATCATATCTCATTTAGCGAGTAATTCAATGTGTACAAAGTTTTTTGCTGTGTAATTGATGGATGAGCCTCAGTATGAAAAAAGTTGCCAAAATACATGTTGAAATTGCGTTTTCCAAAAAGTTGAAAAATTTGCTAAATTAAAATAAGGAATCTACTGAAAAATATTGACGAATCTGATCTTGTAGATAGTATATCATCAGCTTCAATTTTGTATTGATTCACTTTTTCAAGGAAACGTGGTTTCCAGATAGAAACAAAAAACTAAACTCCACCCTGCCCCCCTGTTTATTTCTTGACTACTCAAAATACATCCCTGTAGTGGAGAGTTCTGTCCACTTCCATTTCCTATAAATACAAACCCTTCATTGACTGAAGTTTACATGATGAACTTTTCTGAATTTTATTTCTGTTGAAGTTTTGGCAAATGTTGAAAATTCTGGAATTATATGAATCCGAAAAAAAATATAAATATGAAATGAAATTCATCATTTGAACTTATGGTGTTCACTTAAAAAAAAAGTTTTTTTAATATTTTCACTCTAGTACTTACATTCACAAAGCATAGCTACTCGATCCAAATGGTTGTTACAAAAAGTTGTAACTGAAACAAGCTCCTGAAAGGCACCAGCGGCAGTGGCACAGGGAAGATGATATATTTTGGAACAGCCGGTCATATTGCAAGTAACACTGGCTCCGAAATGATTACAAAATGAACACTTTTTGGATGTACTCTGTAAGGCTACCTGAGCCACGTTCAACAAAGCTGAATTGTCTAAAATAAATGGATTTTTCAATTGCAATGTGCATACAAGGAGATTTATGTGATAAGTACAATAACCAGTATGGCGACACCCATCCCCATCCCAAAAATAAAAAGTGTTTGCATTTTTATGGAAACCGAAAAAGGAGTCATCGCCGAGACCGTTCGCGGCCAAGGCAAGATATACTTGAGGTTGCTAATAGTTATTTGTTTTACTAGGCAGAAAAGTACAAGATTTAATGCCGCGGCATATATGTATATAATTTTTTCTCCAGATTCTTCTCAATTTCACGCAAAGTCCAAATAATCCATCATTTTTTGTACACCCAAAGTCATTGTCAATTTTGATTACCAATTTGATTCAAATTACTAGGAATGTTGCATAGCAACAAACTCTTTCTGCCTAGGCAGTAAACCTACACCTTTTCTGCCTGTTAAGTGTCATTAAAAATCCTCTTCTAATGTCATTTGGAGAAAAATAGTAGATTGTTTTATTAGGATCGCTGAATGCTCCGCCTCGCAAATGCAAAATTTGCGAGTCAAACAAAGTCACTTTTGATCCGAATGAAACATGCTAATTTTTCTGCAACCGAAACAATGAACTCAAATAGATATGTGATGTAACCACTAATGCCGTGCCATATGTATGCAATGCAACAAATAATCCTTGTGGTCAGAATATTCTACCTGCATTAACAGCAGGTTTATTCAATTTTCAAGGATGTTCAAATTGTAGTTTCAATATAAATACAACCACAGAGTGACATATTTGTGAATGAAGCAGGTGCTCTAATGGCAAATACCGCGCCAGTGCCAGGTATAGGAAGAAGACGTGTAAAATGTTAGGTTAGTGAGCATATCAACAATAATAATAGCGAATATTTATTTCTCTCCATACTCCACTGGGTTTGGCTTGATAATCAAATAGAGGGAAACAACTTATCCATCCCGAGAATTACGACTGAAAGACAGATCAAGCAAGTATAAGAATCTTGGAGGCTTCCCTGATATCTCCAGCATGGGTATGAAATGCCAAATCTGCCAAAATCGGAAACAAATCAGGTATATGCGTCCCAACCCAATGAATAAACTATAACAATGTTGTCTATTCTTGTTGAACACTAGTACATCCTTTTTAGTTCCTAGGAGCTAAAATTCAACTTCAGCTCCTAGGAACAAAAGTTCAACTTCAACTCCTAGGAACTAAACGAGTTCCCTAGCATTCCTAGCAACATACTTATTTTTGTGTCAGTAATAGAAACGTCAATTCAAGAGCTAATTTTGGTATTAAAATAGATGACTTTTGTGTCGGTTGCAAGAAAAAGTTTTGTGGCCATGGTATACACACTATGTTTTATATTGAACTAGATATATGATTGCATTAAAATCAACAGCAGTTCAATTTAATTAACAAAATCACAGCGTTACTATGAAAATGATGGTTGACAAAATATTTTAACAATTCTTGACAAATCAAAAGCATGGCCAGACACTGACTATTTCACTCATCACATAATCTGACTAATCACAAGCCAGAGAGAACGTGTGCTTATCGCAAAAACATTAGCTGTCTTTCAATTATGATTGGTTTATCAGCGTTGATGTTTTCAATGGTGTAACCAAGGATAGCAAGGCAAAGTCTGTCACTTTGGCATAACATAATTATGGCTGTACTTTTGAGAATGAATCAGTCATTTATAATAAATGCTTATCTGGAATATTAAGACCATCCTGATATTACTTATGACTTATGATAATAACCTTGCTATTCACGGTAGTCAAGGTCATCATCTGACGTTGCCATTACATAGAAATTAGAGAAAAACATTCCTAACTCCTGGCTTAGATTGAAAGTTAGACATGTTTTCCCATAGTTTTCATGGCATCGCAAGGTCAGATGATGACCTTGACTTTTAGCGTACAGTCAAATTTGAAAGTGATGTTACCCATAACAACGGCCGCCAATCTGTTTCTGATTATAGTCCAGATCTTATTTCCATTTTGTCAAGGAAATATTTCACATTGAACTGCTGTTGATATTAATGCAATAATACAGGCTTTGAAAATTTGGTTCCATGGATAATTAGTTGTGTTCTATTGACCTAAAATATTCTCAGCGTTGCGACGTTGCCACTTATATTAAAAAGTAGCAACAAATTTGATTTTTATAATGGGACACCCTGTATATTATTCCATTTTCAGATTCTCCCTGAAGAGCTGATTTCATCGATCTATAATACTTGGGGTCTAGCGAGAATGATAACAAGTATATAGGGTGTGAAAAATCGAGATTTTTCAACTGTGGGATTTTTTTTTTGTCCTAACTATTCATAATTGATCAAAACGGTTTTCATGTCCCTGTCTCAACTTTTCACGTACTATCAATTGATATTTAATTGAAATAGATATAGGGTGGTCAAAAATCTTAATTCTGAACCACCCTATATTTATTTCAATTAAATATCAATTGATAGTGTAATTATTACTGCTAGACCCCAAGTGTTATAGGTCAATGAAATCAGCTCTTCAGGAAGAACCTGAAAATTGAATAATATACAGGGTGTCCCATTTAAAAAATCAAAGTTGTTGCTACTTTTCAATATGAGTGGCAATGTAGCAACACTGAGAATATTTTAGGTCGTTAGAACACAACTAATTATTCAAGGCACCAACTTTTCAGAATAATCCTGAGTTGCCTTCTCCAGAAACGTCTAATGTGTCATCCACCGTGAATCAGCCTGTATATTCATTTGAAATTATTTAGTTCAATAAGTTGCACAAAAAATAGTGTGTATACAGGGTGATTCAAAATTCGATGTAAATATTTCAAGGGCGTATTGTGGGGATCAAAATAAGACTTTTTCTTCAGATCAACATGTGTCCTAAAATGCACCCCCTCCGAGCTACAGCCCCTGTAAGTTGGAAAAAAAAACAAGATTATCTAAAACTGTGACTATAATAACGAATCGAATCTTCTGAAAATTGGCATACCCCTGTTTTTTTAGGCACTCTATTCTTTTTTTGCTCCAAAAATTATGTAAACCCAGTTTTGGGGGAGTTGGAGGGGGGTCCACACTTTTATTGGCCCAATTTTTATGTTCAAGAAGAGAAACTATGAATTCGAATAGCATAATCTCATTGGCCATAAAAAAAACTGAGAATTCGGTGTCTTGCATTTTTGTCATACAACTAACCGTTTGCCAGAAAATCGTAATCAACGAACGGGGGGTACTTTCACAATATCAAACTAACTTTATTGGGTAATTAAAAAATTATTAATCTCATAATAAATGTTGAAAATGTCCTCCCCTTGCTGCTATACAACTTTTCATTCTTCTTTGCATAGAACGTCGAACACGTTCTAAAATCCCAGGAGTGGTTCTTATGTTTTGGAAAGCATCAATGATGCGTTGACGGAGGACCTCAACCGAATGCACGGGCCCAGCATCATAAACAGCACTTTTCACATATCCCCATAAAAAAAAGTCTAATGGGGTGCAATCCGGGGAACGTGGCGGCCAAGCTATTGGACCAGCTCTACCAATCCAACGATTTGGAAAAATAAGATTCAAATGATGGCGTACTGTTAAACGGAAATGAGGGGGAGCACCATCATGCATGAACCACATGCGTAGACGAATGTTAAAAGGCACATTTTCCAATAAACCGGGCAAATCGTTTTGCAAAAAATCTAGGTAAGTGTCCCCATTTAAAACTCTTGGAAAAAAGAAAGGACCAATAAGCTCATTTCCAACAATTCCTGCCCATACATTTAAACTGAACTGTTCCTGATGGCGGGATTGCCTTATTTCATGCGGATTTTCCAGTGCCCAAACATGTACATTGTGATAATTCACCACACCATCTCGCGTAAACTGAGATTCGTCGGTGAACAGGATCCGAGATAAAAAGTTAAGATCCCTCGTGCACTTCCTGGAAATCCACCTAGCGAACTGCAAACCCCGCGGAAAATCCCGTGGCAGCAAACCTTGAACACGTTGGACGTGATATGGATATAAGCTGTTTTCGTGCATAACGCGCCACACAGTTGATTGGGAAATACCCAAATTTAAAGATATTTGTCTAGTACTCAACTGGGGATTTTCGTCGATCATATTTAAAATTTGTTCCTCTGTTACTGGGTGGCGAATTTCTCGTGGCCTGCCTGCATCATTTCTTACAGTTTGGAATTTGCCGTATTCACTGAGATGACGATGACAATTTGTAAATGTACGATGATCGGGGAGTCGGCGTTGAGGAAACCTAATTCCGTATAATCTTTGGGCTTCCAATGCGTTACCATCAGCCAGACCATAAACAAAATGAATGTCAGCAAGATGAGCGAAAGAGAATGGCACATTTTCCATTTTTAACTTAAACAAATTTCTTGATCGCAATAACAAGTGTAATCAACCAGCTAAAATCTGACAACTAACAATGATTAGTGTTTAATGACATTACCGAGGTGATGAGAGGGATTTATAAACAGTTGCCTGTTACCTACCTAATTTTGAATAGGGGGTGGCCGACAATTCCTGGGAGTAAAGTAAACGATATTTTACAGCTTGTAAATCCCTATAATTGATTTGTCCTTGAATAATGTCCTCCATGTATTTTCAATTTCTATGCTTGATTGACCAAAGGAGTTGTTGACTTGGATACAGGTATTATTTTAATTTTCGTTTAAACCAATGTTTGTGAAAATACCCCCTTTCGTTGATTACGATTTTCTGGCAAACGGTTAGTTGTATGACAAAAATGCAAGACACCAAATTCTTAGTTTTTTTTATGGCCAATAAGATTATGCTATTCGAATTCGGAGTTTCTCTTTTTGAACATAAAAATTGGGCCAATAAAAGTGTGGACCCCCCTCCAACTCCCCCAAAACTGGGTTTACATAATTTTTGAAGCAAAAAAAAATAGAGTGCCTAAAAAAACAGGGGTATGCCAATTTTCAGAAGATTCGATTCGTTATTATAGTCACAGTTTTAGATAATCTTGTTTTTTTTTCCACCTTACAGTGTAGCTCGGAGGGGGTGCATTTTAGGACACATGTTGATTTGAAGAAAAAGTCTTATTTTGATCCCCACAATACGCCCTTGAAATATTTACATCGAATTTTGAATCACCCTGTATAATAGCTGTGAAACTTTTCACTGACTTCCCAGATCATCTTGCTTTGACAGCAATTGGCCCAGGCAATGTTTTTAATTTTTTTTGGATGCTACAAAGGTATTTTGCAGCCTAATCACACAAATAACTAGGACCCAGGTGATTTTTCTTCAGTAAGCTGACAAGGTATCTTGCAGCCTAGGCATACAAATAACTATCTTCAGGTGTGAACTAACCAATAATCTGAAGCAAATAACTTTTCAGGCAAATGATTAAAAACATCAAATATGTCCCCAACTGTTTCTGTAAACAACTCAAAAACATATGATCATACCTACTTCAAAAACATGCACTAAATACTTTGAATACAATTATTCAAAAAGTCCATCAGCCTTATTCTTATTTTCATAAGCTCTCAATATTTCAACTCAGACCCAACATTCCCTCTTCTTTTTCATGATACTTTTACACATCTATACACTATCTTATTCAATTGTTTATATGTTGCTCAACTTTAGTTCATGCTGTTCATGGTCATTGTTAGATTGTCAAAGGTGAATTTTCTTTATTTTGTTGAAAATTAATCAATGAAATTGTAAAATATAAAATGTAAAAACATTTTATCTTTCATTTAATACCTGAAAGCACAAGAAGTTTAAAGGCTCTGAAATTACTGTGGTGCTCCACAACACTTATCCAAGATCTGAGCATTTATTGATTCCCTGCAAACAAACAAGAACCTCCAACCCCAAAATGTATTCAAATTTTTTATTTCTTTGAGAAAATAATTTCCAACTTTCCGCTTGTGATTTCATTATTATACATTCTAGGACAGAGGTATGGCAGGCCTGTGTGTAGTAATTTGAGCTATGATATCTGTAATTTTTGTGTGATCACCTCTTTTCTCCATTCTCTTGAATAAACTCTTTTTGTATGATTTTTAGTGAAGGTGCCTCCTCATAAGTAATAGAATACACATTTTGAAATTCCCATTGAAACATCAATGTTCAGCACAAAAATGCATTTACTTATTATAGATAACTTGTGTTGAGTAGACATGATTTCCACAGGAATTCAAACCATTAATCAATAATATAAAGGAGTACATACCTGCTCTGGTAACTCCACAAGACCAAAGAGCACAACTCCTATGAACATAAAATTGGCCATTAGGATCAAAAATCAGAGACACATCAGGTACTTCATTATATCCAATAATTGTGAGCTCATCAACATATTCACTATTTGTAGGATGCCTGCATTTATTGAAACTTTTTTGTCTCCTACAAGTCACTGGACCCCTAGGACTTTTATCTCCAGAATCTCTATCAGCCATTTGTAATGCCTTTCTAAGAGTTTGCTCAGCAGCCACTTTCAGAGGTGCAAAGTCCTCAGGACAATTCAACCTCAACATTTCACCCTGTCCTAGCTGACTCCTTTCACTCAAGTTACAAAAGGCACAAACTTTCCCAGTCCAATGTTCAGGAAAATAGGGAAGCTCCTCAGCAATAGATGTTGGTTTGTCTCTTTCAGGAAATGCAAATGAACCCGTTTCAGGATCCAAAAAACTAGAATCATCTATGGGGGAAGGAGTGAACAGAGACATTTCAAAATCACTTCTATCTGGCTGCCTAACACTTCTGTTTCCTCCTCCTCCTCCTCCTCCTCCACCTCTCCTAGTAAAACCTGGTGGTCTAGGCTTACGAACTCTTGTGATACCAGATATGCCACCTCTAGATGCTCTGGAGACTAGAGGTTTGCCTAAAATCAATAGTCACTTCATCAATCAGTACAATGAAGGAAAATTACAGAAAATATTATTGTTCAAATTCTGCATGTTACCTCCTTCTCTTCTTGGTCTACCACGACCTCTTTTGATATTCAGTGGTTTTCCTGTGAAATTGAAAGGAGGAGAGAAATCCTCATTGATTGGAGATGAAGCAACAGAGGTGGCTGTGGAACCAGGACCAGAAGACAGAAGAAATGCTGAGGCAATGGGATCATCAATGAGTTCCTCATCTTCTTCATCTATATCTGACCCATCTGCCTCATCAAGGTCCATCAGTTCGTCGGGATCGAGTCCCGAGGTTATTTCGTCCATTGTGCAAGAACTAAAACAACAAAACGTCAAAAAGTTGAAAATCACTTAATATTCTCATCAAACAAAAACAAATGCAATGCCTTCTTTGCTGTAATGCATTGGTAATGTAAAAGTGGCTTAAATGTTTCCATTCATTTATTAAAATGCAGCTAAAATGATTAATTGAAATACAACAGCGCCATGTCAACTTCTGTAGATAGGTTTTGAAAGAGTGCGGTTCTCTAGGATGAAAAATATCGTATATTAAATGCACACTCAATTCACTTGGAGACACAAATCATAACTTCAAATTAGCATTGAACTCACACGGAAAATGCTTTTTACATTGTAAATTTTGTTATTTTCGATGAACACAAAAAAATCACTATCCTAATGAAAAGGAGAAATCACAAATCCACCTCGGGCTCGGCAGTCGGGCACCTCCGTCGGGAACTCCGGGGAATTCCGAAGTCATACTAGACAGTAGACCGATTTGACCGAAAGTCCGGAAAAAGGTCCGAAACAACGCGAAGGACAGACACCGAAGTTGGTTCGGATGGGTTCGGATTAGTTCGAATCAATTCGGTTAGATAAAATGACAGCACCTTAGATCATACAGGTCTAAAGTACAGCACGACTATCATGAATTCGTTTAGCCCAAACTCACGTGCTGGGTTTTAGTTTTCTTTAGACCTGGTTGGTTTTTTCCCATAGTTGTCTCTGTTCATGGCATGATATAAACAGAAAAAGTCGTAGAAAGAATAAAGTTCAGCAGGTAGAGCGAGCTCAAACGAACCAGGCCTCATAAATTCCCTTGTGGACATCAAATATATTAATGATTAGGTTCGTATTACCATTCTAAGGTATTACATAATATAAGGAAGGAAATAGTTTATTGTTCTCGTGTTTTCGAAAAAAATTGAAGCACTCGTGGTATTATGAAAAGTGAAAAGTTAACACCTAACTTCAATTTCAGGCTATTTTGTATCGTTAGTCGTTACCATAGCAACTTAACAAATTTCCGGAAATGTTTTCCTCCTTGGGGGAAGGAGCATGAAATTACACTTACATTTTTTGACGTTTATATCATTTGGTACATTAGGTATAGGTAAAACTGTGGTAAAATAAGGATATATTTACTATTTATATATATGGCGCATAACAAAATGGGACCAAAATCACCAAAATGAGAGGTACTTTGTAGGCCTGTTCGTTTGTGCTTGCTGAACCTGCTAAACTTGATATTTTTTCTACGACTTTCTTTGTTTACATCATGGCATGAACAGAGACAACTATGGGAAGAAGATCAATTCTAGCCAGTTTAGCAATACAAACCAACAGGCCTTTTGCAAAGACTAACCTATATTCTTTGCCTTTTGAATCAATAAGCAGAGATCAGTCACCCACTCAGTCAGTGGGTGACTGATCTCTGCAATAAAGGCCGGAAAGTGAAGGATGGAAACAGCCAAGCATATTGGTTTGACAAGTTTAGAATTATTTTTTACCTACGTCGGCATCAACGCCTATTGGTCGATTTTTTTACCTATAGAGACAGAAGTTGGTCCCGCTTTGAGGACCGCTAAGGTTGAAAATCTCAATATAAGGTTCTTGTTACTAGAGTCACTGGATGGTATTAGTTTGATAAGAGTTCGGACACAGCTGAACTTTTGTCCTTTTCTATTTTCTATAATACAATGGTTTAAGTGAATAAAAGAATAAGACATATATTCTGCTCTTTGTCTTTTCAATTTCCCTAGTAGCGCCCAATAGCGCCTGATTGTCAGATACGATTTTAGAGGTTATATTTTCTGTCAAATCAATCATAGCCGTAGATGGACAATGGATATAGGGTACAAACACCCACTCCAATTCATAGTGATACACTTCTAGCGAGCTTCTATCAGAGCAAGATTTATATAAATGAAAAAAATGCATGTAACAACATTTTAATATTAGAGAATATATACATATGGATAAAATTATAGCTATGATTCCTTATCGTATGTGGAACTGTATTCCAGTGAAGTATTCCTGAGACAATTTTAAGGAATAAAGTTTATATAAGCTTGTGTCTGGAAATGCTCCATTTCGGAGATACAGGGTGTTGAAATACAGAGAACAAATCATTTTTCGATAAAGATTTCATGGGGAAAAAGTAATTTATTTTGACGAGACCTACCAAATACTTGGTTTTGTTATGTTCTCAGCAACTTCACTCAGCGCCCTATAGGAGCTAAGTAACATGATTCGATATAGAAAATATCTCCAAAACTATAACCTCCAGCGTCATTAAGGCCCTTATAATAATTCCCTTGATACATAAATATCTATTCACTTTTCACTGTTGAATTTTGAATTCGCGGTCAGCACCAAAAACGCCATTCAATGATATATCACGTTGTAGTTTACTTGCATTTCTTGATTTCGTTCTCAAATTTTCAATTTCATAATGTAATTTTGCGATCATTTCCCCTCTTTCCATGATTATTTTGTTTTGTATTTTGTGTGATGATAATAATGGAATTTTGTTCTTGAAATCGTCTGCTTTGTAAATTGATGGAACAGCAGATTCTCTCGAACAGATTTTGAAATCTTCTGTTTGAAAATGGTCCTAAAATATAGATTCATATCTAATCAGATACTGTTATAAGAAGTGAATTTCAATGAGTACCTCACAAATTTCGCTCGTCTTCAAATTGATTTTTCACCCAGGCCGTTTCATATCTTCCTTCCATAAGCGAATGCTTGATATTTGATTTGGAAAATCGAATAAATGATATCCATTTGTTTCGAAATTGGAACAATTATAATACAGCAAGTGATTTCCATAGCTGTTTTTATCTCGAAAGTATAATAATTATGCCATTTTATTTCAATTCTGACGTTTATAAAAAGAATTGTCAAATTCAAAAAATTTTGAATGAAAAAGCGCAGGACGACTATGGTGCTCTTGTCACAATGCAAGGTGTGTAACTTTATAAATCTAAACATTCAAATACCCTAACCGTTGTCATTTCTGTGTCCGAACTCTTATCAAACTAATACCATCCAGTGACTCTACTTGTTACAACATATTCTAGTAGATGTCGCTGTACGAATTCTTTATCTGACAGTCGAAACTCGAAAGCACTCCACTCTTCATAAATGAAATAATATTTGAGAGTCCCTTCGGAGACTTTGAATTGTTCAATTTCGTTTTTCTCGAAAACGGATGAGAATATCGTGTTCAAACAAAAGTACCAACATTATGAAAAATTTTGATTGTCATATTTCCAAATCGAAATCACTAAAAAGTTTCGTCAAAAAATGTTACCAGTCGATTTCTTCATCAGGAATCTTTCACGTGGCGTCCCCTGTAACAAACTGCAGAATAATACATGAAATAATATTCCACCTGTATAAAATGATGCCTTTGTGCCGATTTTGATGAAATCATCAGCAAAAAACATTTAAAAAACTCCTTTAACGCCCTGTACCCTTTTCCACAGCAATGTTTTATCAATGCATAGTTGGTCCTGTTGCCATATTTTGGTCCAAACAATTCACCCTTAGCCTATGTCCCAATAATAGTTATGACTCACCCTGTATACATGTCAAATTGGAAACAGGTTAGGAGTTGTTCTCTCCTACAGAGCTGCAATTATGGATCCTACATCCTTAGACCAGCTTTGTTGATTTTGATGGCTTTGTGGCAATAACATGTAACATTTCTTCAAGATTTCAGGAGACAACAAAAATGTCTACTTATATCATTAGGTTTTTGATTTCAAACTTCAATGACAGGATTATATCCTGCAAGAATATTTGAGTAATTTCATCAGAATAGAACTATAATTAATGTAATCAATATATTTGAAATATTCTATATCAAGCAATGAATATTCTCCTATATGATTCCACAGAACTCTGTCTTTGGAGTTCTGTGTATGACTCACCTATGTAGTCCAAAAACTAAACATATGATATATTGATTACTCAGACTACATTTTTGGTTGATATGTGGTATTACTTCGTTGGTTGATACCTATGATACCAAGCATGTTAATTGTTAAGGAACAAAAATCCCTAGGTATCATTATTTTGCCAATTTTGTTATGTGGTATTACCACTAAGCCATCCTTATACAATCTTACTAGCAAATGGATAATATTCACATATGAAATGTAATTTTCAAGGTAATTTTCCTTGATAAACTAACTGGAATAGGAAGATCCAGAATGCTCCTTATATTGTATATTGTATTGTATATAACAAGTTGCCACTTCATTGGGATTACCCTGTATCTGTGGGTATTTGTAATAATGGTAGAAAAATCAGAATTTCCCAAGTATTTCTGGCAGTTGAATTTCACTAAACAATACAAGTACAATATAATAAAATCATGAAATATTCAACTTTTTTTAAATAATTCCAAGGATAGGATAACACATCAAACTTCTTTTAAATACTGTATAATATCTCTAGCCCTGTTTAGCTTGATAGACTGGCACTCATCCACATTATCATTGTCAGTTTCTACTGTATCTATCACTTTCAAAGCTTCTCTCATAATCAGTTTTCTGATAAAACCTTTTGAAGCACTAAAATACTCAACAGCAGTAAGCCACATATCATCTGGTAACTTCATAGAATTGAATAAGTTTTCTGATAACCATATTTGTCTAAGCTTCTCAAATTTCCATTCTTCTCGTGCATGTTTCCATTTTGATAAATAATTTAAAGCCAGTTGCTGTGTATCTTGATCTACTTTAGATTTTTTGGTCTGCAGTAACTCAGCATATTTCTTTCTCTTCCTTTCCCTTATGGACTCTTTAGGTTTGATTTTTTGTTCTGTATCCAAATTATTATGTTCTTCTGAAATTACCTCATGTTCTGAATTTGCCTGTTCCTGATATGTTTCATGATCAGTATGTATTGTGCTTGAATTATTTGTTTCATCTTGTATATTCTGTTTTTTTTTCCTTTTCTTCATTGGAATATCTCCACTCTGTTCACCATTCTCACCAATGGTCTTCACTGGAACCGACACTGGAACAGTACTTTTGGGTTGCTTGGAAAATGTCCTTGCACTCATTTTGTTCCCATCACATTCTTCATCAAAAGTTATAATGTTTTTCTTGGATTTTCTACCAGCCATTATGGATACCTCTAAGTGGATACCAGTCACAGTATGGCCACAGACCACAGTAGATTATTACTTGCTGATCTGATGGGCAATGTGGGTATGTAGGATAAAATTAAACTGTGTTGTCCCTCCTACCTATTGCTCAGGCTCAGCTCCAGGTATCATTATGAATATGTAAATAAATAACTATAATTTAATATCCAATGAGACTGATAATAATTAACTATAATAATATTGTACTTGTTTAAATTTGCACGCTTTCCTTTGAGGTTAGTTAATCTATGGTTATGCTAAGATGCCTAGAGTCAACTTATAAACATCTCAGGTTATGCTTAGCACTCTTAGCAGTGCGTAGCAGTGTTGCCAGTAGAAAAAAACTAATTGTACTGAAATCACGATTGAATTGTACTAAAACCAGGTGAAATGTACCAGATATGGAATTTTGAAAAATCGATGGGTGTTCAAGAACATGTAATCTGTATATTATCCCATTTTGGGAAACAAAGTTTGATTTGTTCGTATCGAAATTAGCCAAAATGTTAATTTTTCCCAACTGGACCAAAGATATTTTTATAAATGATTTTCTTGTCAACCAGACGAGTACGCACTGATGATAATTGTTGGTCGAAAGAGTGACTCATGTGACTCTAGTCGAAAGGGCTCTGCTACGAAAAATTAAATTAAATTTATTGTGTACGAAATACAACTTTTGGTACTATTATGGTTTATCCATATTTGTCCCAGCAGTAGGGGGTGGGTGCTTTCCCCCTCTTGGTACATTCTCGATCCAGCACCTTTTTTTGGAAGACAGTCCTTCTTTCTGCTGGGCTCCATCTAGTTGCTCGTTCAATGGAATTTTAATTCGGTCGCATTTAGGGGTGAAAACGAGGAATACGAATTTGAAACTTATTTTGTGATCGCATCTTTCTTTGAACAACCTGTATGTGCAACATTTCTATATATTATATGGCATGTTGGGTTAAATCTTAATATTTTGGTGTTTACTATCTGTAGTTCAGAGATTTCCCATTCTTAAAGAATCACCCAGTATATACATTAGGAAAATATCCTTCCTGCGTTAAAAAGGAGACTACTTAAAAAAAACCTAACTCAGGGTTACAGGTGACATTAAAATGGATATAAATATTCCAAACTCTGAATAATTTCAACGAGTACTATATTGAATGGCACCCATAGAAAGAATATGGGGAATAAATGAAATCCAGGGTGAGACTCTTTTTCCACCCAAAGTTCTACACTGTAGCAATTCTGACATCACCTCTGTATAAATTTCCGTGGCACATTCACGCGAGAAATATTTGGTAGAAGTAAGTCCATATTGCTCAAAGTTGAGTGAAATTTTTCAAAGGAAGGAATACTCGAAATCATCTCCTCAAATTTCAATGGTGTTGTTACACCATCATAAAAGATATGTTTCGGTCTTATGAAAGACCATCTTCAGCCTAATTGAAAGTTTCGGAGTTGAAAAAACGTGATGCTACTAGTTGTGCAATTAGTGTCAATGCCCATAGTCGAAAAATCGAGTTCATGAATGAAAAAACGGGTTCTCAATAAATGAAGGGCCCCGTGCCCTGAGAGCGTATACCATTCATCTCATCGAAATTTCATATACCAAAATGGTATATGAAGGGTAATTGCCAAAAGGTTTTTGTTTTTGACAACACCATAAATTAACGGGTTTTTTGAAAAAAGGGTGCTATTATGAACGGGCTACTAAGAGGAAATATCGATGAAATTGATGGGGCGAACAGCCAGCACGTGTGTAAATCTAAACTTTTGAGTTTAATTTCATTACAACTATTTTGAGGTGGCGTATTTGTTTTTTTTTTCGATTTTCATTGAATTTTCAAGGTCAAATTTCTCGTTATAATTAAAAGAATTAGCAAAAATCTGATATCAACTTTTTAACAGTGCGTATCCAATTTGAAAAATCGAATTTTTATTGAACTCGTAATTCAAAATCCAATTTTATTAAAAAAACTAACCAGTCCTCAAATTTCAACTTAATTAGAGCTGAATTAGGTGAACTATCGATGCATTCTGTTCCGTAGAATAATTTGTCAATTATTTTTGTTATTTTCGTGTGCTCATTACATTTTCACACACACAAATGTCAAATTTGATGCGCGTATCCAGTTATCAAAACATATCTAGAGATTTTGGGAAAGATTATATTTTCAGCCTGTGTTCAATCATTAGACTTTCGAAAATAATGTTCAATACTTCATCTTATATTTTGTATATTATATATCTTTTTCCCCCGTATAATTTCATCATCATTATTCATAGATTTTCCCCCGTATGATATTCCATTATTAACATTAGTCATAGATAAATCATTTGTTCGGAAATTAATCTGTAAGCAGCATGACTCAACTCATTAGTCATTCATTCGGGACCAGGTGGTAAATCAAGACAGTTTTATATTAAATGTCATCACGTTCGGTCGAATTTTGTGATCGACACATCGACATCGGAAAATACGCGAAAGGAATTATCCATCGTTCCAAAATGAGTGTTTCCTGAAATCTGAGTGAGTGTTTTTGTATTCCTCATTCGATTCAATAATAATATCGTGATCGTGTGTTGTTCTCTCGGTTGTTCTAGTGTTTCGTGTTGTTTCAACAAAGCCTCACTTTTTTCACGCGGGCGCTGGTGAGTGCAAAGAAATTCTCTCAATTTTTCCTCATATTTCTCTGTAATCATTTAACTTCATTACCCTATACAGGGTATGTCACTACGAGCTTACACTATCTTTAAATCGAGAATCAGTCGGGAGAAATCCATGAAAATGTGCATGCTCACATTTTGGTATACGCTCTTTTCATTTAAGGTAAGCTCTCTACTGTGATTTAAGATATGTTCGACAATGCAGTGTTGCCGCTTCTACTAGAAAGTAGTAGCAACATTGATATTTCGAACGGAACACCCTATGTTTTATCGAATTTTCAGATTCTCCCTGAAGAGTTGATTTTATCGATACATCATACTTGGGGTCTATCGAAAATGATAACAGAGATATAGGGTGTTCAAAATCGATGTTTTTCAACTTTAGGATTTTTTTGTGTCGAAAATATTCATTATCGGTCAAAACGGCTCACATGTCCCTACCTCAACTTTTGTTTAACTTTTTACTGATATTTAATCGGAACAGATACAGGGTGGTTCAAGATTCAGAATTCTGATCACATGCATATTTTCATGGATTTCTCCCGACTGATTCTCGATATAGGGATAGTGTAAGTTCGTCGTGACATACCCTGTATGTTTCGTACCGTTTGTTGTATTTTCTCCGATCAAGGAATACTTTCTTCTGATTTTCGTGCTTCCTATTCGAAACTGTATCTTTTAAGAATTTACCATCTTCAATAACTGATACAGAACGTAATCTCAAAATCTTAAATCATTCAGATCAAGTATCATTACGAGATAACTTGGGGAATATAAATGCAACTTAAAAGTAAAGAATTACATGAAAAAGGATAAAATATAAAAATTGATTCCTAATAACGAAGTAACATAAGGAACCAAATTATTATATTCTCAGTCACAACTGTCACAAGGATATAAGAATTTCGAGATCGATCTTCGTAAAAAAATAATCCTTTCGATGAATCGAATGTTTTAGAAAAATCGATTGAATAATCGAATTTTTAGGGCGAAAAAGATCGATCTCTGAAAAATCGATTTCAGAATCAGCATCCTGTCATCCTGTCATTCCTGTCGCCAGTCATGCCAGTGTCGCCTGTACTGTGTAGCGTTTCCTGTCCTGTGACAGTTGAGTGAAATGAAAATTATGTGATTTTGATTTTGCATGTTTCATCAGATATTTTTGGGATTTTGGGTGAACTGTCTAATTCGAAAATGGCAATTGCATTGAGGAATATCTGTAAATTTTCGACATTACCAAGTTTGATTTCGTCAAGGAGTACCATTCATAATTCAGAAAATATTTACAAACAATTGTTCCCAATTCAGCATGAACAGGTAAGAAAAGGCAAGTTCAGCCAATATATCAGATCATAATGATATATTTCTAGTTTTCCACAAGAACAAGTCCAAACTTACATCATAATGATCCTAATTGCAAAAAGTATGCCGCCGGCAGTGAAATCACTTCAGAAAACAGGGACATTGGCATTGAATTCTTAAGGAAAGAAAATATACTTGTTATGGCAAACCTAAACCCCCTGAAAACCCTGCACCAGAATGAATTGAAAGACATTTGTGAAAGGTAAAAACAAAAGCATTTTCATGACCAATGGAATAATGTACTGTTCAAGGTGTACTAATACTATTCCAGAACCTATAAAATCCCAGGAACATCTATTTAGTAAGAATGAGAATACATCAACATCAAATAAACCCAGTCCAGAAAAGTTGGCACATGTTCTAGAAGTCCTAGGAAGGACCCTCCCAAATATCTTCATTCAACCTCTAGACTACACAATTTATCATCCAGATGTAATCTTTGAGGATCATATTAGAAATATCAGAACTGTGTAGGTACCAAACTAATTCAATTTTCCCTAGCAGTTAACCAAATTTCATTATTTTTAGAGGCCTGTATAGTTATGTAAAACAAGTAGCTCTTCTCAGAACTGTGGGACATTTCAAATTTGCTTATGTTAAGTTTGAGATTTTGAAAATCACCAAACATCCTGAGGATTCAACAATTAAAATTAGATGGCAGATTAAAGGAATTTCAGCTCTGAAAGTGATGATTACATTTTGGAAATACAAGTTGTGGGATTATCAAGAAATGTTCAAAAAATCACACAGGTGAGAAATGCCAGGTATGATTTAATTTTTCTTGTGCATCTGGAGTATTTCATCACCTCACTGTTAAAACTGAATATAAGTTATTTTACTAAATATCCCTCATGAATATATATCCTTCTGACTTCTGAGCAATACCTACTATTTCTTTTCAATTTGTTTCCATGATGTAAAGTTGTAGAGTTATCCAAGAAAATTTAAAGCAATTCACATATAGTTCATACATTCTATTGTACAACCCTATTTGAATGGATTTTGATTTTTGAAAAATTTAGTTTTCTTTGTGTTGAGAAAATAATTTCTGGTAATAAGGAATTGATTAAATTTGAGCAATGTATATACATCATTAAACTATGTCCTTTTTTTAGCTGGTATGATGGTTTTTCAACATTTTATGTTAATTCAGAGGGACAGATCATTAAACATGTTGCAGATAAGGTAAGTGTATTACATCTTCTAGAAGTCCTTTTGATGGAAACATACACAGACTATTCCTGGGTACTTTTTTGTACAAATTAATATATTTTTTTACATTAACCATCAAATTTGAAACTCAAAACTTTTCATTAACATTTTCCTTTATAATCTGTTGTGGCCTCCATCATGGTTATCACCATACTTGAAAAATATCCATTTTTTTTATGGGAAATGGGACCTATTAAATTGCCCTGAATTTGATTAGAAATTAGATGACACCCAAAGGCTTTTTACAATATAGCCAATAGCAAAATCATCATTTTAACATACAGGGTGGTTCACAAATATAGGTATTGAGAGCATATTTTTCATAGAATAACCTGTACATACTACTGATTTGAAAAATTGCACCATGAATCACCCTGTATATTGAATAGTTTTTCTCTAGGAAATTATAAGGCAAATTTGATTCTAACATGATGATTTTGAGCTTTCAGTTGTGATGATCATATGACTCATTCATATGGTTTGGTTTACAGATGATGCCTGACACAGATAGTGAGATAGAAACTAAGAGTATTGAAAATTCAGCCAAGCTAGCTTTAATTGTAGGTATTATCCCAAAGTTTTCAGAACTAAATTCAATAGTCTAATGGCATTCAAAATCCATTCATTTCAAACTAAGTTGAAAGTTTATTGAATCACAGGTAACAGAGAGTGTTTCATCTTCTACAAGGTTTTCATCTATATGTTGACCTCCCCCCCTGTGGATTCTAGTAAAAAAAATACCCAAAAAAAACTAATAGTATACTCCAATCAAACCTAGAATTGTCTTATCCAATATGAAATAATATATTGGGTGTTTTATTTCAAAAACTGATGTTATTATCTATTTCCAATTTGTGATGCTCATTCACCTATCTGTTATGAGATGTTTAATGACAGAATGATATGATGGTTCAAGAATAACCATGGAACTTTTCTATTCAAAGATTTTTGCTATCTATGATTTTAAACTCTACTGAAGTGGGGTGGCTAAATATAAATGAATAATCAGTAGTCAGTGCCTAGAGTGTCTTGGCACTTATGAAGATAAACATATAAAGGCTCTCCTCGAACCTGCTCTTATGGAAATATTTTGTGATCCAAATTACACTATGTTACTTGTTCAAAGCAAACCCAAATGAATATTTTTATTATTTATTTATATTTTTGTTGTATGTTTCAATAAAACACATTCTCTTATTTTGAGTACTTTAATTAGAAAATCATCTTTCAATTACCAAATATTAAATAATACACTATGTACAAATTATGATAATGTTTAATCCGAAGTTCTTGATGCTGGATTTGGCTTGTGCTCTTTGACATGTTTTTTCAACAATATCTTTTCTAATCCGTGAATTGGTGACTCGAAGATGATACAAAGAATAAATGCCAAAGCATAGGTCAATACTACATGGCCAAAGGTTTTGCAAGCCTAGAAAATATTGAAGTAACTTGTGACTTTGTTAACATTCCACTTACTAACAAGTGTTCAAAAAGTCTTTCAAGCTTGGTATTTTGGTTATTTGAATGTATATGGAAATAATGAGGACTAACATTTTAAGTATTACCAGTTGGCCCTACTAAATCGTGAGGTCAATGTCAAAGTAAAAAATATCAAAATTTTGCCTGTTTTATCGAAAATATGATCCAGAATATTTGAACAAATACGCTTACAGGCAAAATAAACCGGCCAGCCAAATTGATCGCCCTGTAACTTTTTCAATTCTTGTCCGATTTTTGTGAAATTCCGACCAAATTGTAGATTTATGTTTCGAAATGACATCCTGAGTTTTTGTTTCCAAAAAAAGATGATAGCTTGATTATTATACAGGGAAAAACAAAAAGTACCATTTCACGCTTAACTTCTTAACGTCCTGTGGAAAATATGTTTGATTGAACTTAGCTTCTTCATGTTTTGGATTGAAGTTTGATCCGTCCTTTACACAATAGTTTTTGATTCACATCAATATCTTATTTCTGAGGAAAGATATAAGTGTTTTGAGAAAGTATTAATTATTTTAATTTGCAGAACACACATGAACTTATCGATTAACAACTCGAAAAACATTCAAAAATTGATATCTCACATTTCCACATCGTTTTTTAGCACTCACCAGCAAAGATAAACCTCAATTACTAAAAACTAACGAAACGCAGAACTCCTAGTCAATAACGAGTATTCCCTCTTTGAGCAGTCGATCAAACTTATTGCTGGTCGTTTTTCTTGCCGGTGAGTGTAGAAACCTCAAGTTACGGATAAACTTGAGCAGACTTACGGTATTTACAATCATCTCAGTATTTACTCTCAATGCGGCACGACCAATTCTCACATTGACGGAGAAGAAGATACCATAGGAAAGAGGCCAAATGAAATGAAAAGAAGAAGTATATTTATGAGTTCTACCAACTCTGGCCTCCCGTTTCAGTGGCGCCATGTGGTGGATAATAAATAATGTTAGCCCTCATTGTATGGGAACCTTTCATTTTGATTGATTTATGATATAGCAAGAAATACCAAGCCATGCGAACCAATACTGAAATTCATTTAGAAAGTATAGGGTATCCCACAAAACATGAGCAAACCCCTTATCTGGTAACCCACTAAGCAAATTTGGAAGCTATGTTGATGCAAGGTTGTAGCAATTACTGACGTTCAGCAATATTGCAAATGTAAATTTGTAAATGTAACGTTCCAGCAATGGCACTGCAACATGTAATATTGCTGTAACGCTTCATTATCAAACATCACCTTTGCAATATTGCTGAACGTCCGTTTCAGTAATTGCTTCAACATTGCATCAACATAACTTTCAACTTTGCTTAGTTGGAAGCTATAATAGATACAAAAATTGAGAATTTATTTTTTTAAATCTTTTGGAGTGCACTCAAGGAAATTTCTATAATGTTAGAAGAACATCTTGCATACCTAGGGAGAATAGGGAGAGGAGGTAGGTGTTGAATTATTTTAACTTTTGGAGGTTATAAGTTCTGGGGAATACTTCCATTGGCAAAGAATTACAAATGTTTGCTGTTGTATAGACGAACAAGTTCTGGTAAAGTGTTGTTCGACATATGTCAAGGTGGACAACGAAAAGATGTGCTGATTGTTGTTTATAGTCATATGAACTTTTTTTAGTACTGATTACTGTTTGACAGTTTGGCAGATTAAAACTGAAACACTTTTAAAGATCTGGTGTTATCATTGAATAACTAGATTTGCAAGAAATACTATTATCTCTCTCTATAAACGTATGCTTCAAAGTTGTTTGTTATTAAGATACGATAAGTTGAAATTTTTTTGATGAAAATCTCAAAATTTTTAATTTTGTTGACAGATTAAGCTTCCATTGGTACAATTAGGAGTAAACATTGTATCGTCATAACATTACATACAGAACACTGGCCAGATTTCAATACGTTTCTCGAAATTTTACAATTCAATACGTTTTGGCCCTCTTTATTGCTATTGATATTTCTTAATAACCAATTTGGGGAAAACTGGATTGGAAATATTGGCCCTATACGATGGCCAGCACGATCCCCAGATTCATCCCCCTCAGATTTTTTTCAGAGGGATCATTTAAAACAATAATTGTAGGAACTGTAAGAAGTCTATTGATGAATAGCCGAAAATCACGATTCGTATGCCAAAATAATTGTGAAAAACTAGTTCAATCATTTGTAAACAAATAAGAAAAGTGAGGTTGTGTTTCAATGTTTTACTTCCAGGGTCGGTCATCTGACAGTTCTTGCACGCAACCCATATCTGTTTTGACGATGTTAATGGTACCGGAAATATATGTAGTATACATTGACCGCCCTGAATACGGGCGTTTGCTATCGGTGAAGCAATAAATAATAGGCCATACGTCTCACATGATATCCGTTGAGCGCCATTTTGAATCGATAGCCATTTTGATTAAAAGTTGTGTCGACCCTGAGTGTTTCTTCCGACAAGCACCGGAAGGTCACGTGGTATTCATCATCTGTCAAACATCATACGTATCGTCAGTTGAGTGCCATTTTGAATCGATAGCCATTTTGGTTCAATTTGGTAGGCTATGTCGACCCTGAGTGTCTGCTGTCAACGAGCACCAGAAGGTCACGTGAAATACGTCAGTTGTTACATGCCATGCGTCAAACGTTAATTGAACCAGAGCGTTTAGTTTCAATGAGCACCGGAGGTATCATTAACGGCTTATATTATCTATCATATGTGAGCTGACATCTGTCGAATGTCATATGTCATACGTTGGCTGTAATCTACTAAATGTGATAAGTTAATCATGAGACACCATGTATATTTTCAACGGCGTGTTCTCCAACCAAATGCTGGCCTCTGATTAGCTAGCCGAGTCACGTGGTTTGGAGAAAAGTGGAGGAGTGGGGCTGGACTGGAGAGCTGGGATATCTACTACTATATACAAAACATTGCATTGAATTATGATGATATCGATAGTCATTAATAAGAATTCTCTATTGGTACTAAAGTTTCCTGAATGTTTGCACTAATTTCTTGAAATTCATGATGGGGAAGGAAAAAGTACCTACCACCCGAAAATTTTTCAATTTCTGTTGGTGTCAATAATGCAGCTATTCTTTATAATATTAGTAGGTTTTATAGCTAGTGGTGGAGAAAATGTATTATTGCGCAAGTTAACAAATTTTAAGTGTCTATCTTTATGGGTACTTCGATCTATTGATGATCGGAAAATTGAAGCTGAAGCACCCTGCATAATGAATATAGTAATAGTAAACTATAAAAAGCTATAACTCACCAATTCATATTTACTGAGATATGTTGGTTGTCTCAGAACACCTATATTATATACTACGATTATACCATTTGCTAGGTATGCACAGTATGTCAACCGACTGGCTGGTATAAAGAATTTATAGGACAAAAATTTATTAATCATTGCTGAAAAAAAGTTATTATCATATCATTAAAAACTATATTCCAGTTAAGAATAAAGTAGTGGCATGTTTAGCAGAGCCCATTTTAGACTCCTCAACCCGCCAAATACATGTGTTCGATGAACCAATTATATATTTCTGTAGCCAACATATGGAGAGTATATTTTCAAAGAATAGTAGGTTATTTTGTTGGATACAGAATAAATGAAATCATTAGTTTTCCAGTTGTTAACACAATATTAATGGTCGAAATTGAGGATATAGTATCTTGGTGTTATGGCGAGTGAACCGATAAAAGCTGGATATAGATGCCAATGTCGTGATTAACGACACTCGATAGAACCAATAATCAACCACCTCAACCTCATGATTTTCTTAGACTGTTCATAGAAAGCCAACCGGTCAACTTCCACTTTATTCTTAACTGGAATATACTATTAGTACTTAGGTACAGAAGGCTTTGTTGCTGTTAAATATCTGCTGAGTATCCATAATTTACCTGCATTGTCTGTTATACAAACAAGAAGTACCCATCCAATGGCGATGCACCAAGCAACTCTATGCAATGACGCGTACAAGGCGTTCTCTAAAGTATTGACAACATGTTCGGGATTATAAAATATCACTATGGAATACATGGAAACTATGCCTAGAAATAATGCCACCATTGAGCCTAATAGATTGGCGTAATAATTCAATTTCATCCTGAAAATTCGTAGAATATGTAACATTTATAATCTTCTGTGTTCTGTGTGTTGACTTACCCGGAGGATTGAAACTTATGTACCAAGTAGCCGAAAAAGATACCTATGCAATAGGAACTAGCACGCATGTGTGTCTTTATGTAGAAGTTTAGGAAGTAGAAATTGTTGGAAATGTCCTCCAACTCCCTGAAAAACCCAAATCATTTTTTGATGATTGAAAAAAAAAAAGAAAACCGAAACTTTACATTAAGCTCTCTGTCAACTTTGCCATGGATATAAATTGAATTGTTTGTCAAATGCTTTACGCAACGGGCCCTAAGGGCCCATTTATGCATCATTGTCTTGATCATAGTCTTAACCAAGCTGGATAGAATATTAACTCATCATATTTGGACCTTTATGTATCACAGTCTTTAGACTAAAGAATTATGCACTACACTGTTTCACCACTAACCAAATCGATTTTTTAAACGCCTCGACACGTGTTTCGCTAACTATGTTAGCATCTTCAGGAGAAGATTAAAACAGTTTCTCAGTTTCAATCTTCTCCTCTTCGATATATGAAGAATTATGATATGACAATTGACAATCCGTCAAAAGTGTCAACTGAGGTGTCAATAATGTCAACTGCCCATTCTAATATTTTGTTCTGGAGCAGGTTTTTGAGCTAATTTTGAGGATCACTTGAGTTTATTGTTTTTCTTCGTGAAAATCTCTTACGAATTCGAAAATAGAAGTAGATAGAAATTTAACTATTGGAATTACTCTGTCATGTCACATATTTATTGGAATCATGCCACTCTGGTTTGTTTGATGCAAAAAAGAGATTCGGAGTTCGTCCCATTAACAAAAAAAAAACACAAGGTTTCTTCTCGAGTTTAGTGGAGTCAATGAAAACTGGAGAATTATATGAAGGTCAATTCTTCAAATACACAAGAATGACGAAAAATCAATTCACCTATATTTGTTATCAAATATAATCAAATTATCAGAATGATGTAATCAAATATTGACAGCACAGAATGGCACTGATTTTTTGGTGACACAAAATTAAAAGTCATATGTGATTTGTTAACAGGTCGACACATGTGCATTTCTTATCTGGTCCACATCTGGTCTCAATTAGGTTTCCTTGATGGAAATTGACGTTAAAGTCATCTTAATTCTTCTCCAAATGGATTTCCGAAAATATTTTTAGCACACATGACATGAGTACAGTAGATTAGATACCCACAGGTTTCCACCATTTCTCAATCATGAGGCTCAACTCATTCAGTCAATTCAGTCAACCCTGGTATGCAGTCTAAGAACAGTCTTTTTAGTGAGATATATTACGCTTTCAGTACAATTTATGTTCCCTACCTCGCAAAATTATGCTATAGACTCTAAATCTAGAGGACTGTTCATCTATATCTTGGTATAGTTAAATCAGGAGTTCCATATGGAAATTACGTATGATACGCCAGTGACCTCAATATAACCTAAAAAACAACGAATGTCAAAAATCCAGTGTTTATCCCCAGAATTGAATAAGGATGGTAATATATAACTGTTTCACAAACACTTCAGAGTGAGAGGAGACGAGAATTTAATGATTATGATTAAGACTGAGAATAAAAATTTTGCATGATTTCACCTATTGAAATGTATGCTCATAACTTGATTTTTTGATCAAAACAAAGACTGTGACTAAGTTTAAGACAATGATACATAAATAGGCCCTAACTGTGATAAAGTTCCTGTTAAGTTGAATATTGGATCGGACCTATGTGGAACACATTGAACTCGTTAATTTGCTTGTTTAACTCAACCTTTTGTTTTAAATTTGTTTTACCGATGATTGATATATTAAGCGTAATATATCAATAAACGGTTTTACTTAACCTTTTGTTTTATCAGGTGACTGGTCTATCTGGTCGGGTTTCAAATGCAAAAAATTGGACTGTCATCTGATAACGAAATGATATATGTCCCAATGGCAAGTGAAAACATAGTAGTTCATCGAAGGCCACCTGTGCCTATCACTATCCTGAGCAGAATGATTGCACTCTCCTGTGCGGAAATTTGCACTTGATTGCGTGATTTGATGACGAGTTGAGAATTATGCCATCCAATAGGTACCAATTGAATGGTAGATCTCAAAAACCTACCTGTACCACCCCTCAGTCTGAGCAAAATCCAAGGCACAGCGATTTATTTGCTGCATTTATTTCGGACATACTTCCGTCATTTGATAACGATTGATGTTGCAAGGGGCGAAATACTCTCGGAAATATTAACGCTCTGCCACTAACTTAGATCGCAGTTCGAATCGAGGCACGTTCGGATATTCGCACAGGTTGTTTTTTGAGATCTACCATTCAATTGTTTTCAGATCCGATGAAGACGGAATAACATTCATTTTTTATTGAATTAACTCGACAATTATCGCGGTTAGCTTTCATTCCTCGAAGGAATTAATATAAAAATGGTGAGGGATGAATTTAGGACACACATGTCCAAATCTGACGTCTAAATGAATAAATGACACTTACGGAGGAAATGCCATCAGTGTGGGGTCCAACTGTTCCTTATAAGTGATCCAGAAAGGAACTGCTGTTGAAATAACTATACACACAAATAACAGTATTTCGCCCAATCTTCTGCATCTCCATATGGGATAGATAATAAATGGTGCAATAATAAATAAGTGATAATCCACTGCCAGATACCAAGATTGAAACATACACTAAAAAAAATGAACAAATATTTATCCATATCGAATAGCACAATAAGTTGAAATGACAATTGAAGGGACAATTGACTATACAGTGTGTCCCACTTACCATGCTCACCATGGGTATCTTTTTAACGGTGAGAGATACGAGGTCGGTTAAATGACACCAAATGTGGAGTTCGTCAAGGCCAACTATAATGTGAAAAAATATTTTGATAAAATCTATTCGTTTTTGTTTTATACGCAAAAAACAGATTTTGATCATTTTCATGTCTCCTCCGTAACTTTTTTATTTATGAAAATATTCAAATAGGAATTTCACATTCTCATGGCAGTTTTTCAAAGTGATTTCGAAAAAAATATGAAATGTATACCAACTCTTCTAGAATATGAGATATCAGCAGCAACTTTAGTTTTTCAAATGTAGGTCATAGCTCACTATGACTTAGTTACAAATAACTTTTTTTTCTCTTACAGATGATATGTCGCAGTAATAGTTTTGTGTTGATAACAACGGAGTTATCATCATTTATACAAAAACAAAATTATTTGGAAGCCGCCATCTTGAATTTATAAATTTTAACGAAAGAATCATGATAGCTCCGACCTCAAAAACCCCTACTAACCAATTTTGAATGGAATCGGACCAAATCTTGTCCGCCATCTTGGAGCAGCCATTTTTTTAAATTTCAACAAAAATTCCATAATGTATTGTCACCGAAATTATGAATACCTGCCAAATTTCAAGTTAATCGGAGTTATGGAATTTTTGTTGAAATTTAAAAAAATGGCTGCTCCAAGATGGCGGACAAGATTTGGTCCGATTCCATTCAAAATTGGTAAGTGGGGGTTTTTGAGGTCGGAGATCATGATTTTCTTGTTGAAATTTATAAATTCAAGATGGCGGCTTCCAAATAATTTTTTGTTCTTGTATAAATGACGATAACTCCGTTGTTATCAACACAAAACTATTACTGCGACATATCATCTGTAAGAGAAAAAAAAGTTATTTGTAACTAAGTCATAGTGAGCTATGTCCTACATTTGAAAAACTAAAGTTGGTGCTGATATCTCAAATTCTAGAAGAGTTGGTATAAATTTCATATTTTTTTCGAAATCACTTTGAAAAACTGCCATGAGAATGTGTGATTCCTATTTGAATATTTTCATAAATAAAGAAGTTACGGAGGAGACATGAATAGATTTTATCGAAATATTTTTTCACATTATAGTTGGCCTTGACAAACTCCACATTTGGTGTCATTTAACCGACCTCGTATCTCTCACCGTTAAAAAGATACCCATGGTGAGCATGGTAAGTGGGACACACTGTATATTATTTACCAAATTGTCGGTGTTCACATAATTATTTATGTACAACACGTTTGTCCACCACGACTTCAAACATCTATCCCTTTCCAATCCTACTCTGGATTCCCATAATGGGCCGGAACCTGCCCTGTACAAAACTGTTGAATATAATCCTATAACTACCACGTATGCAGGAGTCAATCTGGAAAAAATGATGATGGAATCATAAGAAAAGAATTGGTATCATGTTCAGAGCTGGTAAATAAACTGAAAAAAGTATTTGGTCACCAAGCATCAAAGACTCGATTCTTGAGTGGATTGAAAAGTTTTAAAAAATATTAAATATTTACACAGTAATTATTTGGATATTTTGAGAAGATTCCATATTTTTCTCTACTTATTTGAATATTTCCAGAATATTCGAATATTTCCAAAGTATGGTCAGATATTTCCAAAGCAGGTAGGTACTTGAATATCTATCTCTGAAGTGTTTAACTACTCCCGATAAGTAACTATTCAGATACCGATATTTTAATATATTGAACAAACCATTAGGTAGACATTACAGCGCAAAAATGAGTTTATTTTGTTGTATTAGGAAATCAGTGATTGCAAAGAATATAATGAGAAATTAACTTTTGGAAGAATAGGCTATTGGCTCTGGCTCTACAAGAACTTTACTTACCCCCTATGCTATACAAATTTAAATGTGCGTTCCCATTCTCAAACTGGAGTAGTAGGTACTTGGTGTTTTTGTTGTTTTTCTTTTATAATAATGTTTTCATAAACATGGGTTGAAAAGTGGTACCTCAGCTATTGGTTGCATTGAAATCGTATCTCTGTATTTATAACCAATAATTAAAAGATGAAAACAATTCCCGTGATATTCAAATTTGTTATACAGGCTGCCTGGACAGATTATGTCGCAAATTATAGGGCTGACAGTGAGCCAAAATATTGTTAGTACGTCATATAAAAAGTGTCCATTTTGAAATCAAATAAGTTTTTTTATTTCACTTCAAAATGTAAACAACTCTTTGGACCACCCTGTAATACCACTCCATTTCGAGCAGTATGGACTTTTAAATATAATCATGGGTCTGCGGATTGAAGAATTTGAATAAAAAAACATGAACATGCCCTGCGTGACTTTCTTATACATTATGTAATACATCAAGTATCGACGAAAAACTGTTGAGTAATCACTGAAATATAAGAGTTTTTAATAATGATCGACTATGTTTAATTGCCTGTGGTAATGTTACATAAAATGATAAGTCTTCGTTTCCTTTCGTAATGAATGGCACACAAATTTAAGAAGACGTTAATATATTATTAACCTCGATACAGAAGTTATATAATTTCAAATTGAAAGTGTTGGAATCCACCTACCTGATATATCTAGCTATATACAAGATAATAATATTTATTTTGCCTTTCCTCTTTTCCAATTCCAGTAATAATAGTCGACACATTAGGAAACCACTTACTAATAAAAATGTGTCTACCAATAGTGGATTATTTGAGAAAGGTGCATTTTCAAGTTTGGTGACTAACTGAAAAAAAGAAAAAAATCAAATCATCTTTTGGCGTACAGAAAAAATAATGGTTAATATACAGTTCTCAACACATTATAAATGGACCACTCATAATTTGACTCGCTTCCGAAGACCTGAATTTTTTGAAAAAATTTACCGATCTTCATGCGGTTTTCGATATCAGATGTAATATTTTATCGACTTCAAAGAGAGCTAGAACACTCTGAAAAAGTCCGCAGAACAAAACTTACTCAGGGTGTAAAATGGAACCATTACACTATGGTCTACATTTCCATTGCTGCCAGAACTCGAGAATTGTTTTTCTGTTTATAAGTCAGTCATATTATGATACACCTCATCTTGGGACATTTTCGTAATTTCTCCTTAATTGGCCATTTTTTCTCTATACCTTTTCAACTTCAATTTTGGAATCGGTGAGTTATATTTCGGAAAAAGTAATCTCGATTTCAGAATTGGTTAGTTCGATATCAGAAATGGTAAACTCAATTTCAGAATCGGTGTTCAGAAAAAGTCCATTCAATTTCAGAAATGGTAAGTTGTATTTCAGAATTAGTAGGTACAATTTCAGAAAACAAATCCTTATATTTGTTTGAAATGTTTTTATTTGCATAAGAGAAGATTGTTTTCAATGGATGAAACGGTATTTGAGAGCGTGCTTTCGAAATGAGCATCCTGCAGATACCATAGTGGTAGTTCTGGATAATGCACCTGCACATTCAAGAATAGAAGAGATATGCATGGAGGTAGAATTTCAAGATGTTATATTTTGCACATTGGCACCTTACAGCCCTATGTTGAACCAGATTGAACATATATGAAGTGCCTTCAAGTCAGAAGTGCAGAGCTTTTCGCAAGAGCATCGCCAAAGGGTCATAGCTGGGGATCCGAACAGATCGCCCAACCTGTAACGGTCCACTAGTGGATCGTTCATAACTCCTGTCCATCATAGGTAATACACTCATGTTATGCTGCGGGATGCATTGTTTTCAGAGACTTGATCGCTGAAAATCCTACTTAGAAACTACTTTGGGATACTAACCATGTCAGTTTCAACACCCAGTAATAATCAAAATGAATCGTACTTACATTGAACCCTCGTCAAACTGTTTTCTCATTGTAATTAAATCAGGCTACCTACCCTGTTACCTGTAAAGGATTTCATCTGATGTGTTTTCGATTTCATATAAGTATTATTTCTTCAAGGGGTTATGTTTATTTTGCAAGTAAATATTAGCGAACAGCTGTTTAGACTATCACGTCTTATTCTTCCCGTTTTATATTCGTTTGGCACATCTGTGACCTAGTCGTAAGAAGCGTAAAACCTAATAATATATATTGCCAGTAAGGGACTTAGCAAGAAAGGTCTTCAAGGCAAAGCACTACTCACACCACACTCGGCACCTGTCACGGTTTCCGAAGTGTCCTGTGAGCGAGCAGCCTGATGTAAATAGGGTTTTTGGAAACGTCAGAGTACCTCCGGGAAGAACGACGATTCTCTCTCTCTCTCTAGGGGCCATTTTTCTGAAATGCCACGAAAATTTCGTGCTGTTGAACTTAAACAGAAAATTATGAAAATTTTGGTGATGAAGGCCGATTAACACCTTTAGGCAAGTATAATAACACTTCTGCAATAAAGTACACTGAAAATTATATATTGAACAATAACAAAATACATCGAAAAACACATGCATCATGATGACTTCTTTTCAGGCCTTCATGGTATGGGTATACCGCCATTTTGGTATAATAATTAATAGTCGTGTCGTTGTAATACACGACGCCATAATGATGGCGAACAAGGTTTAAAACCTTGTGATTTCAACCATAATTGCTACTGGTGCAATATTATGTTTATCCGTTGTTCCTGTTTCTAAAAGTTATTTTTCTGGACCCATGCTGATATGCCACTGAGAACAGTTCCTCCGAATTTGGTATATTCGTGATGGATGATGAGATCCGTTTGGTAAAAGCTACGTTACACTTATAGGGATGACCTACTGTAAGTAGATTTTTCACTTAATTTTGCCAACCTGATGAGAAGATGGACTGCACCATTTGATTTGGATTTAATACTATTACTTATTATTGTCTGCCTTTATATACCCTCTCCTTTGTGAGAAAGGGAGTATCAGCGCTGATAGTCCGTTTCATAGGACTTGGTTATATTTTCCAGAATTTATATCACACCTGTGGACCATTTATCCAGTTCTTAATGTTTCCTTTTAAAGCCACAGTGAGGCTAAGTTTAAGATTTAAGTAATGCTTATCTTAGTATATATTTGTACTAACGAATTCTGACTAATACAGTTTTGTATACTATTGAATCATAAAAGATAACAGAACTGTTGCAACTATTCATAAGATATACTAACAGATTATTCACTCTCAGTAATTTCTTAAGCTAATGTTAATTCTTAAATACTCCAGGTGTTGGGTCCAATTTAAATTTGAATATTACATATGATATTATTGTAACTTTGAGGTAATTCGGTCATTATAGCATGGATTTAGAAAAACTCCAGTACTGTTGATATTTTTGTTTTGTCTCACCCTATTCCTTCCCAGATAATACTGGGTGGCGCCCACATTTACCTATTTTTATGAAATTAAATCCACGACCATCTCTACCACTGAAGAGCAACCGTGTAGTGAGGCCATAATTTCATCTCTTGTTGAAATTACGTCACATAAAATTGGCGCACAACGTGGAAGGCCTTGATAGTTTCTTTTAGTTTTTTATATAAAAAAGTTCTCATTAAAATTTCATAGCCGGAGCAAGGTAAATTTCCCCATAACCCTTCCTTATTCTTCCTGGACAAAACAAAAATATTACAGTTTTTTGTAAATTTTTCAAATTTCCTGATATCTTCTTATTTGGAGAATATCATATACAGGGTGAAGGCAGTGAGCCAGAGTGTTCAATGTACATACTTTGGTAAGTAATTTATTCAACTGAGCACTGAAATTTTTTGTTTCTTGACATATTTTCTGGTTGTTGAAAAAGTCTCAAGAATTTGCATTATACAGGGTGATCAAAGTTAATTGGGTAAGTTAACCTCATTAATTGATTTTCTTTACAAATTTCATATTTCTGATTTCATGAAATAATTATCCCAGTACTTCCTGATTAGGTACACTTAGCATTGAGTCACTGATTATACAGGGCATTGCGCAAATTAGCATGTTGTGATCCAGTGGCATTATTCTGCAAACAAATCTACCTGGTTTTCAATTTTCCACAAGTCTTACTGAGTTTCCTTGTTAACAAGAAACTCTACGCTTTAGTACTTGTACAGGGTGTTGTCCCGAGTGATTAACTTCAGAATTTTTTGGTCATTTCATACTTTGAATATTTGAACCATGAGGGTTAACTACAACATAGATCCTGTTCATCTTAGGACTAGAGAACTAAACTATGAGCTTTTTATACGGGGTGTTGCAGTTGATAGAGCTGATACCGATCAAAAAAGAAAATTTTTGAGAAGGGAAATTAGACGTGATCTTTCTAGATCTGATGTTGAGTATACCACTCCTAACTTTAATTTTGAGAATGAACGGGAAGCAATCGATGAAAGTATTGAATCTATCACGGATGTAGTGAATAACTTTGATGGTATGAATGAGGAAGTCTTTAAGAGAGTGAGAAGTCGTATCAATCACATTTTTGGCCGTCTTTATAGAATTCCAAATGATACAGAGAACTTAGAAATTTCAAATTATCGAGGAGATAATATTATTTTGATTAGTACACTTGAAGAAGACTTAGTCGAAATACGTGAACAATTTCTCAAAGGACAAGCTGCTAACGTCCCTAACTTGCACTTAGGTCCACAAGTTAATAACCTCCCAAAAGCGGTACCTGCATATAAGTGGGGAATAACATTTGATGGCACACTAAGAAAAGGATCACTTAGGTCATTCTTACAGCGTGTGGATGAGTTGAGAGTTGCGAGAAGTTGCACGAAAGAGGACTTGTTCCAGTCTGCTTCTGATTTGTTTGAGGGTGTTGCCAGGGAATGGTTCAGATCTCAGTCTAGACAAAATCGTTTCAATTCCTGGGATTCATTAGTAGACGCGCTGAAAAGAGATTTTTTACCTTCTGATTATGATGATCAGCTTTGGGAAGAAATACGTCACCGAACTCAAGGTCAAGATGAGCGTATTGTTGTTTATTTATCTTTAATGGAAAATTTATTCAGCTGCTTAATTAATGAACCGCCAGAACATGATAAACTGAAAATTATTAAGAAAAATATTTTGCCTAGTTTTCAATCACATATTGCCTTACAGCAGATAAATGATGTTAATAAACTTCTAGAAGTATGTAGAGCTTTAGAGGACGCAAATCTAGTCCAACTAAAATATCAACCTCCTCCAAGAAGGAATATTTCGACTCTTGAACCAGGATTAGCATATTCTTCGGCTGCTGATTCAACCTCTGATAATTCTTGCCCAAATTGTCATAATCATTTCGATAACAATCACCGTGAACCGAGAGCTAGCACGAGTAATGTCTATAACAGCGTGTATAGGAATGATAGGTATAGAAGTTCAAATTCTAATAGGAATAATTCGAGAAATAATAGACAACAATATTCAGATAACTTTTCTAGAAATTTTTCACACAATAGTAGAGAAGTGGCTACTCTTCAGAATAATAATCAGTCCTTTCAACCTATAAATAATAATAATAATAATCGATCGAGTACTTCTAACCAAAGAAATGATATTAATGGACAACGAAAAGAACCTTTCTGTTTTGGTTGCGGTAAGCCAGGAGTGATTCGCCCAAACTGTCCGTCCTGCTCAAAAAACGAGCACAGGGGAAACACAAGGTAGGTCGGTGTGCCCCCTATGTAGTTTCAAAGACCTTTCATAACCAAATGAGAAATTCCGAAATGAATCTTGCTGGACTTGAAACTCGCAATCTTTCAAATAATTTTAAAACGAAGTCACCATTTTCTACAGAATGGAAACTCTGGTTAGACAAGGTGCGC